CCAAGAGAAATGTGATCCCCCATTGAGTTCCAGTGGGGGATCCAGTGAGTTTCCATTTCTGCTCCAGTGAGTTTCCATTTCTTTTCAGAACCAACACATAACGTGTAGTAAACTCACTTCCATCAGTAGTAGTGGGCATTCTGGCAGTAATTCTCAACCAAAAGGTCTTGTGCCTTGAGGATTGTTTTCTCCCTGGTAGAAAGATGGTTCTTGTAGCTCTGGTAGTAATTACAGCTCCATATTTTAAATAACATAGACATTTGTAGAGCTCTTTTCTAATTATATTAAGTCCAGAGCATTAATTTTTAGTCCTGGCTGTGCCTTAAGAAATGCATGTGGGACACTTAAAAATACAGACAGAGGCAACACCAGATCAATAGACTTAGAGGAAAGCGTACAGTGTCTTCCCTCAAACATCATTCAAAATATGAAACACATGTAAGTAAATCCATCCTAGATCAGATTTTTCATATGATACTTTGGTCTCTGCACCTTCCAATGTTTTGTTCTTTCTTATTTTGATGCCTCTACTTTGCTACAGTCCACAGCACGCACCTGTTCTTCTTTATTGCATAATCCAGGACTGGGAGAGTTTTCAGATTTGTAGTCTGATCTCCCAGTAAAGGGAGTAGAGGGAGGGGAAGAGAGAGAAACAGAAAGGAGCCTCCCAGACTATCATGCAGTCTAAGAAAGGTTCTGCAAGGCCACTGAAGAGTCTTCAAGCCAGTTAGCTATCAGAGGAATTCCTGTCTCCCAGGAATGGGCCTGCACTCGTATCCTTGCCATATGCCATCAATGACTAATAGAAACAACAGAAGGCATAACCCCAGTGCAAAAGCAGCCAAAGATTTTGAAGTGTGGGAGCAGGGCCCTTGACAAATATGTTCTCTGTATTCCCCCTGCACTGAATACCTGTGCCCGAGATGTGGTCAAGGGGCTCAGTACTCTCCAGGAAAGGCTTCCATTCAGGAGCATTTTTTTTAAATGCTCTGTAACTATTAATTTCCCACTAGGATAGGACTGGAAGAGGAAAGGGGAAAGACACAGAAAGTAAAGGCAAGTGTTATTTGAATATTTAACACACACCTACAAAGTTTTCACACTTGTAAACAATGCACCAAATATTTTATTTCTCTCAGTAGTTCATATGCAATTAACTCTCAAAGCATTTTTAAAAACACAAAATACATTATACTTTACCAATGAATTATTTCTATCCCAGAGGATTAAATCAAATTAAAATGTTACAAACATTTGAAAGTTTATTTTTACCTCAACTGAGATGAATTTAAATATATCTATAAAAAATTTTAGGTCAATGTTTTGTATATGCCATCAGTATAATATGGTTTCTTAAATATTTAGGACGTTGTCAATAGCTGTGATTCCTATGAAATATATAATCAAAAAAAAATAAAAAAGAAATATATAATCAGATATCTCAAATTCCTGATTAAGTCAAATTTAAAGATACAAAACACTAGTGCATTTGCTATGAAATTCTGTTTATGATGCTTCTTTTAATATACTGCAATTAACTACTGATACAGAAATTCTGTTTAAGGCTAGAAGTTTTATATATGACACGTTCCTTCACAGAAAAAGAAATGATGTTGAAAAGGCAAGGTCCACCATACTGTATCAGAGATCAAGTACCAGATAACTGGTACCCTAACTGATATTAGGGTATCAGTTGTTATATCCTCTTTTTGGAGTCTATAGTAAATAATAACTAGGAAACATTTTAAAAGTTTTACGGCTTTCTTACAAAACAGACATAAAGTTTGTAGAAACTTGACCACATATCAACAAAAACAGAGCAAATCAAGTATGTCCACATCTTCATTTCTTCAATTCGGTGATTTGAAATAAATGTCACATTAAAAACCATGAGCAAATATAAAGATTCATTCAAGGAAATTAAATACTTCTCATCATTTTTAAAGAAACTTTTATACGCAGTATATCTCTGATCAGCATAAGTAAGATGTGGAAAGGACAAAAATAAAATACTGTACTGAACTGATTCTCATAAGCTTGCTCCCTCAAAGGATACACTTACCAGGTATTTTCCACAGTGTTGTCATATGTGCTTTATTTTATTTTTATATAAAATAACTAGACATTTTTCATACTTCTTAGTAAGTATTTAAAATACATTTCAAGGTATGCAATAGGATTAAGCATTAGTTTATGATGCCCATAAAACTCTTTCAACTTATAAAAAAATAATTTCTAGAAATATAAAAATATCAAGCTTTTCATATTTCTGAGTCTCGAAAAACAAAGTACACTATTTTCATGTATCAGTGTTATTAATGTGCTACTTAAGTTCATCTCAAAAGAGCACGTAAATAATTTCAAAAGTTTTATGAAGGCTACATTACAGACCACAGATAGTTTGAGATTTGATTTTCCATATGTTTTTATATTCTAATGCAAGGAAGAAAAATAAGCACCAAAGTAAAAAATGTTTTTATTAGGAGAAAAATAATGTTTTCATGAAGAGAAAACAGAAAACATGTCATCTCTCCCTTTAGTGGCTTTTCTTCAATTATCTGATTTACCAAAAATATGACCTCAGTTCAATTACTGAACAAAAAAGTACCCTTAAATAAAATATCCAACATGTGTACAAAGGTTTGTCCAAAATCTCCTAAAGAACACCAGTCATTCTAAGCTTTTTTCTCGTTCTTCAGTAAGAACTTTAATTAAAAACAAGCCCATTGCCCTTTGCTTCACAACTTTAACGTTAATGGAAATTCCACTCTGAGTTGAAAGTGTTATTTCTTTGAGGGCCTGACGCATATAGGGGGCAGCGTAGAAGTGAATTGCTGACATAGACATGGTTACAAAATTAGAGTCAAAACTAAAGGGGAAAAAAATGGAAAATCCAATACCAGTTACCCTGGAAAAGAATTCAAAAACTAAAGGATTGCTTTAAAAATTCTCTTTAGCAAGATAAAGAAGAGTGATTTATAGACAAGACCGATAGTTGGTTTTTCTCCCGGGAGCAGCCCTCTGGGGCTGCTTTAATAGTGTGATTAAAATGGTATTTGGGGCCTGAGAAGTTTCAGTGATGACTGCTTCTTCAATTTTTGCTGTTGTCTCATTGATTGTGCATCATCAATGGCATTATATGCTTTCTGTAAAATAAAATATTTACTATGAATGGTAAAGACAAGTACAGGCTCATCTATGGGTAAAGGCAGAAAAGCAAGAGTTGGAGCTTTCCATAGAGGTCCAACAGCAAAGAACAAGAATACACTAGTCCATAGGTATAATGCGAAATAAGACCCTTATGCCCTAGTGAGCCCACAATATATTATTTTAAGCTAACATATCCATCCAGAGTTAAAACTGGAAAATCTTTTGGGAGAAATAATCAGTATAACAGATTAAAAAAATTCTTCCAGCTAAAAAACAAAGGGGGCATTCTGTAAAGTCAATTGTTTACCTCTGCTGTGGCGGCGTCCTGCAGGTAAATGCTTCGGTAGCCATAACCAGCACTGTCTTTTTTGTGGAATAGTCCCTGCTCCTGTTTCAAAAGAAACAATGACAGAAAAATTATTCTGGGGAAGAAAAAAAATGATATCCTTTAATTGGATGCTTAAATGTCAATTCTATTTTATAACCAACAGACTAACCAAATATCCATATTCAGGTATGATAAGAACTAAATCATTTCAGTACAAGGATAGTTGTTCCATATGTGAGTTGTTAGAATTTATGAAATTGGATGAGTACACATCTATCTGGGTAAAATAATGGCTTTCTACAGGCTATGATAAATAGCCTACAGAAACACCACTTGATAACTCACCACATCTGACAAATCAAAAAACCCTTCCTTCATTTCCTTGGCTGATAGATAAAATTCTTATATAATGTAAAACACATTGAGTCAATTCTCACCACTGATGTGAAAGAAAAGTGATAACTGAGGAGACAGTAATATATATGCAGAGTGACACAGTTTTCCCTGGTTTGAAAACTATGTTTCATATACCAAGGGGTACTTTCAATTTCGACGCTCTACAATGAGGTAAAGTTGAAATGCAAAATGGTATTGTTTTACAGTTCTTTTATTTGTAAATTTGTATGAAAAGAAAACATAAATTAAAGGATAATAGTACCTGCATCTCTATTAAGTTTTATGATAAATGTTTTTCAGATAGTTCCAATAACAGGTATCATTATTGTTTAGGAGAAAATACACATTCCAAGAATAACCACCCTCAGAATGACAATTTGTAGTTTTTTTTTTAAAGGGGTGAAAATAAATTTATAATATATATATAAGAAAAATGATACATTTCAAAGTAAAGTGAAGCCTGAGAACTATGCAAAGGGTTGGGGTATCATTTCTGTTAATCACTTGCTATGTAATTAAAAGTTCTTCCTTAGAAAATGATGAGAAGGAAAGACATGAAAGTATTATCATATACTTAAATTGTATTTACATTTAAGTAAATACATTTAATGTATGTACATTTAATGCACTTAAATTTTGTAAGTGCCAAATGTGATAAAACATGAGTGTTTCAGGTATATTTGTAATAATCTCCTAAAAGCCTTAAAAAGGGAATCTTCCAAAAAGCATTTAAGATTACAGCAGAATAGTTATTCATATGAAGTAAAAAAAATAATTCTTATTTACTAATGCTTTACTCTACAAAAAGGAAGCATCCACATCTTAATTCTACTTGACATAATCAAAGACTGTCAAAAGAATACAGCACAGAAATAAATTGATTATACATCTTTCCTTACATTTCACCATATTATAATAACAATAATATAATCATCACAATGATCCTTCAAACACTTTGTGTAGTTAACTGTAAAAGACAGCCAGAAAGCACTGGTTTCCACTCAATTAACAAAGTCTTGGCTCTAAACATGTAATTCATGTTTTTTTACCTTGACTGGAATTTTTAGCATGTTTCCATGGACACTGGGAGGAAATACAAAATCTTCAAATGGACATTGCCAGTCTATGGACATATGGCCTAGGATTTCAACTTCATTTATACACAACACTCGCCTGTTTTTCAAAAGGAAACAAAAGCATGCAGGTAGTCATAAAGATAGTTCATTATTCTAATATTTCACTTTGCTGGACGGCACAGGCAGTATTCAGTAAATAAATATAACTTGGCACTAAAAAAATATGCTTTACATTAAAAAAAAAAAAAGCCTAGGTAACTGTCAAAGAGAAAATATGGCACCTACCAACTAACACAGCAGACTTTCAAAAGTTCCCCTTCTGCCAATCTTGCAAAATTCAGAAAAGTGTCATTTTTTTTTAACTGACCAAAAAACTTAAATCATCTTTGAAACACATAAGGAACAGGCTGTACTCTCGCCTGGGAAGCAATAAAGGCAGAAGCCCCTGAAAATGTTTTACTTGGAAAATTATTAATTGCTCTTTACTGTCAATCATCTATGCCTTCCAGTCAAGAAAGAATGTGCAGGAAATGTCACAAACCTCAAATGTCAGCAAAGATTCACATTAGGCCTACTAATAAATATCAGGTTTGAACACTTTAACACTAATGTACTGTATCAGAGTGAGTATCCCATTTTACTTAATAGCAAGGAGGAGGAGATGGGAGTGGGGAGGAGGAGGAGGCAGAAGGGAAAGAAAAAGAAAAGAAAAATCACGGAATCCTTAAAGGACATCCACACTGATTTCCCAGTGTGTGATTCAGATTAATTACTGATATAACCATACTTGATTCTGATTACAGAAAGCATAACTAGGAAAGTAAAGGAATTGTTAATTCTACAAATATCCAGGGTGCTAGAGAAACCAAGAAGATAGTATTTCTGCTTGAGAGGCACTTATAGGTTAGAAGGGAAATAAACATGTAAATATTCTGACAGCAAAATAAGATGAGTGCAGAAGGACAGTGTGCAGAAAATTATTCCGGAGCACAAGAAAGAGGGACTGATTATGTGGGTAAAGTATGTGGTATAAGAGCTGATTCTTGAAAGAAAGGAGTTCTCTACGTGGGAAAGGGAAAAGATAGTCCAGACAAAGGGAGCAGAGCACTAACATAATGGAGGGTACAAAAAAAGGGAGGGTTTATTTGAGGAATGTAGAGGTCTATAGCTGGAATATTACATATACACAAAGGTGAGAAAATTAGCTTAGTGCCAGATCTTGAAGGGTTTTTGTTGTTGTTGTTGTTGGGGTTTTGTTTTGTTTTGTTTTGTTGTTGGTGTTTTTTTTTTTTTTTTCAATTTTAGTACATCTTGACTTTAAATCTGTAAGGTAATGGGAAATTTCATGATCAAGTTTCCATTTTAGAGTCACAGCTCTAGTGGCCAAGGGAGGAGAGGAGGCATAATCAAAGTAGAACACTAATAGGATAGTCCAATCAGGGAACAGAACCTCAGTTAAGACAGTAGCTATGAAAAAGGAGGAGAGCAAGGTGGATTCTAGATGCTTAGGAGGTAGAGCTGAATGAACCTGGTGACTGATGCAGGGTGGGGATTGAACTAAACCTCCAGCACTATTTCTCAGCAGAGGAAGTACTGGAATTTGGGGCTGACTTGGGACTGTTGTGTACTGTAGGAAGTTCATCATCCCTAGTTCAAGGCTTCAAAGGGCCAGAAGTGCTCTCTCATCATTGTGACATCCTTCAACACCACTCCATATTCTAAACAGTCTCCAGGAAGTGAATTCCATCCCTTCACTTCCTGTTCCAGAAGAGAATCACAAGAGCTAAGAGTTCCAGATAACAATTACAAATCACTGTGTAAAATGCAAATTCACCATTCCCATTGTCTTCACATTCTCTCTTCACCATGCCAATAATAATATTGTTCTCGTAGCACTCTAAATCCTTTTCATTCTCTTCCTCCCATTCCATGTTTACCAGAGCTCAAATCTTGGTCTTCTATTTGACACACACACTCTGGAAAATCTCCAAGATCTCAACTCCAATCCTTATCCAAACTCCAACTATCTACACCTATGTTTATAATCTACATCTCTATCTGTCCCCTGGACTATTAAGGCATCTCTACTATGATATCTCAAAGCTACGTGAAATTCACTAAGTTTAAAAACAGAAACAAAAACAATCTTTTTCCTTAAATTACTATAAATGATAATACCAATACTCTTGGTATTTAAGCCCCAAACCAAAAAGTCCTCTTATATTCCTTTCTCTTCTAAACTCAAACAACGCCAAGCCCTAGTCTTTTCAAGGCTGTCTTTGTTCTTTTAGTTTAGGCCTTACTGCTTCCTATCAGAACCACTGCCACAGTTATGTGGTAGACAGAATTCTCCTATGGTCCCGAAGATTCCCTGTCCTCTAGTATATAGACCTGTACAATCCCCATGACTATGACTATGATGGATTTCTCTCCCATGATTAGTCTTTATTATAAGGCAAAGGTGATTTTAAGAAAAAGTTTATCTGCATGGGCATGGCATAAACACAGGCCCCTTTAAATCTGGGTTAGAGGCTGAGAATCCAGAGTGCTGGTTGCTGGACTGAAGAAGCAGAAAGCCACATGGCAAAAAATGAGGATAGGTTCCAGATGCTGTTAGCAGATACCCCGCTCACAGAGATCCAGGAAACTGGGATATTAGTCCTACAACTGCAAGGAACTGAATTCTGCCAACAACATTAAGTGAGCTTGGAAGTGGATTCTGTCCCAGAGCCTTCTAAAAAGGAAGTTTATATTTTGATTTAAGACTGTGAAACCCTGAGCAGAGAGCCCAGCCATGCCATAGCCAACTCCTGTCCTAGAGAAATTGTGAGATAGTAAATCTGTGTTATTTTAAGCTGCTAATTTCATGGTAATTTTCTATGCAACAATAGAAAACTAACTGGTCTCTAACTGGTCTCCCTGACTCCACTGTGATCCTCATCCATTTCAACATCTAAACTGCTGCCAGAGATCTTTCTAAACTGCAAACATCATCATATTAGTTCTCGTGCACAAACCTTCAGCGGGAGTGAAAAAAAGAGAGACTTACATGTGAGCTATGTGCAATATACCTCTATGTGAAAAGCTGCAATAATGAACAGTAAAATATCTATACTTTTTAAAAAATTAGTAATCTTCCATCACATTAATGATGAAATCTATACCCTTCAGATGTCATGAGCAGATACCTAGGACTTATTTCATCTCCCAATGCTTTCCCACCAACATCCTACTGTCCAGCCATTTCAAATGATCATACTGTTGAAAATGCCGTACTGTTTAATCCGACTGCCTGCTATTTAGGTGTATGAAAACTCCATACTCTGTAAGACAGCTCAAGCACATCTGCCCTAACACACTCCCCATGATACCTAGGTTCCCACCTTACTGAACCAAGACATTTTTCCTTTCCAGAGTCTCTGTATATCACTTTATCTTAGCATCTAGTATACTGTGATGTCACTAATAATGTGCCAGACCCTCCTTTAGATGAGGGGACAGAAGATATAACTTTTAACTGTGTCCCTATATCTGTCAGACACTGATAGTGCAATGGTCAAAATATGTATGTCCTCTCCCAAAGCATACATTGAATCCCAAACCCAGTGTGATGGTATTTAGAGGTGGCACCTTTGGGGGTGAGTAGGTCATGAGGGTAGAGCCCTCATAAATGAGATCAGTGCCCTTATAAAGGAGGCCTGAGGAAACTCCCTTACCACTTTTGCCATGTTAGGACACAGCAAGATGACCATCTATGAATCAGGAAGGGAGCCCTCACAGACACAGAATCTGCTGGCCCCTTGACCTTAGACTTCCCAGGCTTCAGAACTGTGAAATTAATGCTTGTTGCTTAAGCCACCTATCTATGGTATTTTTGTTATGGTAGCCCATACAAACTAACACAGAAAGTTAAAAAAAATGCCTATTCAGAGAACAATTTCCTAATGAAGATTACTAAAATACTAAGCAGGAGTTAGGACCAACTAGTGAAGATAGAGCCTGATAAATTTAGGTCATGAAAACTTGTATTTTTTTTCTAAAAACTGATAAGAGAAACAATTCAGACTAAATTTTACATAAACTCCAATATGGAAAAATTAAGAGCCTTATATATTGGAAAACTCAAAAAAGTCATTAAAATATTGATAATGTATTAGGTAAAAAGAGCTAATATTAATTTATAAAATGTTATTTAAATTCAGTAATAAGAATGACATAATAAAAAATGAACAAAGGGTATGAAAAAGCAACTTATGGAATAGAAAATATACATACATGATGAATGTATTAAAATGTTCATACTCATTAACAATCAAATAAATGCTAATTAAAACAAAGAACTATTTTCTGCCCATTAAGTTAGCAAGAACAAAAAAGTTTAAATAATAACACTAGTCTTAGCAAAACTCACAGGATAAAGAGCATTCTCTTAAACTGTTGGCTGTATGCAAAAAAATCAATACAATTGTTCTGATAAAACAAGTTAGCAATATATAAAAGAGTCTCAAAAATCTTCATGATTTTCAGATCAGCAATCCCACTGATAAGAATTCATCCTAAGGAAATAATTATAGAAAAAAGACTGAGTTGCAAAGATGTGTTTATAATAATACAGTACTGGGAGGGAAAAACTGAATATCAAATAGGAATAAATAGCATTTAAATAAGTCATAGTATATCCATAAATACAATATTACAGTCATTAAAAAGTATGTTGTCTATGAATATCTATCTAATGGTCTGGGAAGATGATAATAATACATTGGTGAAAAACCTAGGTTAGTTAAATATACCTAACGTATTTTTGTACATAGTTTTCACTAAATGTACTGCAGCTGGCTGTGAAATACATAGTTTTTACAAAATACATATGTAGCTGGATGGTGGGACTGTTGGTAAAGGCTGTTTTTAGGGGTTATCATAATTTATGATTCAAACCAAAACATTTTTAAAAATGAAAGGGAGGGGATCCCTGGGTGGCTCAGTAGTTTGGTGCCTGTCTTTGGCCCAAGACGTGATCCTGGAGTCCCGGGATTGAGTCCCGCGTCAGGCTCCGGGCATGGAACCTGCTTCTCCTTCTGCCTGTGTCTCTGCCTCTCCCTCTCTCTCTATGTCTATCATGAATAAATAAATAAAATCTTAAAAAAAATAAAAATAAATAAAAATGAAAGGGATAGTTGCTAATTGGGACAAAAGGTGCAAATCAGCTCTGTTCTAAACAAACTACAATGTGTGGTTACTTTGTTTTCATTTTTTAAATTATTGTCTTTATCAGGGGTGGGCTAACTACAACCTGTGAGCCAAATCCAGCCCATGACCTGTATTAGTAAATAAAATCGTACTGGAAAACAGATACCCGCCCCATTCATTTACATACTGTCCATGTTTTCCCACCACAAGGGCAGAAATGAATAGTTGGAAAACATACTATGGCCCTTGAAGCCTAAATATTTACAATCTGATCCTTTAAAGAAATTCTGCTGACTCTTGATCTGTACTATCTACAATGAATAAGCATAATTCTAGCAATAAAAGAGTTATTTTTTAAACACCAACTTTAGAAGAAATGCTATTTTTATGTAATCATTAAAGGTAAAACAGATCAGCATAATGATAATTACTTCAGTCAAAGCATTTCCTATTAGAGTCTTCTAAAGCTACAAGGAGACTAAATAATTGTACTGGTCAGAAATATCTTACTAATTACTTCCCAAAAAACCTCTATAAGTGACTAGATTTAAAGTTATTATGATTTTTCATTTTACTTGAAGAAAAACCAGATATATAACATGTACAGTAATATTCCTACAAAGTACTTAAATCAAACAAGTTCTAAAGTATTATTACCAGAAACAACCCACCCAAAAAACCCTATTTTCATTACCTAGTTTTGAATTACATAAAAGGTATACAATTTTAAAATGAATTAACACATTACCATTGTAGCTAAGTACAACATATACTACAAATAAACACTGTTTTGAGTCTAATCTAATGCACAAAATACAAAATTATGGCCATAAAAATAAATGATTACTTGTCCAATCAGTAAAAAAACACTTTTTAGATTGTTTTGCGCATATTTTTACTTAATGGGCAAATCATGTGACTGGTTAACTCCTTGAAAAAGTTTGTGGTTTAAGTCTGAATCCTATCGTTTTAGTTTTCCTTTCTCTTCTTCCAGCCAAATATATTTCAAAGCAGTAGAGTAAGGAATCTAATGCAGATTTTTGCCTATTGTAAATACTCTGCCTTAATCCTATTAAAGTACATAACTTAGAAGGTTCTGAAAATTGTTAACATTTAATAGTCATTTTGGAACAAGTGATATAGGAAAAATTTCAGGAAAATAAACTTAGTGGTTTAGTCCAAGTTCTTCTATTTGGAAAAATTATCTACCATTCCCAAAATACTTAGAAAAAAATTAAAAAAAACACACAGATGTAATACCATCCTTAAAAAAGGTATGCTAATCATCTAAAATAAAACCTTATAGTAAGAAAAAGTAATTCATGAACCCAGTCTCCATAGCTGGATTTACAATTCACATGTAATAGTATGACTACTACACCTACAAAGTCTATTCTAGACCCCATATCTCAGTAGTTGTTTAACTGGAATAACCTCCTTAACTATGCTGAGTCTCAGTTTCAGCATCTCCAAAACGAGAGGGTTAGAACAGATGATTTCAAAGGACTCATCTAGATTGTATTTTTGTGACTAAATGACAATGAGCATTTTATAATTTTAGTACAGTTCTCCAAGTCCTCTGCCATTTTAGTTTTCGAAATTCTTATCATCTATATAGTTTGCATTTGAAAAAAAATGTCACTTAAAGTTAATACCTATTTGTAATCATAAGGATTGCCTTCTTGCTTCCAGAAATAGCACAGTGGTATCGATACGTCTCTCCTTCTAACTTTCTGATATGATTCTGAAAAGAAAACAAGACTCAAAATTTGCATAGTACATGCATCCAAATAGCATTTCCAATACTGTATATTAGTTAATTATAGTAACAGCGCTAGTTAGGGAAAAAAAATATTAGAAACAAAGGCACAATATTGGCATGTGAAGCTAGAAAACTATTCACAGCATAACTCTGAGTGTGCCTTAAGAGACAAATCTGTATTAAATGCTTACTAAATGATCTTATAAAATACATCTCATTCTGTGACAACACATAGGTTTAAAAATATCTACCAGAGGTAATCACGCATTTTCATTAATGGAATACGAACACATGCTAATATGGAGTGTGACATTAACGTTATAGGGGTTCTTAACCTTGGGCCCATGGAAAGACTCTGGGAGGTCTATGAACTGCACCTAAAATAGCACATAAAATTTTGAAAATGTGGTTCTGCAACTTTTCTCAGAAGATGGTTCATATTTTTCATCACTTTTTTAGTAGGTCTGTGATCCTTCTCAAAGGTTACGAACCACTGATTTATATAGATAGATATATACATAATAAAATTTCAAGATAGCTGATCCTAATGTTTTTGAGTATTTGGTCTTATAGATTAAACATGCATGAAAAGTACATGTATGTAACAAATTATATTCTTGAAAGAAAAGAAAATATAATGTCAATATTAACAAACATGAAAAATTTCTAAGATTTCAAATAGCTGGCACAATTTATTGCTAAAGACAATAAACAAGCATAAATAATTCAAGTATAAATAGTAGCACATTAAAATACATTTATTTTCATTTCAACTATCTCCAAACTATTGTGATTTGAATTAAGCACACATTAAAAAATGAGTAAAATAGTTATTTTTATAATTAATGCTAATCGAATATTATTGACATTATCTATAATGCATGATTAAGGATCAGATGATATAATGTATATGAAACTACAGAACATAAATATAACTAATAAATAAGACTATAACATTTATAACCAAGAATACATCAATATTATTAAAAGGATAACAATCGATAATAATCACAAGCAGAGAAAACACATTTGTTATTTCAATGCTTACATACATACACATTTTCCAAAAATTCTTGGTTCAGTCATTCCTTGACAATTATGAAAAGCCAAGAACAAAGAAGATGAATCCCAGAAGTGGGATCTCATCTTAGAATGAGTCTCAGAGACAAGTGGTATTTAAGTCACTTGTTTCACATCTTGCCTTTGTGGATTAGCTAAAATCTTTTAACATTTATACCTTAAGTTCTTTAATTAAGAGAAAATGGGAAATGAATAGAACAATTCAGTATATTTATTTTTAGCTTTGAAATTTAAATGTTAAAATATTTAGATGTGAGATGCAATGTAAAAGAAATACTACCCACTTTCCATTGTGTATGCATTTTCATTAGTTATCAGGCTATTGTATTCTGAACCACTGAAAGCTTTTAAAGTGTAATTTATCATCATATTTACTACATGATAGAAACTGTTTTCAGTATGACTAAAATCCACTATACTCTGAGATCAGATTAAGATATTGAGTCACTGATGGCAGCAGAAGACCAGATTATAGCTGATAAAATATTTACTCCCTTCCCAAAATGCAACTTGAGGAATTTACAATATTTAGCAAAAGCATTCAATATTTTCAAGTAAATTCTAAGTAAATAATATATGAAAAATCAGTATGTATAATGAATGATGTCTATCACAGAATTATTACTATTAGTAAAATAACAAGTATTTTTAAGGCCAACAACTTGGAATAGTCAAATACACATTGTTAAGTTTACTTCAAGAGATGGTAATGCAAGAATTGAGAATGAAATATTTCTATGAACATGGAAAAAATAATTAAAATTAAAAAGCAACAAACATTTTAAATATTATATAGTCATAAGTATGTAAACCAAGAGAATATTAAATAAAAACTATTTTATATATTTCATATATGTATCATATATATGTGTGTACATATATATATATGCATGTGTAAACAGTAATTATCTTAGGAGAATAAAGGATAAGCAGGAAAGTATATCCTATGAAAACATAGTATATGATTTAGTAACTTTCCAAGCTGAGTCAAGAATACAAAGCAATACTCAAGAGAAAAGGAAAATAGGGTAAATGAAAAGAAGCCCAAATAATTTAGAATGTACCCATATTACAGTAAGGGTTGGGAGGACAGATTTTTACACTCTAGTGTTAATACTACATGTTTTGATATACTTGGTCCCTTAAGGACTGAAGTCTTACTTCTTTTGTATATCCAGCACAGTTTAGATAATAAATACTTCATACCAAAGTGATTACAGCAAGATAGGCAAGGAATGAAATAGCCTGAATTTAACTATCTATGCCTACCCTTGTTACTCATGGAAAAAAATTATCAAGTCCTCTCATTAATGTACAATCATTCTATTTTTTCCAGTAACTATAATAATATATTAAAGTTTAAAAGGTTGTCTGATATCATAACAAAAACTAATAAATCAGACAAGATACTCAGCTAAAATAATAAAAAGTTACTTGAATTTTGTGCTTATAGACATACAGTTATAAAAAGGGAAATCACAAGATTAATAACATAAAGAGCTAAACAAACAAAAAGTAAACCATAAGAAAAAAATTTAAACAAGTTATACAATTTCCCAAAAGTCAAGTCTCATTAAAATGACAACATATCCAGGAAAATTAAAAATCGTTATTTTTACCTAAGAAGGAAGGCTAATTATTAGTGATGATTTAAGACAGCATCTTGAATTAGTTACTGTGCTTGGTTCTCAGAAACTGTACATGCGGTGACATTTTTGCCAACCCTCAATTATCTAGGCACAAGAAAAGTTTGTCAGCTATGGTTTTAGGCTGATCTTTAGGTGTCATTCTTTCTTCTTTAAGTGCTTGTTTTAAATAAGCATTCAATTTATTCTTTCAGTAACTGCAGTTTAAACAATACATAATCCAACTGAACAGTTATATGTCAGCTGTTTCACTCTCTACAAATGGACGGTACATTAAATATAAGTTTACACTTTGGTTTCAATTTTGGGGAGAAGAATGAAAGTTGCCAGATAAGATGCTGCTAAATCAAATCAAACATTTCAAACATTTCTACCACTTATAAAAGAAGAGAAATCAAAACACAATTTATTTTCAGAACTATTAGGGTACCAATTTCAAAATGACACTTTAGAATAATTTTTGTTCTCATTAAGATAAATCCTCCTTAAGAACTTAAAAGCAAAAAGGATTGGTTTTTAAAAATAAAGATATCTATAAAAAATAAAGTTATATATAAATTCAATGGACACATAAATAATTTGCCGAATTACATGTTCTACTCCTATTTATGTTAATTAAAACATGTGAAATAAGCACAACCAACAAAGAGATGCAAGTTCTGGGGATGCCTGGGTGGCTCAGTGGTTAAGTGGCTGCCTTCAGCTCAGGGCATGATCCTGGAATCCTGGGATCAAGTCCCACATCAGACTCCATACAGTCTCTGCCCCTCTCTCTCTGTGTCTCTCATGAATAAATAAATAAAATATTTAAAAGAAAAGAAAGAGATTCAAGTTCTGAAAAGCAAAAATGCTAATGGATGCCTAAGTCTCTGCCTTCTCTCTCTGTGTCTCTCATGAATAAATAAATAAAATCTTTAAAAGAAAAAAAAAAGAGATTCAAGTTCTGAAAAGCAAAAATACTAACGGCTGAGGATGTATGTAATATATATATAATATGATTGCCATTTGTCCAGTGAGAGTTCTGAGAGGTTAAAAAAAGAAAAGAGATTAAGGGAACACGTTCTCAAAATTCATGCCTCAACTCTGATTGAGGTCTAAGGACAGACCAACAGCTACTTATATTTCAATTATTAAAACATATGCCCCAGTTAACACCCCTATAATTTGATTCAATCTCAGATGATGTGTGAAACAGAGTTATGTAATTCCATCATCAGGACTCACAAATGTAAAGAACACAAAATAGACTGGACCTGACAATTGTCCTTATTTTTCAACTTTACCTGAAAGTCATGAATACCATAAGAAAAGAAAAAATTTTCAAAATGATAGTAAAATTGCTTCTGGACACAAATAAAGTCTTTCACCAATTAAAAAAGAGGAGAGTTTATTTCCTACACCCTCTAATTTTTTTTTTACTAATCTCTTATTCCTGTGCAGTATTACTAAGAATACCATCATCTTTGTTTGTAGTCAAGCTACTACAATAAAAAGCTGAGAGGTGAGAGTTGTAAAGAAAACTTCATTGAAATGAACACTCAATCTAAATAAATCTAAGACAGTCAATTAATACCACAGTTTGTTTTGATTTTTAAGGATGAAATCAAGTAGTAGTATAGGAAACATTTACTCCTGTATTTCCGGTTCTTGCTGTGTAGGCAGAAAAAGAAAGAAAATAAAGTTAGAAGCATGCAGAAAGATAAAATGTAGTCAAATACAATAAAAACCAAAGGCTAAGAATAATAAAGAATCATATTATTTTGAGGTCAAAGTAGGGAAACATTAAATTTTTGGGAAGGGGGATTCCAGTCAAGGGAGAAAAGCAATTTACATATGTATGTAGTATTATTTAAATGTAGTAAAGTTAAAACTAAAATAAAAGCCAAAAAAATCCACCCTAAAATATTTTTAAGATTTAAAAAGACTGTCATTGTACATAATCTTTTTCTCTTTCCTCTAGTTTCTGTTTATCTGAATAAATCTAGATTTACAGAGTAATCCAAATAAATTAATTTGGCCTGGAGAAAAAGAAGCAGTGGAATTCCTATAATTAGCTACAAAAGTAGGAGACCAAAGTAAACAGTTAACTAAATGAACTACCACACAAATAGTAAAAAGCCTATGACATCTTTTAACATCCTCTCTGCACAAAGATTCTTTGTTCTTGTGTAGAAAAAAACTACCAGTCATTCCGATTTAACACACTATGCAAAAATAAGAAATAGATAATAAATTCTACTCTACAAACCATGTTCCCTGTGTAATCCTTAATGAAGTTCATGAATCAGGAGCTTTAAGAACGACCCATGAAATTCTTGTCCTAGAAATATTTAATATTAAATTTTACCCATGACCACGAAGAAGAGAATTTATACCTCATATAAATCATAGCCCTCGGATTCCTGTCTTTCATATGGGCGAATGATGCCATCTTCATGGATGAAACGAGGGGGACGGAGCCTGGACACTTCCTCGGTTGATTCTGCGGCCCTGTATAGGGCAGCAGAATAAATATAAGAAAATATATGAGAATCTTTCAAAATTATAAATAGAAATACATATGTAATACTAAATACTGTACATTTCATATGATATCAGCATTTGATAAAAACAATAATTTTAAATAATGTGCCCATTATAATGTGGCAAGTCTTTTTTAAAACCAAGTCTGTCAGACTCCAAGTTTCCCCACTTTTCCTTAGAGAAAAAAAAATAACAAAATAACAAAGGCAGGGACTAGGTTGTCCACTCTGTATAGGCAGCTAGCACAGGGCCTGGCATGTAGTAGGTACCAATCAACATTTGTTGAACAAAAGAGAAAGTGAACTGTAAAAGCTGTCTCTTCTTACTCCTTTCTGGTGGCACCCCACCTTGTGATCCATCATAGTTTTCACTTAGACCTCCACATCCTGAAGAACAGGCAGTGTTTAACTCGTTTATATATTCCTAGCAACCATTAGCACACAGACACATACCTTGCACACAGTACGCATACTTAATTACCTCTGAATTCCTTGAAAGGTGCTGCTAGCCATATCTATGATTCCACCAGTTGGACGAGCCACAGCACCCACAAGCCCCTTTCCAATTCCTTTAAAGAATCCAGCAGCTCCTTCCTTTTTGGCACCTTTATAGAACCAGGATAATGAATGTATAAAGATATTTTATAATAAGCAAGTTTGAACTCAACAAAAGCCTGAGTCAAATACTGAACTGTTTTACTCAGGACGCTTCTAAATTTTGGCTTTCTAAAGAAGTTAAATCTAATCCTAACCCATAAAAACCAGTGGTCTTCAAAATGTGTTAAAAACATAAATTATTAGGCCACACCCTAGACCTACTGAATCAGAAACCCCGGGAAATAGATCCTAGCAATCAATGTTTTAACATGTCCTCCAGGTCATCCTAAGTTATGCTCAAGTTTTACAACCTCCGATTCTTAAAAAAATGACCAGGAATTTTTCTCTTTATGTCTACCATCAGGAGATTTTCCAAGCAGTGTACTTTTTAAAAAATGTAAGAACTTTATTGAATCTTATAGTTCACATATCATATAATTCACCCACTGAAGTATACAAATTAAATGTTTTTGGTACATTATTAGCACTGTGCAACCATCACCACAATCATTTTTAGAAAATGTGTATCATCTCAAAAAGAAACCCCATGACCATTGGGATCATTCTCTACTTCCTTCAACCCATCTTCACCTGATCCTGTGCAATTTAACTCCTTCCTCCCTGCCCTCCAGACCAAGGCAACCACTAGTCTACTTTCTATCTCTATGGATTAGCCTATTCTGGACATTTCCTACAACTGGAATCAAACAATATGTGGTCTCTGTGACCAGCTTTTTTCACCTAGCAATATGTTTTCAAGGTGCATCCATCCTGTACTTGTATCAGTACTTGATTTCTTTTTACAGCTGGATACTATACCATTGTAAAGGTATACCACATTTTGCTTAATGGTGCATTAGTTGGAAGTCATTTAAGCTGCTAACACATTCTGGCTATTACGTTCTGTGAACATTTATATATAAGCTTTTGAGTGAACATATGGTTTTGATTCCCTTGGGTATATACCTAGAAGTGGAGTTGTTGTCAGACACATAAAGTGTATGTTTATATCCAAGTATACCAGCACCATTTGTTGAAAAGGTTATTTTTCATGGAATTATCTTGGCACCCTTGTTGACAACAATTGACCACAATTGTAAGGGTTTATTTCTGGAATCTCAAGTCTATTCCACTGATTTATATGTCCATACATATGCCAGTAACACATTATCTTAGGTACTGTATCTTTATGATAAGTTTTTAAATTGGATACTGTAAATTCTCCAACTTTGTTCTTTTTCAAGATTGTTGTAGCTATTTGGAGTCATTTGATTTCCCATATACACTTTGGAATCAGCTTATCAATTTCTGTAAAAAAGCCAACTGGGGTTTTGATTAAAGTACTTTTTAAAGAGGGTTAAAAAAAAATGAATCAGTTGCTATTCAGGACCTAAAGGAACCTAGTTTATCGTCCTGCTGAAAATTACATTCAAAATCTGAATCAGAGTCTATTACTTCATAGACTCTACTTTCTGAAGAAAGTACATTCATTAAAAAACAATTTAAGACTATGAACATAAAATTAGAAATTCTCTCAATCAAATAACTAGTAGCAATAACATTATGTTTATTACATATCAACTCTTTAGACTTTGTACACAAATGAAACATTCTCAACCTACCTTCCACAGGTTTTGTTATTATCCCAGTTACTCCACCAACAACTCCCTGAAAAATATCAATCATAAACCTGAATGGAAGGTGCTTAATCTTATGTCAACCACTAGAGGTCTCTACATACATACTAGAAATAATTTTTAAAGAATGAGGACTTATTTGATAATGTAAACAACATATACCTAAGTGAGCACTATTTTAAATATTATACAATAGAAAATTTTAAATAAAAGAATCTTATAGAAGTAAAATTTTATGATAGAAAGAATAGGAAAGCAAGTGAAAATATTCTACATCTGGCTCTGGCACCAATTAGCTATGTAACCACTGATTCAACCTCTTTAAGTCTCAGTTTCCATACCAGTAAAATGAATGAGTTGAGCCAAATAATCCCTAAGATCCAATGATAAATTTTAGTGAAATAAATTTGTAATTTAGTGTAAGTGTGGAAAACTGAAAATAAAGGGTCCCGTGAAGAATCCCAAATAGCCTGATAAGTAAAGCACTTTTATACAACATTACACGTCACTGGTACAAACACAGAAATTATAGTTTCTGAAATTGTTTCCAAAATTAAAATAGTAATACATTTATACATTCTTAATACTTGCCAAATAATGGTAGTAAATAAGACCACCTATATATTATACAAATGCACAGAAAGAGAACTGAAGTATATATACTGCTGAGAAGATGAGAAATTTCTGGGAAGAGGTGAGGGTGATCAAATAGTACTTTATAGCTTTATCTAAAATATTTCCATTATTTATTAAAAGAAGAACTTACAAATTCTTATAATTACTTGTAAGAGAATATTCATATATTATTTGTGTAATTTTTAAAGTGCTGAAAAAACAATGAAAGGCAGTTCCTGGTTTATGAATGCTTAGTTAGTATACCTTCCCCTCCACAGAAATGGTCAACTGATAATGATCTGAACAACTCCTCCTCCCTCTAGTTACCATGATTTACCGTATTTCTCTCTGCTTTGCCTCTCTGCCTTCCAGAAGAATGCTAACCAGCCATCATTACAGAGTTCTCACTCCAGCCCAAGTGCCAAACCAAGTCTGGGATTGGGGGATAGATGTGACAGTGATATCGGGGAAGGAGAGCATACGAGGGAACAGAAAAGCCCACAACTTATCACTCCTGCTCCTGACAGACCTTTACTCATAAGTAATATTCCAAGTTTCAAAGAAACCAGCTAAAGTACATATTCTAAAGTGTTCATCAAAGTTCAGGGTTTCTTGAATATCCAGTATAAGAGACTTACACGTAGGAAGCCCTTTCCTCCTCTGGCCAGGCTATCTCCAAAATCTTTAGGTTGTCGACCCATCTCTTCTCTTCTTTTTTGCTGATATTCCTTGTCCATTGTAATTGCTGCCAAACCTTTTCCAACAGAACCGGTGATGCGGGATACAACTCCTGCTGCACCACCTATTAGAAGACCCAGAGAAATAAATCACATTATTTCTTTAAAAAGCCAGTGTGGCTTGGCAGTTAAGCATCTGCCTTTGGATCAGGGCGTGATCCTGGGGTCCTGGGATTGAGTTCCCCATTAGGCTACCTGTGTGGAGCCTGCTTCTCCCTCTGCCTATGTCTCTGCCTCTCTCTGTGTCTCTCATGAATAAATAAAATCTTAAAAAAAATAAATAGCATTACCACAGTACACAGCACCCCCTGCTTTAAACAGGTGCTTCAGATTCTGTCTCATATACAAACATACAGAAATGTATTTTACATTTTACATTTACCAAGAAGAGGAATAAAACTATTTAAAGTACATGGATTCTCCAAAATTTTTCTGTAAACCTAAAATTGTTCTAAAAAATATTGTATTTTTAAAAAGCACACTGATTCAACACTACAAAGAAATATAAACAAATCCATGAGTCTATATTATTTTTCACTTAAGAACAAGGGTAGGATTTACATCAACATGGATGGAACCAGAGGGTATAATGCTGAGTGAAATATGTCAACTGGAGAAAGACAATTATCTTATAGCTCCACTCATATGTGGAATATAAGAAATAGTGAAAGGGACCATAATGGAAGGGGGAAAACTGAGTGGGGAAAAATTAGAGAGGAAGACAAATCATGAGAGACTTCTAACTCTGGGAAATAAACAAAGGGTTGCAGGAGGAGAGGTGGGTGGAGAGATGGGGTTACTGGGTAAACCCAGTATACGCCCTCCTTGATGGGCATATAATGAGATGAGCACTGGGTGTTATACTATACGACAGCAAATTGAGTTTAAATTAAAAAAAAAAAAGAAAACTAGAATCCACATTATGCTGATTGAAAAAAAAAGAACAAGGGTAGGTACATATGTTATAAAAGGGATTAGAAAACTGATCACTATTTATTTAAAGATTTTGTTTGTTTATTCATAAGAGACACAGAGAAAGGACACAGAGACAGATGCAGGTTCTCTGTGAGAAGCCTGATGTGGAACTCGATTCCAGGACTCTGGGATCATGACCCAAGCCAAAGGCAGACACTCAACCATTAAGCCACCCAGGTGTCCCTATTTTTTTTTTTTTTTTTTAATTTTATGGGCAGCCCCGGTAGCTCAGCAGTTTAGTGCCAGGGCGTGATCCTGGGCGTGATCCTGGAGACCCGGGATCGAGTCCCAGGTCAGACTTCCTGCATAGAGCCTGCTTCTCCCTCTGCCTGCGCCTGTGCCCGCACCCGCCCCCCCCCCTTTCTCTCTCTGGGTCTTTCATGATTAAATAAATAAAATCTTAAAAAAAGAATGAAGTCTTTTTTTTTAATTTTTATTTATTTATGATAGTCACAGAGAGAGAGAGAGAGAGAGAGAGAGAGAGAGAGAGGCAGAGACATAGGCAGAAGCAGGTTCCATGCACCGGAAGCCCGATGTGGGATTCCATCCCGGGTCTCCAGGATCTCCAGGATCGTGCCCTGGGCCAAAGGCAAGCACTAAACCGCTGCGCCACCCAGGGATATTTTTTTTTTTTAATTATTTATGATAGTCACAGAGAGAGAGAGAGAGAGAGAGAGAGAGAGAGAGGCAGAGACATAGGCAGAGGGAGAGAAGTCTTCTTATAAAAAAAAAAAAAGATTTTATTTATTCATTCATGAGAGACCCAGAGAGAGAGGCAGAGATGTAGGCAGAGACGTAAGCAGGCTCCTTGTGGGGAGCTCAATGTAAGACTTGATCCTGGAACTCCAGGATCATGCTCTGAACTAAACGCTCAAACGTTGAGCCACCCAGGCATTCCGGTGCCCCTATTTTTGGTAAACCCTGCATTTTAGATAACTGTAGTAAAAAGTACATATATTTATATACATAAATATGTGATACATACCTACAGTGTGTCCAAAGAGACTTCTTACTCCAATCACTAACCCCTCAGCAAATTCTTCAGGGCCTTGAACAGCACCCTGGTCAAAAAAAAAAAAAAAAAAAAAAAAAAGGTTACTAATTTAAAATAAACTTAAAACTTTTAATCTAGTACTTTAGGGTTTCCAGGAAGATACAGAATCTGTGAAGATCGACAAACACTGTGCTATAACAGTTTTCACACTGTAACTCAAATATGGACAGCAGATCTATATGCTCTCAGGAAACTCTTGTGAGATGATAAAAACTGGATAGGAATAAATTATGGCTTTAGTCATAATCTGAAGTTGGCCTCCCAGTACCAAGTCCCATCAGACTGCTGAAGCCAGCTGCCCTGGTAACAAGAATGAGAGCCCACAGAGTCTTGTTCTCCCAAGTGTTCTGTTTTGTCCTGCTAAAACTCTCCCTACTTTGAGCTCATGAATCCCTTAAGTGTAAGTGAACAGGTTACAGGAAAGTCTAAATACAAGACATCATCTTTCATATTCCATGAGTCCTTCCCACAGCAGTGAAATAGCCTTAAAATGGGGTTAATCTACCTATCATTCCTCCTTACAACTACATGAAATCCTGGAAAACTTGGGCATGTTTTATCACTCAGACACTAGACATGCTCGATTACTTCTACAACAATCTTTCAATGTCATCTCAAGCAATTTTAAATAAAATATGATATTAATGTATTTCTGTTATTTGAACATTATTCAATTCTCAGATACAATTAAAATATAAATTATCAGTCATTAAAAAATAGAATATCATTTTCTGTACCTATACTTAAATAAAAGGTCAATACCTGGAAGGGTTCATAGAATAAAGCTTCAACTCCTTCAGACAGACCTCTAATTAATCCAAATGGGTTTCCAAGCACATCTAAGCCCAATACCAGGACATACATCTGTTTCAAGAACTAAAGAGGAAAAAAATATATATTAAGTCCTTTACTCCTGCTATAGCTGTAAGAAATAGTAACATGATGCTTTGGGAATAAAGGAGAATATTGGCTACATTAGGTTGTTAAAGGAAATCTATACAGAACAACCGTGACTACATCCATTAATTGATTTCACTATGTGCCAGTCATTAAACTAGTATAGGTTCAAGGCAGTCTGCCAGTTAACAGCTATGTAACCTTGGACAGGTCAACTGGTCTCTACAGGCCTTAGTCTCCTCTTATAAAAAATGAGAGGTGGATTACATGGACCTTGCATGGCTGAGAACACATATTAAATGAATATCTAATTCAATAATAATTACTTATTTTGGTTATTCTAATAGTTACTATCACTATTACTATGAAACTAGATGGGGGAAATAATTAATAACCAAAACAAAACACAAATGAAAACATATCCTTATTTGAACACATAATAACCATAATGTCTATGTACACTGTAGGAGAAAAGACCTTCCAGCAGAGGAAGGAAAGAAGAATGTCACCCTGGAGTTCCATGGTACAGCAATGCTACCCTAAAACAACTACTATGCCTCTGCATACAATTCAAATCATAGAGTAACTGAGGCATGGCAAAGAGCCTGGCCTGAATTCCTCTCCTGACTCTACCAGATTATGCTTAGAACTGTAGACATTTACAAAATAAGTGTGATGCCTCCTACATTAGTATTCTTTTCCAAAGTGGTAAATGTATAATTGCAAAGGGAAAAAGTTAAGAAAACTACAAAGTAATGAGACTGCAAATTGAGGTAAATTAGATAAACAATATAGCACAGTGTGCCGTCACATACAGATGTTTTGTTTGATATTTTATGAAGTATATTCCTTGTGAACTACTATGATAGGCAATTACCTGTTCAGTGTAATGTCTAACAACACTCCACATAAGCTGATCTCTCTTGTAAAACTGATACCGAATTTCGTAATAAGCAAGTCTGGGAGGATAAAGAAAGAGTCAAAGGCATGATGATTACATTCTGAAAGAAAGAGACTTAAAATTTCAATGATAAATTAATCACTGCTAATTCTTTCACAGTTCAATTTGTACATATGCCAGGTATAATTTATGTTTGAGATCTTAATATTATGGTAACAAAATTACTGTAAAAATAGTGCACTCTCATACAAGTCTCTCATAAATACATAAAGAGTAAAAAGGTTGAAAAACTCAACCATAATCTCTTTATACAGTGGATTTTTTAGGCATTTTTTTTCTTGTCATTTCCCACTTTGAATTCTTTCTTTTCTATCCAATTCAAAAATATTTAAGACATTTTGCATGCATTTTTACATTCAATATTGTGAATATGTATTCCTCTAGGTTATTCAAAACTCCATGTAGCCATTTTTAATGGATGCATAGCATTCTGTAATGTGGAAGTGTCATAACAATTCTACTATTGTCAGACATTTCGAAATCTTGACAATAATAATTAACACTGCCATATGTAAATTTTGTATATGACTCTTTGGTTGCATTTCAAGATTTTTTTTTGCTTACTGAATTCCCAATAAAAGAATTACTGAGTGAAAACCACAAGAACATATCTCTTTCCATTCATACAAATAGTTTTTTTTTTTTAAAGCTCTCATTTGTTAGAACCAACTGTCTCTAGTTTTAGGATTATTCATATTTTGAAACCTTTGATAATTTTCTTTAATTTTCATATAATATATGATAAATGATAAAGCTGAGTATTTCAAATATCTATCAGCCACTGTATCTTCCCTTTTGAAAATTATCTCTTATTGTCTGTTGGCAATTATGGCACTGGAATCTTTAGGTTTGCCTTATTGAAGTTTAATATTAGGACTATTAATCTTCTGTCATACTTGCCATTGTATTTTCCCAGTTCATTTTCTAATTGTTTCCACTGATTTTGTTATAAAAGTGTTTAATTTTTATGTAGTCAAATCTACCTTTTATTTTCACTGCAGATTTTCCCATTGCTCTTAAACTGAGAATATTTCCTCTACTCAGAGATTTGACAACGATTAACCTGGATAATTTCGTCTTTTTCATTTGTATTTTATATTTACCCTTGCATTCCGATGAAATTTGATAGTATATGAGCAGGTGGAAATGATACAAATGGGTTTTTCTTTCTCCAAGGTAAGTACTTGTTCCAATATCATTGCTGGATATTCAATTCAATAAACATTCATTGAATTTACATGTGTCTAGCACACATATAAATGTTGCAAAGAGTTACTTTCTATAGTCTCCCATACTGAAATCTCACCATACGGCTACTTATCTCTAAATATGTGTTTTAAAACACCGTCAATTTATAAGCTACTACTAAAATATTTCCTTTTATTCTATATTCATGTTTTATCAACATATGAATAATTGAAGAAAAAATAAAACTCTTCATGAGTAAAACAAGCGTATGTAAAAAGCACGATTAAGAAAGAGGCCAAACTTTAAGTACAGTGAGAATGATCATTTCCTAAGCTAACATTCTAGCCCAAATGGAAAGAATTAATATCTAGAAACAAACTTGGTACAAAATCCTCCCCATCTTCTTAAACATAAATCTTACTTGAATATTAGGTCATCCACATCAGTCAGCGTAGCACCTATGCTTTTCAATAGCAGATTGACAGAATGAATTGCAATCATTTCCTGTTTTTCTTTGTCTGACTCTTCACTTCCAGTACCCAACGACAGACTCAAGTGCAACTAAAAGAAAAAGAATGTTCAATAAATAAAAGTTAAAAACAAAAACAAAAATTAATATACACAGGAACAAAATCTTACAGATACAAATAGATGTCATATCTTCCAGAGTCCTAAAGAAAGCTGTTATTGTTATTCTACACACTACTCAGGGTAACTCACTAATATCTGATTCTCATATTTGCTTTTTGATAAAGTACAAATTAGTATGTTCCAAAGAGCTAAAATTTTATCTAAAGTGTATAAATACCATTGTGTTTATATGGAATGGCTCAAAACACTTTACAAAAATAGTATAATCATTTGAAAAAGAAAACCATGTCAACTGGCACACAAAACATGTCTACTGGTTAAAATAATAAATAATCATGTATTTTCATCCAATTAAGGTAAATAATTCATGGAAATAATTAACAATAACATTATAATTATACAATAATAATTGGTAGCAACAACATGACAGTTATGGCAACAATTAGCAAGTTGCTAAATAAATTTTAAAAGAGTAATACAGTTTTCAGCTTCCACAGACTCCTTCAACTCATACTTAGACGTGAGATTTTCACATTCCCATTTAGTTTCTTATACCTTGTGCTATATCATCAATAGTGCAATAGTGGCAAAAGACACAGGCAGAAGATAGTTCTATCTGTGCAAATAAAGCAGATGACTCTTCCTTTCTTATTCTGCATTTTACCTAACCAATGTAGAGCTCAATAGAAGAGACTTGGGGTAAAACTAGGAAAGCCTGGTTGTTGGGTTTTATTTTGTTTTTTTTTGATGTGGACTTCTGTCCATCTGCAGAATCAGTGTCCAGATCCAGGAAATGTAAGCTTAGGTGGACAGAGGTCCAGCCTTTCCCTAAGGCAAAGTCACCATGGAATAAGGAAACAATAATGGCTCATGCTCTTAATTATTCAACTTCATGGCGTAACTTCCAATGTGTGAATCATGAATTATAAATCGATAAATCATGAATTGATAAATTAACAATTTTTAACATTCCCCTCAGATTATATGTTCCATAAAGTCATTTTATACCTTCTGGAGCAACTTTCATAGTAGGCATTCGGTAAATATTTGTTGAAAATATTGTTCAATCTCATAATTGATTTTCACTTAATAATGAAAAAGAAATTGTGTATAATCTACCACATAAAATGATTATCAATTTTAAACCTAACACAATAAATGTCTAATAGTACCAAACTAGTACATCAATTTAAAATAATAATTCAATTCCATTTTATAAATTAATTTACTTAGCTGAAAGGATTGGTGTATGCAATTGAAAATAATGTGCTGTAAACAGTTTTTGAGAATGTAAAGGATCATCAATATTTTAGAGTTACTTAATTGTAAATCTGGCCCATTACACAAGTTTAGAGCATTATGGTTAATAGCATTTGTGAATTTACTAAAGCAGTCACCTCTTCCTATAAAACCTAAAAAGAACAACAAAAGGAGAAAAGGAAATGGGTTCATAAAGTACAAAATCAGGCAAGTGAAAGGTATCCAATTTTCCACTCCCTTAGTTACAATCAAATTTTGGAAGGGTGAAAAACACCACATCAACAGTATAATACCTACTTCAGCGTTTTCACATTCTGGTTAGGGCACCCATTATAGCTTTCTGTTTAGACAGTGATAGTAGTTACAAAGTGCAACCAAAACATTAAATGTTGGTGAGCACTTCTTCGCTTAATTAAGAAATGCTTTTGTCAGCTCCTTCCTTGAATAAAGGGGTTATTAATTCAAGACTAGAGAACATGCTCTGATGGTTTCTCTGTGGGAATTATGGTTGTACATATGTTACAGAGAATTGTCTTAATTATTTCAATTAATCAAACAAAATTCCCACTAAATATTTGATGCAACAAATTAAAACACACATTTGTACACAAAGCCCTTAAAAATCTTACAGCAATTCTACCCTGTTTTCAAAACAATATTACAACAAACCTTAATAGGAGAAATATGGAAGTGTTCAAAGAAACTAAGAACTGACATATCAGTCATTGAAGTCTCCATTAATTCTGTGTTTAGAGCATCAATATCTTGTTGGATTAACTTTGTCTGAAAAAAATGAAATCAAGAATTTCTATTTTAATTTTTTTCTCTAGTTAAAGAATGGCTCATTTAATTTTTTTTAGTTTATCATTTTCCCAAGAAATAAAAATTGTTACCCGTTTTCTTTCAGCTTCAGGGTCAGTTGCTGGGGTAAACAGTGTGATAATAGCTCCTAGAAACCCCTGATCAACTTTCAAGGCCATTTCCTGAATGAGGACCATAAAGTACCTAAGGAAAAAAAGTTGTTAAAGATGGAAAAGGATTTCTATCAAACTTTGCAATTTTCAATGTTAAAACTTTGATTTTGGCCACAAGTCACAATAAGATCTCACTCTTAAAAAGTATTATGTTAACAAGATCAAGCATCCTTAACTGAGTTGTTTTTTTCCACTAGAGATAAGGTTTCACTAAAGGTAGTACTGTTATCTTGAAACTTAGCATTTAAAGTCTCAAATCCCATATTTGTTATGTTATAGGAGAGACAAATGCAATTAGATGATATAGCATATATTATTCCATTTTTAAGGTACATAGTAATCACTTTCAAGAGCACATTTCACAAATACATCATTTATATTTCACTGGCTATTTTATATTCTAATTGGAATTACAAACAGGAAAAGTGGTTAAGGAATTTTACACTTTAAAATATAGAGGGGCTATTATTAAATTAAGTTTCAACACAGAAAATTACTTGATCAAAAGTGGATTCGTACATTCAGGCAGAATATAAGTTTTAGATGAAAGTCAGCCTCACAAGAGTGAAATTTATTTTCAAAATAGATTCTCATTTTAAATTCCTTTAGATAAATAGGGGAATTTTTACTTACTTGAACTGTAGTACTTTGCTGTATTCATTAAATCTTGTGATGACACTCACATCAATGAAAGGTTTGGGCTCTAAAAAAGAAAGAAAACAACAAAAACCAAGAGAAAAATATCAAGCTTTATACTAGATTAATATAATGTCTATTTAATTTTTAAATTGGAATATCTCAATCTTTTTTTTTTTTTTTACCTGAATCCAAAGCAATAGATTTTGGAGGAGCCACAGGATGAAATACAACAGGAAACATTGTACCTGGTAACTGATTATCAACCTTAAAAAAAGAAAGAATGAAAGAATGAAAGAAAGAAAGAAAAAAAAAACTTTTAGTTTTATAGAGAATATTATAGAAGAGGCTGCTAATTTCATCATAATTAAATATCTGCATTGTATATGTGGTACTATGAGAAGTTTCACGTTAGATAAAAAATTCATACATATCTCAGCAAGGGTAAGCTTTTACATAAAGGAATATTTAATATCCTCATAAATGCATTAATACTGTGCAGCATATATACTATTAATCAACATATTTGTGCCTATGGATCATGTGAGATTTTTGACAGCTTATAATTTATAAACTGTAAGTGGAGACTGGATATGAAATTAGAAAGAAGAAAAAGGATAAACATGTCCTAACTAATATTTAGTAGTTAAAAAGAAGAGAAGGAAGCAAGAAGGGAGCAATCAAGCAAAGAGACAAAAACATTCTCCAATTTAAGCCCAGCTCATTCATGTATAGAATGATAAGAAAATCTTATTTTGGGGGCACCTTGGTGGTTAGTCAGTTGAGTGTCTGTTTTTCGCTCAGGTTATGATCCTACAGTCCTGGGATGGAGCCCCTGCATTGGGCAACCTGTTCCACAGGAAGCCTGATCTCCCTCTCCCTCTCCCTCTGCCTGCCACTTCCCCTGCTTGTGCTCTCTGTCAAATAAATAAATAAAGATCTTTAAAAAAACAAAAATGAAATAAAATAAAAAAGAAAATCTTATTTTTGGATCCCATGACAAATTCAAAGGAATATTTAGAAATAACAATTTCAGTGCAGGAAAATATTCTTGCAGGCTAGATGGTCAAATTAAATAGTCTCAACAGTCGCAAAGTCTTTGGACTTGGATGATGCTTAGAGAATCCACAGGATACGTAGGAGAAGGGGAATGAACATACAAACAACAAAAAAATACGATTTATAAGGTATACTAGAGGTTTTTTGTTTTGTTTTTTTTTTTTTTTTAGATTTTATTTATTTATTCATGAGAGACAGAGAGAGAGGCAAAGACACAGGCAGAGGGAGAAGCAGGCTCCATACAGGGAGCCTGACGCAGGACTCGATCCTGGGTCCCCAGGATCAGGCCCTGGGCTGAAGGCAGCGCTAAACTGCTGAGCCACCTGGCCTGCCCTATACTAGAGTCTTGTAGAAAAAATTCATCCCCAGGATCCCCAAAGTGATTAGATATATTTATTGAACTGAAAATGACAACGTTACCTGAAGCCAGTACAGTCTGGCTCTTAAACTTCTCTGGTGAGGAGACTGCTTAAATTCAATCTGAATCCCGGATAAAAAATCTCGCTTTATCGGGCAATGAACAGGGAGGCGCATTTCCATGGGAACTTTATCAAAATTGACCTGGGGAAAAAGCACATGTATTTATGATGACTTGATATTATCAGTGTAGCCCATTTAAAATATCCATTTACTCACAAATTGGAAGGGGAAAACATTTTAATCTCTATGTCTCACCAAAAAAGATCTGCCTTAAGGTGATCTACAGTTGAGATCTTTGAAGCAGAATCACTTCTCCACCACAGTTATGAGGAAAACAAGAAAATAACTGAGGAACTTTTCAATTATATAAACTTTTCAATTATATAAGTCATGCTTTTTATTTTTTAAAAACCTCAAGAGCAATGAGTAATTCTAGGTAACTCTTAAATTTTGTTTTAACAAAGTTAAACAATGAATAGTTAATAGCTTATTTATGTCTGACAGTTTATTTTCATTTAAGCATGGCCAACATTTATAGGGATAAGTAAGGATGGGGTGGGGGACATATCTGATGATCAATGCAAAACCAACCATTAGATATCAAAGACAAAGAGTAACTAAAACTGTGTGACTGAAGCAGAGCAAATGAGAAACTGCAGTCAAGCTTCTGGGGTCTTCCTAGAGCAAGCAAACCTTCAGCTGTAATACTGTAAGGGCCTGCAGAGAGAACACCTGTATTTGTAACATCTACCCATGTCCAACAATTGTTCACATTTAATGAATTTAATTGAGTGAATTTTTTATAGGGTTTTTACTGCTGAAAAACATAAGTTTTCACAGACTTTATTTGCCAATATATATTGGTATCATTCAAAACAGAAAAAAGTTCCAATAAGCAATATTAATTTCTGCATAATCCTACTGAAAACAAGTTCCATGAAACTGTCTCATAAACAGAAGAAATGAAAAAAATGCAAAAGAGAAACATACTTAAATCATGTTTCATAGTATATGGCTTAATAACATTTTAATTTAAAATGTACTAATGAATATCAGTCATGTCAATACTACTAATAAATAAGAGTTTATTAACTAATAAACAGTTTCTGAATACACCTTTTTTTTACATGGACAGTAAATTTTCCTTATTTTCTACCAACAGAATACATATATAAAAACCAAAACAAAAAAATTTTGGTATACCTCAAAATTATTATCTAGTTTAATCCATCCATGGTCTCTTGATACTTGATATTTTTTATAGGCCTGTTCCAGCAACATTATCTGCTTTTGACTAAAAGGCTTCCATTTCTGTTTTGGTTTCATTTCCCAAACAACACCAGAACTAAAACAATTCAGAGAAAGTTAAATTAGGAATATATATTAGGCTTGCTGGAATTGTCATTCAACTTCAAATTATCTCAACTATAAATCTCCTATGAAAATTATACTTATGCAAGAGATTTTTTTAAAACAACAAAATATATTGGTGCTATAAAGTACATAAGAAAAAGGAGCAGGGGAAAATGTTCTATCACACATTGACATCAATCAATCAAGGAACTCACAAAATTTTTTTGTAAGGAGCCATATAGTAAATTTTTTTAAAGATTTTATTTATTCGAGAGAGAAATAGAGCACAAGCAGTGTGAGAAGCAGAGAGAGAGGGAGAGGCAGACTCCCCACTCAGCTAGGAGCCCAACAGGGGCTCCATCCCAGAACCCAGAGATCATGACCTGATCCAAAGGCAGATGTTTAACCATCCAAGCCACCCATGTGTCCCCATATAGTAAATAGTTTAGATTTTGTGGCTGAGACAAAATTGAGATTATAATAAGTGCTTAAATAATAAGAGAGAAAAAACTGGACAAATTTTTCTAATTGATGAAATTCAAAATATAAAAACAATTCAGCAAAATTTTAAAAATATAAATCTACTAATGAAAAAATATATTTCTACTTTTTATTGAGGTATAATTGACATAGAACCAGAACATTAAATTAATTTTAGGTATATAAAATAGTGATTTAATATTTGTAAATACTGTGAAATGACCACCACAATAAATCTAGTTAACATCTGTCACTGTACATACTACAAAAATTTTGTTTTACTCTTCATTCTCAGGGGTGACAACATTTCACTTAATTGGGGCTCAAAGTCAGTATTCATAGAGGTTAATTCTTCAGTCACCTCAAACTCAGCACTCGCTTCTCAAATATACAATAATTGGGTAACACTGGTAACATCTGATGACTCATCAAGAACTAAGGAAAACCATTCAAAATTATTTGCCTTATTTTTAATTGACTATTGATGTTGCTCTGAATGTCCTCAATTCAAGTAACTATTCTCACAAAAAGGCTAAGGGCCCTAAGTTTATTTACTCTGGACACATTTCTTCAGCTGCTACATTCAGGTGATTTAATTAATTTGCCATTGGTAAAAGCCATTTTTTACCTGGCTAACAAATGAGTTATTCAGAAACTAACTTTGGTTGCAGCCTCATTTTTGGTTATTTTATTTGTGTGAAGAAATTTATTTGTATGAGATATTTTGATTAAATTTTCTGATTTTTCTGGCCACTTTTTTTTCCTGTTGGGTGGGCATACTGTGATGTGTTCTTAGTTTGGAAATGTCAATATATACTGTATTCTTTTAGCACAGGTATAGGGTCATTACATAATAAAATATGCTTTGCCACATCATTCAATAACAGTGATCTGTAAGAGAGACACTAAAAATCCACTTTTCTCTACTTCTTTTGACATGATGAGAATGCATTAGTAATAAAAACCAAATAAAAGTTGCAGGATAGCTATAAGTGTGGCAATAATACACTCTATTTGCCCTTTGTTGTATGCTAAGCAGCAGTGCAAAAGCAGCCATAGACATATAAAAGAATAAGCGAGGCTGTGTTCTAGTAAAACCTTACTTATGGGCAACAAACTTAGAATTTCATATAATTTTCATGTATTATAAAATGTCTTCTTTCAATTTTTCCCAACCATTCAAAAATATAAAAAATTCTTAGACCAGGTCTTGAAAAAACAGGGCATCAGCTACATTTGATTCTAGGCCATCCTTTGCTGATCCCTGATTAGAGAATACTATTTGCATAATGATAAAAGAAAACTCCATAATATTTTAATTTAACAGTTTGTTGGTATTAATCAATGATACTGTTAACAATGCCCTCATTGTATTATGTTGTCGGTCAATGAAAATAATGAATAAAATATCCACTATAAATTATATAAATCTTGGGCCACCTGGGTGGCTCAGTCAGTTAAGTGTTCAACTCTTGATTTTGGCTCAGGTTGTGATCTCAGGGTTGTGAGATCAAGCACCCAGTGTGGAGCCTGCTTAATATTTGCTCTCTCCTTCTTCCTATGACCCTCTCCCCCCCTCACAAATCAATCTATCAATCAATCAATCCAACATCAATTCATGATAAAAAAAACACTCTTCAACAAATTAGGGAGAGAGAACTCCCTGAACCTGAAAAATAACATCTACAAAAAAAACTAAAGTTAACATCATACTTAACTGTGAGGAACTAGATGCTTTCTTACTAAGATCAAGAACAAAGCAAGGATGTCTTCTCTCACCATTCCTATTTAACATTGGGAAATACTAAATAATGCAATAAGTCAAGAAAATAAAAGGTACACAGATTAGGAAAGAAGAAATAAAGCTGTCTGTTCTCAGATGACATGACTGTGTATGTAGAAAATCCCAAAGAATCAACCAAAAAAAATTCCTACAACTAATGTTTCAAGATATAAATATACAAAAATCAATTGTTTTCTTATGTATCAGCAATGAACAATTGAAATTTGAAATTAAAAACACAACAATATTTATATTAGCACCAGAGAAATAAAATAACTTAGGTATAAACAAAATCTAACAAATTTGTGCAAAAACTATATAAGGAAAACTACAACAGTGTGATGAAAGAGATCAAAGATCTGAATACAAGGATCTGTGTACACAAATATGAAGACTCAATAATGTCAAGATATCAGTTCTTTCCAAGTTCATCTATAGCTTAGATGCAATTCCAACCAATATCTGAGCTAACTGACAAACTAATTCTAAAGTTTATATGGAAAGGTGAAAGATTCAAAATAGTCAACATAATGTTGAAGAGGAAAAAAGTTGGACGACTGACACTACATGACTTTAAGATTACCACAAAACTAGAGAAATCAAGACACAATGGTATAACTGAAAGAAATGACAAACACACCAAGAGAATAAGACCAAGAGGTCCAATATAGTCAACTGATTTTTGAAAGGAGCAAAGGAAATTCAATGGAAAAAGGACAATCTTTTCAACAAATGGTGACAGAACCAAACGTGGCAAAAAAAAATCCACCTAGACATAGAGCTTACACATTTCACAAAAACTAACTCAAGATGTATTATCAGAGACCTAAATATCAAACTTAAACCAAAAAAATCCAGAGGGTAACACAGGAGAAAATGTAAGTAACTTTGCATTTTTGTAACTTTTAAAATATAACACCTAAACCATAACTCATGAAAGAAAGAATCAATGCGGGGGCTTATTAAAATTAGAAACCTCATTGGTGTGAAAGACACTGTTAAAAGAATGAAAAGAATGTAAAGATAGAGACTGGGAGAAAATATTTGCAAAACACGTATCTGAGAAAATACTGGTACCCCAAATATATAAAGAACTTTTAATGAGAAAATGAAAAAAATTTAAATGGGAAAAAGACTTGACTCTAATGAGGAAGATATTCTGATAGCAAATAAGCATTTGAAAAGATGCTCATGGGCAGCCCGGGTGGCTCAGCGGTTTAGCACCGCCTTCAGCCCAGGGCCTGATCCTGGAGACAGGGGATCTAGGCCCACGTCAGGCTCCCTCTTGGAGCCTGCTTCTCCCTCTGCCTGTATCTGTTTCTCTCTCTCTCTCTCTCTCTCTCTCTCTCTCTCTCTCTCTCTGTCTCTCATGAATAAATACAATCTTTAAAAAAAAGAAAAAAAAGAAAAGATGCTCAACAGCACATGTAATTAGGGAATTGCAAATTAAAACAATAATGACATATCACTACATCCCTGTTAGAATGGCCAAAATCTAGGACACTGACAACACCAAATGCTGACAAGGACATGGAGCAATGGAGCAATGAATGTTCATTCATTTATTCCTGGTGGAAATGGAAAATGGTACAGCCGCTTTGAAAGACAATTAGGTGATTGCTTACAAAACTAAACATAATCCTACCATAAAATCCAGCAATCACACTCCTTGATATTTATACAAATGAATTAAAAACTTATGTCTAGGGATGCCTGGGTGGCTCAGTGGTTGAGCATCTGCCTTCAGCTCAGGGCATGGTCCTGGGGTCATGGGACCAAGTCCCTCTGCCTATGTCTCTGCCATAGATTCTAGGCCATCTCTCTGTGTCCATCATAAAATTCTTAAAAACAAAAACAAAAAAAAACTTATGTCTATACAAAAACCTGCCTATAAATGTTTATAACAGCTTTATTCATAAATGCTAAAACTTAAAAGCAACCAAGATGTCTTTCAATAGTCAATAGTAAATAAACTGTGGTACATCCAGACATGGGATATTATTCAGTGATTTAAAAAAATGAGTTATCAAACCACAAAAAGACATGAGGAAACTTAAAGATTATTGCTAAGTGAAAGAAAGAAGCTTATCTGAAAAGGTTACATACTCAATGATTCCAGTGATAGGACATTCTGGAAAAGGCAAAACTTTATATATAGTAAAAAGATCAGTGGTTTCCAGAGGTTCAGGGTTAGGGAGAAAGGGATGAACAAGTGACACACAGGTGATTTTTATGATATAGGACACTGTAATAACAGGTATACGTTATTCATTTGTCAAAACCCACAGAATTTACAAACTAAGAGCAAACTCTAACTTAAAATACATCAACACTGGACTTTAGGTAATAATAATGTATTAACATTAGCTCATCAATAGTAAAAAAAAAGGTACCATACTATTTCAAGATGTTAATAATAGAGGAAAGCTGCAGGGCATTTGGGAACTCTGTACTTTATAGCCAATTTCTCTGTAAACCTAAAAGTGCTCAAAAAAATAAAAGGTTATTTTAAAAAATTATCTAACATATATTTTTCCTTAGTACACAACCCCAATGAATGGGTATTAACTGTGTACTGTGTCAGAAGATAAGCAAGGTCTTTTAGATGAATTTTTAAAAGTCCTTATAAAGACCAATCTGACAAAATATAATACCAAACATTAATATTAAAGTAAAAATAAGTTATACTGAAGAACAATAGAGTGAAGAAACGGAATTTCTAGGACTTAAAAATGATTTTCCTATTTAGGTTAAAAATATTATAAAATACTGAAATGTATAATCAAGAGAATATATTATTCATATATATATACAAATATATTAATGTTATATCATTGTATGTATACCCTTTATAGAACCCTTAATCTGTTGGGTGTTGTGTAAAGTGTGCTATATACATGATCCTTTTATTGACTTTATTGTTTACCTCACTAAACATTATTAATAGTGAATAATACTATGATGGTTATACACAAAATTCTACCCATCAGCCTCCAAGAAAAGAATGAGTCTTTTAACCAAAGTTAGTGACATTTAAAAAGTCATAATAAGTAAATTCAAATGTTTTCTCATACAGATACAAGCAGAATCAGAGAAAAATACCTGGTACCATCACTATTAAAACATTCTAAACAATCGCCCATTAAAGACTATGTACTCATGTCATACTGCCTCTTTTATGAATGTTTTCTCCAATTTGTCTGACCCACTGTTGTCAGCTTCCCCTAATCCATGCCAGTTTCTTCAGCCTGTACTGCAGAAAACTACCTAGTTGCTTCTATCTCTGTACTTCCATTGCAGGTATATATACTTCTTTGTAGCACTTCTGCTATCATAATTCATCAAAAAAAAAATACATACCAAAAAACAAAGAAAGAAGCAAACCTTTCTTCCCCCACCAACTGATGATAAGTACAGTAAGTGCGAAGACATTATTTTAGTCATCTTCCTATCTTAGGGGCTTTTCAACTCCAGTGAAAAAAACCATAAATTATGCTGAAAGAATATACAGTACATCAAAATTCAGAACAGCTAATTATTCTCACTAAACTGGATATGAACTCAATGCTTTTTAAAGATTTCTGATGCTTTATCTTCCTTCTGCCATACCTGGTTATCCCAATATATGAAACTTCCTGCTTGTTTTCATTGTTAATCAGGGAAAGCCCAAGACTGTGGAGAGAAAAGGTTATTTCATGATCGGCCTGCTCCATTTCTTCTGCCTGCAGTGCTTTGGAAACCAAGGCAACATCATCAGTGAAAAGCAACACTCTCTGGCGCCCATCTAGGAATGATACCCAGTGTATCTGGGTGTTTGCATCATAGGGAAACTGGCCACATTCATCCTGGGGAAAAGAGAGACTTTGTATTAAACCCATGAGCAGTAAGTTTTTATTACATAAAGTTAAACTACAGTAACTGAACATCTAGAAAAGTTAAAAACCATGACTATAAATTGGAAAACTAATCTTCAAAATGACATAAATTAATTAAAATAAAATTAAAATAACCTATTTTAGGACATAACTCCCCAATTTTTTTTCAAACAACAACAAACATTAAGAGTGCTTAATTTTTTGCGTGTCCTAGGTTTGACTGTTCAAAGGGCACTCGGCAGGAAGAAGAGTACCCTTCAAGGTTCCAGGGCCCTAAGACACTTACTTGTCTCCAAGAGGGAGAGATTCCTAAGTTTATTAGAATAAAAGTAACCTAGTTTAGGTAAAACTAACCCAGTTTATTTTTATGTTTTAATAACTTATAACACTGCAAATGTATATTTACATATATCACACTATTAAACAATAAAACTATGGTTTGTACTTAGTGTGTACTGTTTTGCAAAATCTACTTGGTTAAAGGTCTCATATAGTGCTTAAAAATATAAGACTTGATTTGGTCAGTGGTTTCAGAGACTGAAATAATGATTCCTCCTCATTCTGGGCTTAACATTTCATGTTAATACAACAGTTCATTTCAACAAGCAGTACAAGCAGATGAAAAGTATGTGCCTTTCATCTCATGCTTTCCTGGAAAAAAAAAAAGCAAATAAAGGATTTATACAGAGGAGATGAATAGCTGAGTTTTGTTGTTGTTTGACATCTATCGCTTTTTTGTTGAAGTATAGTTGACACACGATGTTTCATCAGTTTCAGGTATACAACATAATGATTCAACAACTCTATATTAACTATCCTATGCTCACCACAAGTGTAGCTACCATTTGTCCCCATTCAACATTATTACTATACCACTGACTATATTCCCTATGCTGTACCTGTCAGCCCTGTGACTCATTCTATAACTGGAAGTCTGTACCTCCCACTCCCCTGTACCTATTTCACCCACCCTCCCACCTCAACCTCTGGCAACCACAAGTCTGTTCTCTGTATTAATGGATCTGTTTGTTTGTTTTTTAGATTCCAATGTTTAAGTGAAATCATAGGGTATTTGTCTTTCACTGACTTATTTCACTTACCATAATACCCTCAAGGTCCATCCATGTTGTCACAAATGGCAAGAACTAATTGTTTTTAAGACTGAGTAATATTCCATTTTACATATATACATAATAAACCACATGTATTTTGTCCATTCATCTATTGATTACACAGATTGTTTGCATACCTTGGCTACTATAAATAATGCTGCAACAAACATGGGGGTGCATATACCATTTCAACTTAGTGTTCTTGTTTTCTTTGTGTAAATACCCAGAAGTGGAATTACTAGATACTGTGGTACTTCTGTTTTTAGTTTTTCTGAGGAACCTTTATACTATTTGCCACAGTGGCTGCACCAATTTATATTCCCAACAGTACCTGAGGGTTCCTTTTTCTCCACATCCTCATCAACATACTGCTTTAAAAAAATCTATTGCTTTTAATATATATATCAAAGTAGCCTATTCAATTTTTCAAATTCTAGTATGCAACCAAATTTTGCAAATATTTCAGAGATATCTATTAAGAAGGTGAATTCTCTATAAAGTACAAAATTTGATATGTCTTGGTTTCAGTCTTAGTTATTACTGAAGTACTCTCTAATTGCATTTTTTCATGTTTGATCTGTTAAAAATAAAATATCCTCTGATACCTGTGTTTCAGTTAACTTCTAGTATTTTAAGTTTTATATTTTGATACCATGTTTTTCTTGGCATGAAAGTTTATGGTTGTCATGTCTTCTTTGTCATATCATCATATTCTATTTAAAGGTTAAATGGAGGAGAGGGGAAATAATACCAGCATAGTCAGAGACCTCTGCTAGAACTCCCATGTCTCTGAGCCAGGGAGCTAAGAGGATCAGGGAATTTAAGCCTCTGTACCATTTGCAAACCTTGAGTTTCTGTCTTGTAAAAAGTAAAGCACAAGCAAGTGAGTAGAGATCCATCAGATTGTCATGGTGAAAATTATTCCAAGAATCTTGTAACAGAGGAACTATCAGTCTAATTTTTCAGAAGTGGATAAGTCTTTCTCTCTTTTATGGGTATTTCAGAGGGAATATAGGAAAGGATAATTCAGCCACTGTTGGCCAATTACCATTTTAAAGCAAAAGTCAAGAAAGCTTTTTTAAAAACTGACATTATCAGACAGTGGAAGAGGACACTGTATGAACTTTTCATAATAGAATATATTTCTACAGAAACTAGATGATCTATATCACTAACACAAGAGCAATTCCTACACTAGAGAAAGCCTGGTAGCGAATTCTTAAGACCCTCCCAAAGTTTAAGAGTCTAAGAATAACATATTTGATCAAATTAGCTACCTTAATAGTTTCAATAAATATTTCACTAAATTTCTTACATGGGATAATTTGTATACTGCCAGATTCCTCTAATTAAAACACAAGGTCTTCATTGGGAAAATATGCCTAAAAACCTCAAAGCCAACAGTGGTATGCATATGTTCAAAATAAAGTTGTTTTCTCTTAGTTTTAAAATGCTTTTCTTTGGGATCCCTGGGTGGCGCAGCGGTTTGGCGCCTGTCTTTGGCCCAGGGCGCGATCCTGGAGACCCGGGATCGAATCCCACGTCGGGCTCCCGGTGCATGGAGCCTGCTTCTCCCTCTGCCTATGTCTCTGCCTCTCTCTCTGTGTGTGACAATCATAAATAAATAAATATTTAAAAAAATGCTTTTCTTTAAAAAATAAATGGTATATAAAAAGATACTTTATTGGTCTTTACTTGGGCAAGATAAAGCAGGCCCCTTTTTCAAATCGTAAATAAGTTATCTTGACTAATCTAAAATACTGGTATGAACTACTTGCAATCTAAACTCCAAAACCAACTTTCAATTCATTTTTAGTTCAGTAAGGACAAAGATGACTGTATGAAGCTGCTTGTCTGCTTCCTTAGCCACCAGGCAACACATACAGCACTCATTCCCATCAAATGATACCTTTAACAGACTGTGTTCTCCAGTATTTGCTGCATACGTCCATGTAAGTTTTTTGGTACCAGTAGGATCTGCCCAAGCAAAGAGTCGAGCTTCTCCTGGCACCAAGTGTACTTCTTCCTGTGACCCACTGAAACACAATAGCCAGAGGGAAGATTAAAATATCTAGGCCTTGAGAAACTCAGACCTGTGGCTTACAAAGGAGGGGACTGATATAAAAATCTTATAAAACTCCTTGTTAATAAACAGAGCTCTGCCTAAAAGTAAGTACTCTAAAATATTCAATAAACTAACAGTTTTGAAGCATGAAGGAATGCCTCTCTGAAGTTGGAGTATACTCCAAATTGATGCAGGCAATGGAGTTCGTTAAGGTAAACAAACTGGTACATCAGAGCTCACCTGCAGGAAAAGCTACAAATTCTTTAGCAGCAGCAGAATTTCACTCAGTGCTTAAATTTAAGTTTTTTAATCAAATGCAATAGATAAGAAACATGGGTCTTAGGAAAAAAATATTTACGTCCATTCTGTTGCTACTCAAAGTGTGATCTATGGAGAAGCAGAAACATTACCCGGAGCTTGCAGAAAGTGCAAAATCCTGGGCCTCATCTAAAATCTACTAAATCAGAATCTGCATTTTAACAAGACTTCTGGGAGATCTTTAAATTTATCCTTAAAGTTTAAGAAGTGTTAGTCCATATTACAAAAAACTTTCTAGAGAATAACAACAAAAGGAATCCAATTAGGTTTCAATCACATTCTTTACTTTTAAATCTCTCACTGGGGGCAGCCCGGGTGGCTCAGCCATTTAGTGCCGCCCGCCTTTGGGCCTTTGGCCCAGGGCCTGATCCTGGAGTCCCGGGATCGAGTTCCACGTCGGGCTCCCTCATGGAGCCTGCTTCTCTCTCTGCGCCCCACCCCTCTATGTCTCTCATGAATAAATAAATAAAATCTTTTTTAAAAATAAATAAATAAATAAATCTCTCAGTGGATTCAAGTCAGGAGAGTAAAGAATAGGTAAATCTGCAGGGCATTATTTTATATAAAATAATTCTACACGTAAAAATAACCTTATATATAAAGATTTTATACATATATGAAATAATGCCTTGCAGATTTAGAATTATTCTTGGAAAATATATAATATATATCTTAAGGGTTTAAGACCATCTGTGATGTCATTAAATAATGGCATCATCTAAGCCAAATGACAGCACAAGCAAGAACAAATTTCCTATCATCCCATACCTTTTTTTTCAATTTTTTTTAAGATTTTATTTATTTATTCATGAAAGATGCACAGAGACAGAGAGAGAGGCAGAGACACGGGCAGAGGGAGAAGCAAGCCCCATGCAGGGAGCCCGACGTGGGACTCCATCCCGAGTCTCCAGGATCACACCCTGGGCTGAAGGCGGCGTTAAACCGCTGAGCCACCTGGGCTGTCCTCATTCTATACTTCTGTTCAACATTGCTACCTATTCATTGTCCTCTCATTTAATCTTCTACCATCGCTACTGGGAGGAAAAAAAAAAACAACAACCTGATAGATTTATAGGGAGAGGTTCACTGACTATTACCAGTTACTAAAGAATAATAATACTTAAACAGGTTTACAATTCCTTTATATGCAATTCCGAAATTTTAAAAACTCCAAAAGTCCAAAGATTTTTCTCTTAGTTTTGTGTCGAGAGTTATTTAGCTAAAAAACTTAATCTGAACTGATGTGAGAATACAAATAGTTTTATTTATCCCTCTTTGTATGAATATTTATAAGTTTTGCCAGAGGAATATTAATGTATTGGACTCCAGAGAACTGTCTCAAAACCTGGCAAGGGTATTACAATAAACAACATGTGTTTCACGTTACCCTTCTAAAATCAGAAAACATGTGGAATGTGAAACACATCTACCATCTCAGTGTTTCCTAGAAAAGACTATGGACCAGTAAAAAGCAAATGAGATTTTCCATGAACCTTTTTTTTCATACCTCTGTTTATATGTGACGACATCCTGTGATGTGTGGTTTATTACTAGGGCAGGTGCAGATCCCTCATGATAATCAGAAAAGGTTATGACAGTTGAATGTTCAGCAATGTTTACATCCACCAAGATGCCCCCATTCTATCATAAAAAAAAAAATGTGTTTGAGGTATTGGTTTAACTTGCAGCGACATTTCGAATTTCAATTAGTTATGTAGACATGAAAAATCTGTTTTCTTAAGTTCTTACTGAAAAGCATACTGGTTCTGATGTCTTACAAACATATGTATAGCACCTTACAAATATATATATTAGCACCTTCAAAGAATTACCAGATTTCATAGCATGTTTTAATAAAATATTTTAAAGCAAATTTTAAAAATTGAAGACATTTTATTTTAAAACATGAAAACATACCAGCTCTTCTAAGCTCAATAAAGTGCCATTATCTTGTCGATTATAAAAAAATGGTCTGGAGGATCCTTCACAGCCCACCACTCTCACACAAAGTTTGCCTGACAAGTTTTCAGGCCAAAAGGGAAGGCACTAGAAATATAAAAGTTAATATCAGTCTTAAAATATACTGTGGTAGAAGACAATGGCTAATTAAGTTTTCAATTCTAAACTGGATCATGATACAACTATTAATAAGTTTAAAATATTTCTTCTATATAGCATGTTAAAATTATTAACAATATAATACCCTCTTACGAAACCAAAGAAATTCCATCAGAAGAACACACATGTATGTATTAGTCTATATGCACTTATGGAAGAATAATTATGAGAAACTAAAGATCTTACTAATTAAGAGTCCCTCAAATATCTTGAATATTTAAAACCTATAATTTAAAACATTTGCTTTTGTGCATATCCTATTTTAACTCCTTAAAGCACTACAAATCATTTCACATATTATCTTAAACTAGAAAGATAATTGAAGGCAGAGAAGAGGACACCACAGACCTTGCTGGAAGTCCTAATGTTATCTTCCTGTTTGATCTTAATTAAAGCATAAACCTCTTTGAGCCTTATCCGTAAAACTGAGATTTTAGTTCCTAATATACAAAATGTCCTTCTGTTATACAATACTAAGTAAGTTCTATTTCTGAATAAAAATGCTACTCTTAAAAAAAATGCTACTCTTAACAAACCCACATCAATGATAATGAGCATTTATTTGTTGCCAAGTCTACAGACATCATTCTAAGTGCCTTGGAAAACTCATGCTTCTCAGAACTCTATATCTGTATAACTGCAATCCTCCATCTTAAACTTCTTGCTAAATATTTTTTAAATATATTTATAATTTTGTTTTTTAGATGTACAGAAGAATGATTCTTTCCTTAAGATCAGCTGTTTTGGATGAAAACTCAGGAAAATTCAAGCAGTAATGCTCATCTATGCACCTGTCCTCTTCATTCTTTTCCTTACTCCCTTACCACTTGTAAAATCTTATTGAGCCTGCAACATTTAGTTCAAATCCCATCTCTTCTATGAAACATTCCCTTTAATCTTGGCCACAGTGACTGAGACTTCCAATGATTGTACTGATTTTAGAAAAGTATGAGATTCAATTTCCTTCTCAGTAAAGTGAGGGAATTGAATTTTAGGCAATTTTTAAGGAAACTTCCAGATAATCTACTCAGAAATTCTAAAACCACCTATAATTTAGCATATTTTTTTTCCATGTGTTAATTTATATGAATCTTAAGCCCTCCAACAAGATTATTTGCTTCTTGAATGCAGAGACATTTTCCTCACTACTGAGATAATTCATAGTACATTATCTTTATGTTTTCACAGTACACATCCATATGTTCTACACATATAGGAAGAACTAAAGACTAGGTGTTAGCCCTCTACTGATGATAAGTATTACCAGTAATTTTCTTCTTTTGAAACATGAGTTTATAGTCAAAAGTCAAAGCTGGCTATCATATTTTAATACACAAATACCATAGCAAAATGAATATAACAAAGAAGTATATGCAATTCTTATTTGTATGTCTATATTTATTTGTACATTTTAGCAGCCAGTAAAGAATATTTTACCTCTGAAGAAGCAATATAGTTCCACTTATGAGTTGGCATTGAGCCATCAGATGCAATTTCACCAACTTCTAGTTCTAATGATGACTTGTTTGCAATGGTACAAAAGGGGGTCAGAGTAACTATTCGTGTAAGATTAAAACTGCTCATTTTGATGCTAACACCAACCTGTATAAAGTAACAAACAAATTTATCATTTCCCAGTACTTTATATAGCTTCTCTGAAATCTACAAACACATACTCCATTCACACATAGATTTCTTAAAGTATTTTAAAATAACACTTGTTAAATGAAATAACTAATATAAGCCATATTCAACTAATGTTCTAACTCAAAAATTTTTGGTTCCTGTATTTGGCTCCATCTGAAATCAATTCAAGAAATATCAAGGGGTAATCTAACTAATGATGACTTGTAATAACATATTTAGTTTATTTATATTTTTTGTTTTTTAACATTCCAGATATAAATTGTTTTATATTTAGTGGAGAGGCTCAAGCTTTGCTGCTTTATCATCTCTCTGTTAATGAACTAAGAAGAGAATTTCAAAGTAGCAATAAAACAGGTCAAATGGTATCAGATTACTCAAATTTTCAGTCATTTGGCAGGGAGTAATATGGAATGAGGATTCTAATATACTCCGAATATTCACCAAGTTGCTTACTTCAATGCATTCAACTTGCTGCTTTAAACTTTGATATCAAATTCAGGTTTTGTCCTGATACTAGGACCACAGAAATTTATAGAGGTAACAGTCCTTTACATAATACTCCGATTTCAAATTTCTGTGCCCCCTAGAATTTAGCTGGTTTAATGAACCAAAGAAAACATGAATAAAGTAAGAAGTAAATAAGGAAGCAGACTCTTACCAGGTATTCCATATTGTTGGCAGGACACTTCACACACCCATAACTTCCCACTGTATCCAATGAAAAACTACTGGACCAGGCACTAGTTGAAATTTTTAATTGTACCTATACCAGAGAACACATAATCATTACAAAAGAAACCTTAAAGACTATGTTGTATTTTATTTGAGGGAAAGTTGTCAGACTACAGAAATTGATTTAGTATCATGGGACACCGAAAAACATAAAGTCATACTGCCAATGGGTCATACAGCCATAGATGTTCCAGAGGCCAATAAAAGCAGAGCTCTGATCTTCCTATTCGCCTATGAAATGAGTTTAGCAAATTTAAAAATGTATACCAATGAGACCCTCCATTGCTTAAAAAAAAATTATGTAAAATATTTTCAGTATTACACTTAAGATACTGAGCTAACAAATTCTTAAAGTTTTAAAACATAGAGAATTTATGCCTTTAACATTATTCAGCAAATGTTAAATAAAGGGAATCATGATCAGCAGAATACAAGATAAGAGGACACAGTTCCAGTCTTCAACTAAATAGGGAGATGAGAAACATATACTAATAATTATGACATGGGGCTCAATGTTATTAAGAGCTATATGAGTGGTACAAAATGCTATCAAGGTGAGAAGGTAAAACGTTTACTTCTGGCTATGAGATTTAGACGAAGTTTTATAGAAGAGATCTAATCGTGTTCCTCTGTCTACCCAACTAGATTATAAAAAACCTGTGGACAACCAGAGGTAAGACACATAAACAAGTAACTACAATCTATAGATTAATTGACACTTTAGGACAGTGATTCTCAAAATGGGGTCCCTGGACCAGCACCAATAGCATCACCTGACAATCTGTTAGAAATGCAATGTTCAGACCCTATCCAGACCTAGTAAATCAAATGAAAGGGGAACAACCCAGAAATGTGTTTTAAAAGCTCTAAAGGTGATTCTAATGCATACTAAAATTTGAGAACCCCTGCTCTAAGAGGACACGGATGTAACATCTAGCTCCACTTCAGACAGTTAGAAATCCTTCACATGTCAGGCCTGAGCAAAATGATAGTCGATGGCAGAACAGCAGAGATAGCCAGAAAAGATCTGGCAGTCAGGGAAAGCATAGGGGAAGAGGCATTCTTAGCAGAGGATGCAGCACAGACAAAGGTCTAGCAGCAAGTACTTGGGGTGTATATGATAAGCAATTCCAAGATAGGAAGCTACAAAGGAAAGAAGGGACCAGAGCACAAAAGATCAGGCGTAGACCCTAGGTTCTTTCTCAGAGGCCTGGCTTAGTAGCTACATACCTAGGTGAGCTCAGTTAACATAAGCCAAATCCAACTCTTCCACCTTTGGAAATGCTATTTCATTACTGGTAAATCTGGCTTTCTACCTGACACTACTAAAAGAACAGAAGTAATTCTAAAGGCCATAGAGAAAAGGGCAATTCAGCTTTGGGAAACCTGCTGGTCCTAACATGCCACTTGATCATGTATTCCTGAAAAGTCTCCTTGGACCTACTTCATACCAGTGGCACTTAGCAACTGGTGATTCAGGGAAGGCTAATGACTCATGAGTTTCCAGGTTAGGAATTTATCTATTTTTAATTGTTAAATTAACCAAAACACACCTTATTTTTACTAAAAATGTTCTTCTTCTTGAAAGAGAATAAAATAATATCCCTGAAATCAGCTGGATGTTTCATGTGAATGTCTTCTGCACGATACTGGAGAACCCGAGATGTCTTGTTGATTAGCCAATAGGGACTAAAGACAGATAGCACCATCCGGCTGCCAATTCGTCTGACATGTATTGACAAGTCAATTGTCATCACTTCTGCAGAGTCAGAGGAAAAACATACAAGAAAGAATTCGGGAAGTGTATCACATATACGGAAATGTCCACTCCAGTTTCTGCCCTGATATTTCATCAGAACTAATTCCATTACTTCCCCACTGATTTTTGAATGTAGAACGTCAGCAGCACTGCCTTCTGCTAGCTCATGAGTTTCTGCTGTTCCCTAAAGACAAACAAAAATGAAATTTGCTTAGTGATTTTATTAAAACCTCTGCAATAGCAATATCCATATTTTATACAAAGGCTAATAAATAACTTATCAGATTCAGATTAACTGACATTTCTTCAATGAAGTACCATGTTTACATATTCTGAGTGTCCAATAACCACTAAGAACTAGAAAGAAAACACTGTATCATAGCCAAAGGCAAAAAATTATCTTTTGGCCATAAGTAGGCCAATAGCCAAAAGTTTTGAAAAAAAAAGATCTATGCCAAGAATCAAAGGATGGATGCAGGAATGCTGGCTGTTGTCTGCATCATTAAATGAGCCACTTAATTGCCTGGGCTTCTGCTTTATCTGCTATTCACACACTATGCCTAGTGGTTCCCATATAAATAGGAGAAGGAAAGTGATATCAAACTATTCTGACAAGCTACCTAAGTAATAGGGTAGAATTATTTCCAAAATGAATAATAGCCAAATAATAAATCAGGCTTTCTTTTTGAAAGCTTCTCTTACATAAGTACTAGTTAGTTCATTTAATTCATTTTAGTCTTTAGACCTCAATGGTAGCTCATTGTCAGATAAAGAAAAGAAATAATTTAGGTTCCAACACTACCCAGACTTTTGTATTTTAAAATGTTGTGGCATGAAAATCTAAAAATATTTATTATACATCATTATTAAAAACTCATTATTTCTCAAACTATCTTAAGTTCAACAGAAACCTGGATCAAATAATCATACTATTAACTTTAAAATAAAAACTTTAAAATAAACTTTAAAAGAATATAAGATGAAGTATTTACCCATTGGCTTTTTTCTATCTATTAGCTACTGGAATTTTACTTAATTAACAGAAATTTTTATGGCTCTTAACTCATAGCAGATACAGCAGAGTTCAGTGGTAGCAAGCAAAGGAGCCAAATTGCATGGTTCAAATCCCAGCTCTTCAACTTACTAGCTGTGGGTTCTTGGGCCTATTACTTAACCCCTCTGTGACTCAGTTTCTTCATCTGTAAAATGGGCCTAATCATAGTACCTACTTCAAAAGGTTATTGCAAGGATTAAATGTGTTAATACATGTAAATCACATGGCACAGTGATTACCATATACTAAATGCTGTATCAGTTTTTGCTGTTATTAATATTATTAAAGCATTATGAGTATGCTATGGAAAATACTGACCTCACCTAAAAACACAGTAAAAAAAAAAACCTGAATTCATTCTGCAATAATAAAGGTCAAACAAAATACAGGAGACATACCTCAAGTAAGTATCTTAGAGAATATGGGAGAAGGTTCCGCAAAGTGAGGGTAGGATAAAGATGAATAATGTAAGCTGGATCCCAGTCTTCCTCATGGGTACATATATAGCTTAATTCATCAGGCAGAGCAACAGTATTGACAATGAGAGGTAAGAAGTTGACTTCTACTGATGGACATTGAAGCATGCATCTGACTTCCCTGCTCCTGTGAAGTTCTTCCTTCCAAGAAATATAAGTGGTGGATACTTTGTAGTGATTTTCTAAGATACCAGCTGGCTGAATAAACAACTGACATCTAGAGAAAAAAAATAAAACAGAGTAGGGAAAAATTTTTTTTATCAAGAAAAAGAATCTCATGAAATCTTTTTGGTAACACTGTAAGGTAAGTACTATTATTCCAATTTTTACAGATGAGGAAAACAAGGATATGAAAGGTTAAGAAACTTGCCCAAAGTCACATAGCTAACCCATGGAAGAACTTTCCAAGAAAAAAAAAAATCTGTAAACAGTGACAAGTCAGAAAAAATAGTCATTTCAAATATAAAGGCAATCTAATAAAGATATATTTCAAAATTCTAAAACACTGAATATACAAGAAATTTTCATCTGGTAAATTCAATAATTAAATAAATGTATTTCTCTATATATTTCCTAAAATTGGCTTTTACATATCTTTAGATAATGAAAAATAAGGCTACCTTTTCTAGAATATAGATCCCAATTCACAGAATTAAAAATATGTATTATGAACCTTTTAAAATTTGGTATGTTCAAAGAAGTATGTACCTATATGAATCTAAAGGAACATGGAACTCCTCTTCAGGTCTGGCTATTCCAATGCGCTCCAATAGCTTAACGTTTTTAACAGATTTATAGATGATGAATGCAATAGAGAAATGGTTTTTAATCTGTTAGATAAAGAAGATATACAAGTTGTTTAAAAAGATACAGGTACTTGAAAGAAAAATGAACACTGCACAGTTATTTTAGATCTAAAAAGTTTCAAACCCAGTATTAGAAGATATTTTTACGGATAATTAGAATTTAGGATATTTAAATGCTATATGTGAGAGACTAGATGTTTAAGTGATAGTTGAAAATTTCTAAGATATTCACATGCTCTATGCTGATGTTCACTGTTAATGTATAAAACATACTAGTTTTGAAGAGTTCATTCATAATATTTCCCCCATTACAACCTTTTTCAATGCACCATATAAAAATAGAAAAGGATAGAAAAAGAAACATGAGGGAAAGTAATAAACTCTCTTTTCTTCATTACAATGTGATATAAGCTTGAGCTAGTCGCTGAGAGATAACAATGGCTAATAATCTTTTAATTTTTGATCTGATGCTATAAGTAGGAAGAAATGTTCTTTTGATGACCATATAATGAAACCTGTAATAATGGACAGAGGAAAAATGGATAAAGACTTAAAGGTAGAAAATATTAAGATACTAAAATTTTGTTCTGGGGAAATCATTCCAATATTCTCTTACACATACTAGAAAAACACAGTCCCAAGTGATAAACAAAGAGAATAGAATGTTATCCTATTTGACAACCAGCTATAATTATTAATACTCCCAGTTCTAAGTCTTTAAAGAAATAGACAAAAAGCTTCATTAGTTTTAAACCTAGACCATAACAAAATTGGGCTTTCAAGTAGCAAGACTGTTTAATCAGACATTTAAAATGAAGAGTATTACAAAAGCAAGTTGGAATGGAAATAGCAGCCAGTTCAATCTACAATTTATTTCTGAATAATCAGTATTGACCTAATGTTTTGCTATTTTCATATATTCAGCTAAATGACTGAATACTTCTTAATGTGAAGGGACACAATTCACTTTAATGCATTACCTGCAGAGGAGAGCGAAGGGTAATTACTTTATTCCCTTCAGTTGCATCAATTTGTACCAAGACTGAGTCAGAATGACTGGCATTGGGATTCCGTACATTATACAATCGCCTTCCAGATCTGGCAACAGGGACTTTTGCAACTTCCGTATATCCATGAGGTACTAAGGCAGAGCATGAGTGAGAAACATTCCAAATATTTACCTATATTTCTCTGAGACAAAGTACTTATCAACACCTTAAAATAATGACAAGACTATTCCTCTTCATGACTAAAACTGATGACTACACAAAATGCTTTTCTAAGACACAGGAACTAACAAAGAAAGGAAACTGAAGAAACTAAAATTTAAGAAAAGAAAAGAATCAAGTTATAAAACTTTTTGACCCAAAACAATTTCTCTTGGGGTTTTAAGTTGTACTAAAACCAAGAAACAGGGGCACTTGGGTGGCTCAGCTGGTTAAGCATCCAACTCTTGATTTCAGCTCAGGTTATGATCTTGGGATCCTAGGATCAAGCCCTCCTTCAGGCTCCACGCTCAGTAGCGAGTCTGCTTGGAACTCTGCCCCTCCTTCCTCTTGCTCTTACATACATACTCTCAATCTCTCAAAATAAACAAACAAATAAATCTTTTTAAAAGACCAAACAAACCATGAAACAGGTTCTTCACGCTAGAGAACAAACTGATAATTACCGGGGGGGGGGGGGGGGGGGAATGGGTGAAACAGGTGATGAGGATTAAGGAGTGCACTTGTGATGAGTATCGGTGTATGGAAGTGATGAGTCACTATATTGTACACTTGAAACTAATATTACACTGTATGTTAACTAATTGGAATTGAAATAAAAACTTAAAAAATGTATTAAAACATCCAACTGGCTCCTTGTTTTCAACTATATAGAATAATACCTTTTTGTTGTAATAGTGATATTAGTGTCAATATTTTAAGACTTCTGAATATAGTTGATTTTCCTCTCCTCTTTGAACATGTTCTTTTTGAAGCCTACTACATATTGTATTATTTAAGGGCACAGAAAAAAATCTAACTTTCTAAGGCAAATCTTTTTTTTTAAGACATTTATTTTAGATAGCACATGCATGTTAGTGGGGTGGCAGGGTCAGAAGGAGAGAGATAACCTCAAGCAGACTCTTCCCTGAGTGCAGAACTGGACACAGGGCTCGATTCCACAATCCCGAGGATCATGATCTAAGGTAATTCTTTAAAATTTTTTTTTATATTTTTATTTATTTGAGAGAGAGAACAAGTGAGAGAGTTAGAGCTAGCATAAGCAGTAGGGAGGGAAACAGGGAGGGAGAGAAGCAGAGTCCCCACTGAGCAGGCAGACGAACCCAGGGCTCGATCCCAGGACCCTGGGGATCATGACCTCAACCAAAGGCAGACACTTAAGCAAATGAACCACCTAGGCACACCAGGTAATTCTTTTTTTTTTTTTTTAAGATTTTATTTATTCATGGGAAACACAGAGAGAGGGAGGGGGGTGGCACAGACATAGGCAGAGGGAGAAAGCAGCCTCCATGCAGGGAACCCGGCATGGGACTCAATCCCGGGTCTCCAGGACCACACCCTAGGCCAAAGGAGGCACTAAACCGCTGAGCCACCCAGGCTGCCCACACCAGGTAATTCCTAACGAAATTTAATTTTTTCAGGTTTAGAAGAAGAAGAAAAGAGTTTGATCAATTATTTGTTTCAAGGAGGGCACTTGATGGGATGAGCACTGGGTGTTATTCTATATGTTGGCAAATTGAACACCAATAAAAAATAAATTTATAAAAAAATTATTTGTTTCAAGCCTTTAGAAATGCTGTTTCCCATGATATCTGCAACAGTATCTTCAAATTTTATCAAAAATAAGCACCACACCTATAATTCCAAATATGCCCATAAAATAAAATAAATATAGCATACCAAAGGTTAGAGCGAAGAAGGAGCTTTCTTGACGGCTCAATACAGATAATTTTCCTTGTCGTGAAGGTTCCATGCTAGCATATTCCAATTCCAAATTTTGACCAACATCAACATCATAAACACCACTTTTCCCAGGGGAGCCTATTACTCTAAGACTATGATTGGGCTGCACCTTGACAGGAACACCTATAGCATTTTTTACCGTAAAAGGAGCTCTATCTTTTAAAGAGTAGTCAAAAGTAGAAGCAGTGCCCTCTGAAAAACCCTGAAAAGGAACATAATATCACAATAAAATTTTCAAAAAATTCATGTTTTCCAAAATTTAACTATGACTATACATTTTTAAGAAACTAATTTTGATGACAAATGTAAATAATTCATACATGTTTCAATTTTGAATCCCATTTGAAATATTCAAAGCAAAAACCAAACATACTTTGGCTAAATTGTTGAAGACATTAAGGCAACTTTTGGATATTGTTATATTCATTGTATCTCCTGAAGAAATATGAACTGCAGTTTGTGGCTCAGGAAGAAAAATAAAATCATCTCCTGGCATTAAACTTCTATCCTGGACCGGATTCTTCTTTATCTATGAGAATAAATAACAGCATATTTAAGTTATCAGTCAATTAATAATAAAATTAAAATTAAAAAACTCTCAAAGAGTTAAAATCTCCTAAATTGGTCATTTTATATGAAGACTCCTTAATAGCCTCATTTTCAAAAATAATTAGTTCTTCGCCTAGATTTACCACAGATCAGCAGTCCTTCTTTGCGTAGTCAGTGTGTGGGCTAATGTTTAGAACTGTGCCATGAGGGATGCCTGGGTGGCTCAGTGGTTGAGCATCTGCCTTTGGCTCGGGTCCTGATTCCTCAGTCCTGGGATCGAGTCCCACACTGGTCTCCCTGCATGGAGCCTGCTTCTCCCTCTGCCTCTGTATCTGCCTCTCTCTCTCTCTCTCTCTCTGTCTCTCTCATGAATAAATAAATGATATCTTTAAAAACAAAGGCTGTGCCATGAAAGCACTCAAAGTCAGCTAACAATATTTGCCCAGTGTCACCTGACTAAATCAGTCCTTAAGTGTTGATGAGTGATCTAAAATGACCCTGAACTCGGGGTGCCTGGGTGCCTCAGTGGTTGAGCATCTGCCTTTGGCTCAGGTCATGATGCCGGGACCCTGGGATTGAGTCCCACATCGGGCTCCCTGAAAGGAGCCTGCTTCTCCACCTCTCTCTCTGTCTCTCATGAATAAAAAAAAAAAAAAAAAAAGATGACCCTGAACTCTAAACTGACTGGAGGTCCTTCTACTTTTTACCATTACCATCTATAAATACTACAATAAGCTTTCAACCAGTTATCATGTTCCATCACAGTTTTTGTTCTAATAGAGCCAAAGCCTTATAAAAAATTGTTAGCCTGTCCGTGCCAGAGACAGGTAGGTCAGAAATATTTTTCAACTTTACTGAGAAGAAATTGGGAAACAGGTTAAATGACTTCTCATTTTTTTAAAAAATAAGCATCTGCTGAGTCAAGTTCAGTGCCTCACACTCAATCAGGCTACTCCAGAGAATGGTATTGTAATAATTTGTTAAGGGTATATAATTCATGTTCCTTTTAGTTTAGAAATTGTGCTTTGGTATATAAGATTCTAAAGTGTTCTCAAGAAATACCATAAGGAGATAACACAAAAAAAAATCATGAACTAGAATTCAAGTTTTCTCAAAACTTTTGGTCTCTTAAAACCAAAACCAATGAAGATCTCAAAAGAGCTTCATTTATATGCATTATATCTATCATTGTGAACTCTATTAGAAACTAAAACTGAAGAAAATTTTAAATATTCATTTTAAATAATAATTATATGTTAAATAATATTTAATGAACGATAACTATTAAAGTTATCTTTTTAGTAAAAAGAGGGGTATTTCAAATCTCTCTAGTGCCTGCCTTAAGAGAGGTAAATTCTCATTTTTGCTCAGTATTCATTCTGTTGTAATATCACATAGTCTCTGGAAAATTCCATTGTATGCTCATGAGAGAATGAAAATAAAAACAATATATAATGTCTGAGTATTATTATGAAAATAGTTCTGATGCCATGGACCCCCTGAAAGGGCCTCTAGAATCCTAGACCACATCTTGAGAATCATTGTACTGAAAAATATAAATGAATGTCCTCAGTACCATTCAATATAAAGATATTTCATGGTTTCCTTACATCAAGCCTTAAATTCCATGGTCTCTTCCCCTCCACTCGCTCAATCAGTGGCTCCCAAATAGCATGAGTCTCATTGTAATAGTGAACCTGAAAGGCACAGAATTATATTAACAGAGTCTTTCAACTTTAACCACATATTTCTATAACCAGTAGGAAAAAGTATTGTGTAATTAATGTTACATGTCAATTGTCATTTTAACACATCTGAAGACACAAAGAATATCTATTAATAAGGAGGGTGCATTTTCCTTTACTCTTACTTTACTGCCATAAACAAATTATTTAACAAAAAATAATAGCCAATGAAATAATACTATGTATTAACAAGTTAATGTTAAAATGTATTATCTATTAATAGATATTACACTTGCTGTGATGATGCAGAAACAAAAGTTCACATCCTAGTTCTGCAATTGTACTTTTGAGGAGTTGGCTCTGGAAGTACTAAATGATGGTATCATACCTCTAATGTCATGTCAGCAGTAGCAGCCATTAGGGAAGTCCAATTTTTAATATTTCCAGAAAACTTAGACTCTGCCAGCAATAAAGGTACAGTTCGATGTCCAAGGCCACATTCTAAAGTAACTTGAACTGACTCTACAGCAACAGCACAATTTTCCTCTACTGATTGATGCTGAATGTCTTTGAAATTTTCTGTTACTTCGGTTGCCATGTCAACACCAAGAAACCAAGAGTTATAATCACTAATAGGTTTGACACCCCAAAGATTTTCTGTTTCCTTAGATGTATCCTTGGATTCATCTTCTTTTGTCTTTGGAGTCATAGCAGCCATGATTGTCATCACAGTATTCAGAATTATTGGTGAAATCTTTAAAAGAAAGCAGAAAAGTTTTAAGAATAAATTGTTTCCCACATAAGAATAATACATAACACAAAAGTTAAAAAATGAATTAAATATAAGTAAATATTAAATATATTACATTCAAACCTAAGGAAAACAAAAGGGAATACACAAAATTATATGTCAAGTCAACTAACTTCTCTCATAATGATGATTTCTGCTCAGGCTAATCTGGAATTAAGTAATTAACATTATATGTCAATTTTTAAAAACTAAAGTTAAATTGATCAATTCAGAATAAAAAAGTGCTATGTGAACAGAAAAATGTAGAAGTATAACTGATTTTTTCATTTTTCAAATAGCTGTATTAACTAAACTAACATACACAATCCTCAGCAAGGTATACATACATGGTTTTCATTTGTCTTACTAAAACAAAAAGCCTAAGAATCACTAGGAATCTCCTTACACTTAGCCCTTAGCTTAGCCTTACACTTAGCTTACACTTATACTTATTATCTTTGTATAGTATCTTTGCTCACCTCCTTATTCCTATCACTGTGCCTTAGCTCTATGCTGACAATGCCTTCTTGTCCAGTCCACATCCTCAGAACCCATCCTCCACACTTCCACAAGTACTATTTTTCTAAAACCCAAACCTGGGAATGCCATTCCTATGCCATAAATCTTCAATCTCCCATAACTTTAAGGATAAAGTTCAAACTTCTGTTCAGCTTAGGAACACAAAGGCCTTTGTGACTAACGCCTAATCAATTAGCTAACAAAGGAAACCTAAAGTCTAAGCAATAGGAGTTAAGTAAGTTAAGTGGATTCCTATACTGTTCAGTTCTCACATCCTTTACTCATTTAATATGCTAAAAAGATAGGATTCCATCACCAAATGAAGGATCTGATAAGTACTTCTTCCCAAACTTACCTGTCAACCAAGTCCATTTTTCGTCCTTGCCTTAGCAATGTCACCTATTTGTGCTCTCAATCTTACAACTCCACCACACTTTTCTCTCCAGCCATGTGGGATTACCCCTCTAAGTCTTAAAAGGGTTTTTCATACCCCTGCTTTTGTGCATACTGCAGGTTCTGTCTTAATAACCCTTACCTTTCCCGTCCATCTAACCTTCATCAGACTTTGAAAACTTAGTTCAAGCAGCCCCACTCTAAGGCAGCTTGTTCAGATGTCCTGGTCTGAATTAGAGGCACCTTGCCTGTGCTCCCTGTAGCACCTTGTGCACACCTCTAGCTCTGAAAGCTGGACTCACTGATTTACTTCTTTCTCTCACATATGTCATTAAATTTTTTGAAGGTAGGGACTATATTCCCAATACCTTGTACAGGACATTTTTCATACATAGTAAGAACTCAAAAAATGTTTGCTTAATAAACAAGTAAGCTGATATACAAAGAAAAGACAATTCCCCCAGCACCTTAACCTAACCTATTGTCTTAGGTTAAGTGCATGTAAATTCAAGAACTTCTTCCCCCATTTATTACTTTAAGTTTTTAAAGAAATAAATTTGTTAACAAAATGAAATCTAAAACTACCTAGTATTTTAAAACATTGAGAGAAATCTATATTGTTATTTGTATAGTAACTCAAATGACATTAGTTTGAGCCTTGGTTTAATCACTATTGGCTATTTTATAGCTACTATCAGAATTGGTATTAACCATCTCAATCTTGGGTCCTTTGGACAGAGAAAGAAATAGATTTTGGTAAGTATTCTATATCTTCCACTTATAAGCTATCATGAGGTCATACTTAAACAATACAAATGCCATTGGAGAAGAGATTGTTTCTTCAATATTTCAAATGTAAGAGATTTTAAAAAAAGTAAATCCTAATAATTTATTTCTAGCATACATCTGTCATTCATTGTAAATATTTCATAAGACAAATAAAACATTTAATTACACAATTATTAAATTCAAATCATACCTCAAAAGCCTAAAAATAACTTACTACAAACGATAACAACTTCATTTTTCCATCCCTCCTTGCCTTCTCTTTCCACCTCATCTTTTGTCCCCCAAACCCAATCTCCTCTCTAACATACACACACGCCAATAAGAGATAAAAACTATCCTGATCATTTGTAGATATTTAAAAGTACTCTTTTATAAAAAGATAGAAACAAACATTTGCTTTCAAGAAAAAAGTATTTTAATGTTAGTGGTATTTACTGTTTAAATATGTGAATGACTAGCATAATGCTATAGTTACAACAGCTAGTAAAAGATATTGTTAGAAAAATAAGAATTTTTACTCAAATAATATGAGAGACACTAACCTTAATTATAAATTCTTCAACCATAATACTTATATTTTGTTTTCCTGAGGCCCACATACATTTTTCCATAAATAAAGAACATGGCTGTAAGACCTAGAAACAAATAAATGAAATTCACATTTCCTATATATGTATATATATACATATATACGTATATATAAAATACACACAAGAACATGTCTTACTTAACTGGAGATCTTTACAGTCTACTACTAAAAGCAAAAGGCAAATTAAACTAGTTGAGAATTTCTTGTGAGGGCTCTTCTGAACTATGACAAATCTGTGAACATTGTAAAAGTACTTTAAAGCAGTTTTTATTAATTCCTCTAGATCAAATTCATAAGTAATAATGTACATTTACTAATAGAATCTTAAAATATTTCCTTTCACTGAAATATACTTTAAATGATGCCCTCTGTAAAAAAAAAATGCATTTAAAATATCTGTAAAGATGAAGTAAAGACTATGTTAAAGCCTTACATTCACAAAGAAGTACCTGATGAAATGAAATTGTTATTTCATTGTAATTTTTATGACCACTAAATCACTTGAAACTGTTAATTTACATAAAGAGTTCTGTTAACACATTTAAAAAAGACTATGGTAAGGTAGGCAAATAGAAAGTTTCCATATGATCAATAAGAGGTCAGTCCTAAGTATTATATAAGGTCCTTACAAGAATAAATTTCAAATCTTCAAACCCAATGATGTACTAAAACTTTGAAGCTTACATTTATATACATTTATCATTAAAGAAATAAACTAACCTTGCATCTGAATTGAATGAGGGAATTAAGTGTTGCATAACTGTCATTTCAAACAAATTGGGATGAACTTTTAACAGAGTGATTAATATAAGCTCTCTGTGATATGCCAAAAGAAGATGATCCTGCTAAAGAATGCTCCATGATAAAGTACAGACTAAGCCTAGCACTGCATTTCTTTATGTAGGCCACTAAAAATTTTAATTTAAAGTAACACTGCAAAAGGGTCATATAATTATCCTCTTTAAGGTTAAATTTCCAATTTAACATTTAAAAATTATTCTTATGGCAATTAAGCCAATTAACTAAAATCATATTTTTCAACAATAATGTGAACAAATAATTGAAGTTAACTTTTGATACAGCAAAACACAATCTCTTTTGGTCACATGACTCCAAATGAAATTTTTTTCATTCTAAGCTTAAAGATTTTAATAATCGTTCATGCATTTGTTCATTCATTCACTGGATATACTGTGGTAAACAAATGAAAAAACAGCTGAAGAGGAATGTTGATTTTTACTAAAATTCAAAAACTGCTCAACAAAAGATGGCACAATGAAAAGAAAACAAGTATAAAGATAGTTCTTAGTTCCGTCACTAGCAGCCATGGCTGAATCATTTAACTCCACATCCTTATCTGTAAAACCTCACATTTGCAGCAAATAATCTCTAAAGTCTTATAGAGCCCTCATATTCTAGGATTCTATGAATCCACGATTTCTGTCATTCTCACTCCAAGCTTATAATAAGATAATTCTTACTGTGGTAATGTTTTTTCCTCTTTTTTCTCTGAGAAAAGGGCAAGCCAGGACTTTAAGATCTCTCACAGAAGCTTCCATCATCTGTTCAAGTTTGGATGTTGACAGAGAGAGGTTACACTGGAATGAGGCTGTCAGAGCAGGAGCATCAGCTTTTGTCAGATTGGCAACAAATACCACTTCGGGATCTGTGATCTTGGCCTTTAAAGTCATATTTGGTCTTACAGAGTCGTCTGAAAGACCAAAAATAGGAACCAAAAAAGTTGTAGTAAAATATATCCTGTCCCTTGAGTATATATTATCTTTAAGTCACTAAGTTGTTTCTATTATCTTGTTATAATGGATATTGGAGAACTAACAATATTAATAGTTATACTAATGATAAATGATTATTAACAAAAGCTGATTCTGTGGGATAATGCAATCTGATTTCTGTCATAAGAAGAACATTTCCATTTTGACCTAGCAAGAATAATCTGGTTTTGAAGTCGTTTTTGTCAGAATTCAAGTGTGTACATAATATACATGAGCATGTATTAGACTATGTTGCAAAGACAAGGAGGAAAAAACAAGAGAGGGGAATATAAGGAAGAGGATAAGAGACTCTGATATCAAAGTTGGCCTTGATTTTACCATAAAATGCATAGTCAGTGTACTACAATCTATACTATAAATACATTAAATATATATGTGAATATAGAGATATCATATGTGATTACTATTTAGGTACGGTAAATGGAAAAATTAAATTCTGATCTTGCCAGTAAATGGCATTTTCCAATCTTGCTCAGTTATACATTAGAAAGATAAATGCCTGACCTTAAACTATTATAATTTAACACAGAAAATCACTGGTCTATGTAGTAATGCTGGAATAAACAATTTATTGAGCAGGGAAATAACTTCAGTGTACATCAATACCAGACACGTGCAAATGCTCCGGTGAGTTTAAAGCTGTTTACAGTGATGTCCAGGGGCATCAGGCTGGGTGCTCCATATCCCCACTCTCTGGCTCTATCTGTTCAACTGTTCTTCAATGTGCTATATAATTCTTTCATATATTTTCTTTGAATAAATGATTGCCCTTCTATAAAACAGACTGCTAGCCAAAGACCCAGATTAACTCCCCCAATTTTTGGATAAGTAAGGAAATGTTAATGGCAGAGTTAGAACCAGAGCAGAGGTTTCTTAGCCCCTAATCCAATATATATTTCTACTCTATCTCTAAAAAATTTATGCTTACTGAAGTTTTTCCACAGAATATATTTAAATTAGAAAGAGCAATTTTCTTTCTTAAATTGTCCATTCATCTTTTTGTCTGTAATCTTTGTTAAAATATATGACAAGTTGTCATCTATGACAGATACATTTTGCTGCTAACCTTTCTCCATCTTGACTTTTGCTGTGGCCGTCTGTCGTAGTGGAATCTGTGCTTCTTTTGCCATATTTTCTGGATTCTGAGACACAGCTTTGATAAAGAAATCAGCCACAGTCATCAGAAACTCCACACTGGCACATACATATAACTTGTCAAGAATAGCATCAATGTGACTTCCAGTTTTGCTTTGTTTGTAACTTATATCAATCATAGAACTGTTGTCATCTTGGTCGTTCTTTTTATCAATCATTCTAAAAAATATGTACATTCATTATTTTATTCTTGCAAAAATAATTTAAAAGATGAAAAATTTCCTAAACATCTTAAAATAATCTTTCATTCACCTTTGGGTTTGTAATCTGAACAGAAAACAGGTCAGTGTTAACCAGAGTCTAATTAGCTAATGAGCAACTAAGACATTGTCCTCTAATCTCCACAGCAAGATTCATGTTATTAAGCAATTGCAGAATATAATTATAATGCAATATCAGAAAAATAAATGAATGACTACTGAAAGGAATTTTGGCAATTCACAAAAGACATTAATGTGGTCCCACAAAATTTAAAGGACAATCTCTTTAAATTATTTTATGAAATAAAACCTTCTTGAATGAATTTATTTCCAAAGATCATCCTATATAATGAGTCCAAAAGTATTCAATCCAATTCAAAGCAGTCAATGTTTATCAAGTGTCTGCAATGATAGTTCCCTTATGTCCTCACATGTGCTAGGAAGAGCAGGTTACCAAACAGAAAACGGCCTTTACCATCCTTGCCTATACAATAGTGGATAGCCACCCCAAACATGAAATTTGCAAACTAGAAAAGCTGGTTGCATGACAGCACTCTTTCCTCATTTATTCATCTCCAAGAAAAACAAAGGGCTCAGAAGTATCCAGTATGTATTCAATGGAGTCTTAGATTTAGGGAGCAGCATAGTTTTCCTCCAAAGAATGTCAAGGACAAAAATATTATGTCTTGTTATTTGAGAGAGTAATAAAAATATAATTAGACTATTAAAGTTACATTATTTCCCACTTTATTGAAAGCTGATATAAGTTACTGTTTAAAACTGGAATGAAGAAATGTGTGGGAGATATCAGAAAGGGAGACAGAACATAAAGACTTCTAACCCTGGGAAATGAACTAGGGATGGTGGAAGGGGAGGAGGGCGGGGGGTGGGGGTGAATGGGTGACGGGCACGGAGGGGGACACTTGACGGGATGAGCACTGGGTGTTATTCTGTATGTTGGTAAATTGAACACCAATAAAAATTAATTTATTAAAAAAAATAAAAATAAAAACTATGACAAAGAAAAAAAAATAAAAAAATAAAACTGGAATCAAGGTAAAAATGCTAGGGGTTCCATTTCTAGTAAAACTTTGACAGAAATTTCAGAACATTGTTTTAAAATATATAGAAAAAATAAGTAAGACAATGATCTAAAACCTGAAGGTTTTAGACATTTAGATATTTAGACATTAAAAAAAAAAAAGATCCTGCCTACTGGGGACAATTGAGAAAAACATAATACCAACAAACCACCCCATGTGGATTTCATTATTAAAATTCTTACATTCTCTTGGTTCCTGCTTTTAAGACAGTAGTCCATTTTATTATTAAGTTTCCCTTTAATTCAAACTTCAAAGCAATTGAATTTGATATTAGCACTATTTACTGAGGCACTTCAAATTGAAGCATGACCAAAGACATCTTTTGATAATCCCAAGCCCAGCAATCAATGCCTGGCAGCAATGCAAGGTATAACGTCAAATTTAAATAATGTACAGCAGGTTCAGAGATGACAAACCTTGATGTTGCTCTCTCAATGCCTTCTCTGAGATCATCAAGTGTGCATGTTTTCAGTTTAAGGCTGACATTCATTGAGCCATCCTTAAACATCTTCCCCACGGAGGCCATAAGATGTAGTCTGAGTTCACCAAGCCGGAAACTGTCATTGTGAAATGAAAGTTTGGATTCCTGTGGAATATTTTCAAGCAAAACAATCAATTATCTTTAAATAGTATGTAATTACTTTTGAACACATTTCTTAACTCAGAGACAAAAGCAAATCAATAAAACAAAATTTAAAGGTATAGGTGTTAAAATACAAGAATAAAACAGAGCAGTATGTGTGTTTGTGAGTGTATAAGTACATACAAAAAATAATGTGTGCACTGATATTCAACAATGGTTAATATATACAAAATTTATCTCATAGCTTAACACAAAAATAATCGGGAAATATTTTTGTTAATCAGTCTAATAAATATTTAATAAGCTCTTCTGTAAAAAACACTGTGATAGGAACGAACTATTGGGTTTATGAGAAAGAACAAGATAACAGTAGATGATCTCAGTAAGCTTGTACCCTAACAAACATAGGAAGTAGAAATATATTACAAGAAACATTACAAGGAGATGCTATAAGTTGCAACTGATCAAAGACTGACATATAGTCATTTATTTATTCATATTTAATCCTCCCATATTCCACAAAGAGTATTAATGATTAGGTAAAGAATACAAACAGCAAAAGCTCAAAGGGTCAAAGAGATCAGCACAGGCTAGGAAAAATTCATGAAGAAGGTGAGAACTGAATTGAGCCTCAGAAACTGAATGAGATCAGACTGGCTAAGAGCAGGTAAAAGACATTCTACCGGATCTGACGCAGGGTCTTGTATTTGTCTCGGCCAAGTCGCATGTTCTCAGCATGGATCATATCATTGGCAGTCTTCTTGGACTCATCACGAAGAGGGGAAATGTTCACACTGGGCTTCAGAGAGCTATTGGAGACTTTAACCTGATCCCTTCTACACTCTAACCTCTTTCTCTCAACACAGGAGTAACCTCCTCCTTTCTATTTCATGTGTGCTCTTTTATTCTCTACCAGAATTATATATTCTAGTGGCATCTAATTCAATAATGATTTCTGTGTTTCTTGCTAATGTACTCTTAGTTTTGAGGCAGGATCATTTTGGCCTCATTTCCTTACCACCCCATACCTGGGAAGCATATATATTTTAAAAGAATATTTTGCCAGAAACATTATTGTAATAAACTTTCAGTGTTAGTGATGTCACCTGTCACCATAGGTCATATAGTCCATTCTTAAAGTACTTAGTATTTGGTTTTGTTGTTCTTTTTATTTTCTCTTCTCCCCAGAGTTCAGTCCCTAAAGTTCATACTGTCCCTCCATGCAGTGCCCCTAGCCCAGAGCCCTTGACTTTGATTCCTCCCTGACCCCATCCATACTGTCCCTCCATGCAGTGCCCTAGCCAGAGCCTTGACTTTGATTCTCCCTGACCCATCCGCCTGTCTTATGTGCATTGCTGTGAATTATATTGATGCTATCTTGGTGATATGCCCTATACTGGCTAAATTCAAACCTCGAATTGTGGGGCAATCTAGCTGCCTTAAGGACAATAACACATCCACAGGGAGGCTGGGGATAAAGGTTAGATTTTGTATTCAGGTTTTTTTTTTGTGTGTGTGTGTGTATCTTTGGGGTTTAAAAAATTGTTTTTGGAGAGGTTTATGCTCAACCCATGTTCTATTTCAGTGCCAATAAAATTTAGAAAGACAAAAAAAAAAAAGACATTCTAGATGGGGGAAAAAACATGAGTAAATAGTTCAAAGATGCTCTGAGGGCACAAGGTACCAGCTCTTCAGGTTTGAATATTCCAATTAAAAAAATGGTAGGTAAAAAAAAAAAAAAAAGGGTAGGTATGTAAGTGATAAATCACTAAAATCTACTCCTGAAACCAATTAACTAACTAGAATTTAAACTAAAAAAAAAAAAAAAAAGAAAAAAGAATGGTAGGGAATGAGAGCTGGAAAGAAATATATGGGCCTAATGGAGATCTCAAATTCCAAACTAAAGATTTAAACTTTCATTTACAGGAAAAAAAATTATTTAATCGTAACATATACCTCCAAATTCTGTACATATGCTCGGACCTTAAAAAAACAACTCCCCCTCAAAGCAAAAAACCAACCTACCAACCAACCAACCAACCAACAAAAATCTCTTCAGGGAAGTAAAGAACCTCAATTATAATTACTCACTAAGGATGATGACATGGATATAAGGAGTACTAGTGATGTGCCATTCCTGACACACTTGGTTATAACTTTACATCTGTCACTCAAGACAGTACATTGGATGCATATGGGTCAGGCCTTACTGACATTATTATTGGCAAATTTGGAATGTAAGTTTTTAAAATATAAATAATTCACAAACTTTTGATCTGTAACTATTAATAGAAATGATCTGTGACATATCTACCCATCACAATATATAGTTATTGATGTAAACAACTTGGAGCCACTTAATTTTTTTAATAAGGTAAAATTCAGATAACATAATACTGAATGTTTTTTAGTAAAATGGGAAGTTGTAAATGGCTACATGAGATTCATGTAGGAAACTGAACTTGTGCCAATGTCTAGTATGGATGAAAGAAAAAAGCAACAAACAAGGAAGCCATTGCAGTAGGGTGAGCTAAGAAGTTTCAAATAAAGTAGCAGTGAGAAGTGACAGGAAAGAAAGAAAAAAATGGTAATACTCAGTGTCTAACGAATAAAGGTGAACAAAGAAGAAAGTAAAAAAAATACCAACATTCTAAGGCTGGGGAACCAGTAGAATGATGGCTCCTTAAGTGAAATGAAGAATACATTTAACTGTTCATTTTCCATAAGGTCATTTTCTGTTCTTTTCATTAACATTAAACATTAGAAACGAAAGTACTTTATTGCATAAATGGCAGATACTAGCTCAAGGCTCAACAGTAATAATATATGAATATTGTATAACTTTTAGAAAACAAAATAAAACATAAATAAACATTAACAACAGATATATATAATCAATGCAGATTATGGATATTGTCACATGATGTACTTATTATGAGCAATATAACATAACTGATATAGTAAAAATATTTATTGAAGATACTATCTACGTAACAAAAAAATAGCTTTCTAAAATACTACTGATTCATTAATTACTTCAAATCATGGCACTAGATCTTCGTTCTTCAATCTACTAATGAGTATCCTTCATACATATCTATTATATATAAAATTTATTCAATAGAAATACAATTAATGCTTACATATACTGGATAATCATGAACTTTGAAAGGATCCTCTAACATTTCAAAGCCACTACTAAATTATTCTCCTTAAATAGTTATATATGTATACATAAATTCCTCTACTAGAGATGGATCTAAGTGGTTCAGTGCTGATGTTACTTGGAAAGAAGTAAAAAAAAAATTAATACGTTTATTAAATTCTATTTGGCCTAGAGAATATACATTGGTCTTGCATTGTCTTCCCTTTATTAGCATTTTTAGATTTATCTCTAATAAAGACATGGACTACATACCTGGTTGATATCATTGTTATAAAGGACAATGGAAAGAGATTCAAAGTGAAAGTCAAATTGGAGAGTGACATTTTGGTCCACGGAAAGCTTTGAGTCTGTCAAATCTTGTTCTGATGGTTCAAACATAAGTATGAAAATTAAAAAGCTTTAAGTAGGTACATTATTTTATACTTATTTTAAAAGCTAATAATTTATTATTCTAAATCTGTATCATACTTCTAGGATTCTTTAAACCATATTATGAGACAATTAATTAAAATGGCAATGATTCACTTGACGGGATGGGATGAGCACTGGATGATATGCTATATGTTGGCAAATTGAACTCCAATAAAATTTTTTAATTTAAAAATAAAAAATAAAATGGCAATGATTTATTCTGTATATGTTTAGTACAGGGCAAAATGACAGAGGCAGGCCATCTACATTTTTTAAAAAGCAACAAAAAGAAGGGGTCTTATTATGAAATTGGAGGCACAGAAAAATAAAATACTTTGACCTATAACAGACAATTAGTAACAGATACTCTGCTAGCATGGTGTAATTCTATTTTTAATTACATGTATCACCCAACTCAGTATGTTGACAAGAACAGAATATAATTCAATAGCTGAGTCAAACAGAGCTCAAATATAACATGGGGCAGGGAGCTTTTGAAATTCCAAGGTAAGAGATTTCAAGAAGTAATTTTGTCCATTCCCTTATCTTTAGGCAAAAACTTTTTAGACAATAAGAGTAAGAATAGATACTGCTTTCAATCATTCTTACAAAGTGATTTTATCATCTCTATTAGAGACTGATTCTATTCTTTGATCATTTATAGGGAAGCGCTCTTACAAGATGCTAGAAGAGAAAACACTGCATAATTTTAACCAGATAAATGCTTCTCCGATTTGGAAAACACTAGTTTTTTCCTTCACTCTTCCTGAAAGTAATTCACATTCTAATCTTCATTCTTTTGCAGCTTTCATCTGAATTCACAAGTTTTCCCAAGGACCACATTAACAATATAGCCAGAACCAGATAAACAAACTGACCACAGCTGAACATAATGAGATCATTAATCACATAAAGCCTGCCTGCTATCTTTATTCATCTGTACACAGTTCTGTCTAACCATAGCAACAGCCTGCTTATCTAGCATTTATCCATACTGTAGCATAAACCCAATCTGGGGAGAAGATGCTGGCCTCACTAAGCCCAGGGAGTACTCATTACTATCCACCTGAAACAAAAACCTTTTCTGCACACTGCTCTAGTCATTTATTTTGTGATTTCAAAACACACTGGGTCCAACCATAGAAGAAGCAATATTAATGGTATTATTAACTGGGAGTTTTTTTATCTATTACTTTCTGAAGTAACAGCTGATGATCTGACATTATAAAAGCACAACAGTATGGGACCATTTATTAGAAGGGCAAGGGATACTTCATCTCTTTTCAGCCATGGAAACATAACCTATTTATAAGTTTAATAAAACATATGATGTCCATCAATGACTTTAAATGATTAAAACAGATTAAAATTATGTTTTAAAAAAAAATAAAATAAAATAAAATTATGTTTTAAATAACTGTTTTGAGCACGAAGGACACTTTCATTTTATAAAAATTATCTTTTAAAAATGAATTTAAAATAATTTTAAAAGATCCCATTCTAATAATGTGGAAAATTCCCTTACGTATATGACTATATCACTCCAATAAAACCAAATAAATGAAGCTGTTTTTGTACAAAACAACCTTCCTTTGTTGTGGGCCAGTCATCAGTGTAGGATACCGAGATCCTCTTCTCTCAATTATTTTGGAACCTTACTATGCTGTATGCCTAATTTGCTATAATCTCAAGGTCCACCACCTCAGTGGCTTTTGAATTCAGCAAATTCAGCTTTTTTAAGTAAAGGGGCCAACATGTATCCTATAGACAATAGGTGGTTTCTCCTCTTACAGAAGACAATGAGCATACCTCCTTTTTTGGGAGTTCCAAGGCAGCCCCAGGCCCTGTACCAAGCCAATTTTTATAGTAAATACTATAATACTGAATCAGTTCATACCACATTATGCTAGACAACTAAAAAGACACTATACATACATACGGCATTAACACTAATTTTTCTCCATGATCAAAGCAAAAATCTTCATTAATTTATACCTTTGAGGTGGTCGGACCCACCCAGAACATCTTTCCTTATTCTTATAGCCTCCTGGATAGTCTGTGTAGGGCTTGGCTGTGAAGAAGCTTCTCCAAGATTTTCTAGCAGAATTTTCATTAAAACTGTTAAGTCATCTTCACTGAGAGCAATCTAGAAAGCAACAATAAGTTGTTAATATAAAGGAATAAAAACACAGAATATCACATCCATGTTTTAATTTACAGTTCCTCATATTCAATGTCCATCTGAACAACAACAACAAAAAAGGAATTGGGACAGTAAATATAGGAGATAAGGATTTCATCTTGTATAGTATGAGACACTCTGCATGTGGAAAAACACTCTGCCTGCACTCACACCCAAGCCCCTGCATCTGTCACTCTTCATGTCTGTTCCTATCTTTATTGTATGTTCCTGAACCTGTGCTTCTCTCCCCTCTCCTATCTCCTCATCTCCAATCGGCCTCTCTCTCTTCTGGCTCAGTACCTGCTCCCTCTTCAACTTCACTTCCATCCAAACTCAATACAAGAAGAGTGCTGTTCAATTTCTACCTTCTGCCAAGAAGCTCTCCTGCAATGTAGTTTTTATTCCCCCATACAAATACATCTGGACATGCCTAAGACATTTGTTCAACTCATCAAGAATAATGTCACTTGGAAAATAACCAAAGTGTCTACAAAGAATTTTTTCAAACCAAACCACAGAGCAGGAAAGGAATATCCTATTCATTTCCTACTTTTATAAAAGGGGATATGTGACAAGAAAAAAGGAAAGAAGAGAAAGAGAAAAAGAAAGGAAGGGAGGGAGGAAAAGCAAGAGCTTTTGAATCAGCCAGCTCTGTATCAACCCTACAACTTTAAGACTATGATATTTGCCAAGTTTCTTAGTCTCCTTAAGCCAGGTTTCTCAATCTTTAAAACAGAAAGATGGGGTGCCTGGGTAGCTCAGTCTATTGAGTATCCAACCTCTTTATTTCAGCTCAGGTTGTGATCTCAGGGTGCTGGGATCCAGCAAGCTTCACACTGGGCGTAGAGTCAGCTTGTCCCTCTTCCTCCCCCTCTACTCCTCCACCTGCCAGTGTGCACATGCTCTAAAACAAAATCTTAAAAAAATAATAAAACAGAAATAATATCATCTTCCTCATAGGTGGCTATACAACATGAAGCAGCTAGAACAAAAGTAGCTGCCACTGGCTCTAAGATCCATTAAACCTTTTAATCTTTCTATCTTTTGTACATTTTTCCTACACATACAGTGGTCCAAAAGCCCTGTTTCAAGTACTTAAACACAAATTGATATAGGCATGCATGCATTCACAGCACCTTCTCCTTTGAACACCACAGAACCCTTTGTTCCCCAAATTAGGCCCCTATTGACAGGAAAATTTTCTGATTCCCAGCCTAAATGAAAATGGGGAGATATTTTAGCCTGAAGTAATGACCAAGGATTTCTTGTTTGCTACAAGCCCCAATCCTAGGAAAACAGATGTCACTTTAACTCCCTAGAACTTCCTTGTATCTTCATTCTCATGTGTGATACCAAGAAATAACAACTGCCTGAAAAGCAGCTAACTTCATCACCTCTTCTGGTTTGCTGTGGTGAAAAGAGCAGCTGTATTACATATTCAGACTGACCCTTCAGTAAGTCTGAAGGACAATTTAAGAGATGGCACCACAGTTTTTTAAGAACTGTCAAGATGATCTACCCAAAACAACTTACAGGTATCACTTACCAAATATCCATTTTAGCTACACTCTAGACCTAGGAAAAGTACACAGACTCAATACCCAAGAAGGAGTGTTCTGAGAGGCCTGGACTGCTGACACATTAGCAGTGGAAACTATACACACTATGGCTGCATTCTTGATTTAACAAGGGTCCTTTTAGTTAAAGTGATGATCATGCTTTGATGTTAAACTGACGGAGCTCTTACTATTTTTTTCTAGTTTCTTTTGAAATACTTCCAGCATAAAGGAAAAGCAGAGAAGATACAATAATCCTCCCCAATATGCCTATCATTTAGCTTTGTCAAATCTTACAAGTTGCTATATTTCCTTTAGGTCTTGTTTCCCCATTATAGATATGGTTGAAGCCCCATGTTTACTTCTATGAGACCCCATCCCCTCTATGTTCCTTTTCAGAGAAAGACACTATCCTGAATTATTCTTCCCATGAATGCTTTCTTATACTTACCACTACTGCATTCCCTATAAATAATAGATAGCACTGTCCATTGTCTTGCTCATTATAAAACTTGAAATAACATAGAATTATACTATTATTTTACAACACAATTTTTTTCCATTTTTATGTTTAGGATATATCCATTTTAAGTTCTAGCTCACTCACTTTATCTGGTTTATAATGTCTACTGCATGAATATACCATTGTTTGGTCCATATTCTCTTACTGATAAACATATAGGCTTTACTTTTGCTTTCAGCAAACCTATAACCACACAATCTTTGAAAGCAAAGGGAAAAGGTCAAATATTAGCCCTGAGATTTAATCTTTCAATAGTAAGGGAGAAGTTAAAGGAAGAGTCACATACTCTGAAAGAGAGAAGTCTTTATGAATACCCTAGACACTCTTCCCATGTACCATATTTACGCAAAACTACACACAGGACCTTTCATCCCTACAATAAACTTCAATTTTAACTTCTTTAATAGAACTCGGCTCCTCTAACCCTTTCTGTTTTATCCAGAACTTACTCTAAAGTAATCACAGGTATTAAAAACTACTAAATTTTTATTTGTTTTTCACAATCTCTGTTCAGTCACTCTCTCTCTTCCCCTATCCCCTAGTATTTGGCTTCAATGGTTTCACATACAGGCACACAAAGACCATAGGATTCCTATACTTACATAACTGTCTTTGGCCATTATCATTTCTCCCTGTAAGCCAACATATGACCTGCTAACTACACTATAAGTATTTCCATATTTATATGCTTACCAAGTTACATACTCACCTATTTAAAATGTCCACTTTCTAATTAAAAGAGTGCTTCTTTACATTAAAAATACTCCTAAGCAGGGAGGGACACCTGGGTGGCTCAGTCAGTGAAGTGACTGACTCTTGATTTCAGCTTAGGTCACGATCTCAGGGTGGCAGGATTTAGCTCCACGTCAGGCTCCATGCTCATCATAGAGTCTGCTTGCTCCTTTCCCTCTCCCCACTTGTGCTCTCTCTCAAATAAATAAAGAATTAAAAAAAAATACTCCTAAAGTGTGGTATCTAAATAGTACTTTATACTATCTTGCTATTCTACTGCCTTAAACTTTAATAGAACTTTCCAAAATTATTAATAATATTTTCAGTAGATTCCAATGAGTTTTTATCTCAGATTTCTTGCTGGATTTACCAGATACGTGACTAAAGTGAAATAAAGTGTGAGAATTAGGATGACCTCATTTTCAGTTAACAAAGTATTCCCTTTTAATGCTTCACTGCTTTTTTTTTTTTTTTTTTTTAAGATTTATTTCTTTGAGAGAGCACAAGCAGGAGGGACAGAGGCAGAGAGAAACTCATGCAGACTCTGCACCTGTGCTAAGTGCAGTGCCCAATGCAGGGCTCACTTTCACAACCCTGAGATCATGACCCAAGCCAAAAGCAGCAGTCTGACCCAACCAACTAACTGCACCACCCAGGCACCCCTGCTTCATCACTTCTGATGTATGCTAGAATGGCATTGTGATGAATAATAAAAGCCTACCCAGCAATTTTCATATACTGTACACATATACTTACCAACATAGGTTTTAGTTTTCCTTTTATCTCCATCCCTGGAATTTGCACATACCATGCTGCTGCTAAATTTCGCTGTATGGACAAAAGTAAGTTGACTGGTTTTAAAATTTCAATGTCAGGTTGTGCCAAGCCATTCTGCAAAAGAGTTCTGAAAGATAAACAAGAATTTATTTTATATTTTTGACATTTATGTTTTAGAATGAAGACTATCATATTGTCTAACAGTTTCCATAGTTTACCTAGATATTGAAGGCTGCTATAAGAATTCTTTAAAACATGTTTCTTTTCACAAATCAATCCAAATCAGAATAAATCAAGACCTTTCTGATACAAAACCTACATAATGCTGATTTCAAAGACAGAAAGTATGACTATTATACTATTTACTACTTTCACAAAGACTGTTGAATATTAGCAACTAGCATCATGCAAACAAATGTTAACATTTGTTTCTCTTTTTTTAACATTTTTTTTTAAAAAAGATTTTATTTGTTTATTCATGAGAGACACACAGAGAGAGAGAGAGAGAGAGGGAGAGAGAGAGAGAGAGAGGCAGAGACACAGGCAGAGGGAGAAACAGGCTCCATGCAGGAAGCCCGTCGCGGGACTCAATCCTGGTACCCAGGATCACGCTCTGGGCTGAAGGCAGCGCTAAACCGCTGAGCCACCCAGGCTGCCCAATAAATAAAATCTTAAAAAAAAAAAAAAAAAAAAAAAAAAAGTCTTTCAACAGACTCAACACTTTCCCATTTGGATTCAGTAATCCTTTACATACCACACTGAGAATTCCCAAAAGTGGCAAGGTTTAGAAATGAGAAAAAAAATCTTAACTTTTATTACATTTTAAGAAGTTTTCTCCCATTGACAGAAAATAGCTATAGGCAAAGTGAAGAATAAAAATAAGTCTAAATTAAGTATACTGAGTAAATTTTATTTTTTTTAATTTTAATTTTTTAACTTAAATTCAATTAATTAACATATATTATCGGTTTCAGAGGCAGAGGTCAGTGATTCATCACTCTTATATAATACCCAATGCTCATTATATCATGTGCCCCCCTTAATGTCTACAAAATGAAGAAAACTACATAATAAATGTGGTAAGACAAAACAGAGATTCTATGAGGCACACTAGTTTTATCACTGACCAAAAACCAATGGTCATGGTTTTATAATTATAAAAAGCAAGGATGAGAACCACAAATCATGAGAGTATTTTATCCCTACCAAAGATTTTATGAGAATTCTGTTTCTAGCAGTAGTATACAAATGAATTATATATTTGTACCTAGACAACTTCAACTGAGTTAGCTGAATGTTCATCTTGTCAATGACTGGAGGAAGAGAATAATGTTCCATAGGAACTAAGCTAAATTTGTTTTCAACTCTGATTAAACCCAGATCTGCTACAATAGCATTTGGCGATACTGAAGACTGAGGAATGATAATAACTGGTGCTTTCAAGTTAATATCCATCAAAAGGCGGAAACTCTTTTGAGCCAAGTCTTTCATGCTGGAAGCAGCTCTTTCTGCAGCCTGGACTGTGGCTGAACTCAAAGCTTCTTTGGCAGTTTGGAAATTGTTGAGGAAGTTCTGTTGAAAGAGACTGATATTTAGATTTCCTTAAAAAAAAAAAACTAACTTTAAAGAGCATTTACCTTAAAAAGAAAAACTAAATAAAAGAGTTAAAAGAGATGTTATTTATAATTGTATATATGGAGAGTGTAAGTCTACACAGACATACTCTGAGATACTAACAACCATCACCTCTGATTGTTTAGGTAGAAATCCATAACTTATAACCTTTGAATAACAGCCCTGCTAAGAGGCATAAACAGATTAAAACTCTTCAGCCCATAACATTTACATGGAAATAATTAGAAGAAAATAACTATATGGCTTTGTTGATCAATTATAATTAAAAGCCATAAAATCCAATATTAGTCCTTCATAAAAATATTCTTTTAGCTAAATATCTTTAAGGGTATTTGACAAAACAACACTGAAAATACCTAAATTAAAACACAAAAAAGTACTTTTAAATTATGTAACTATGGAAATGTGAAAGAATGGTAACAAAGATAACAAAAATTCATCTGGTTATCCATCATGTAAAGGAATTCCTTCACTATAATATTCTGTTCAGCATCTAGGTGTTTAGCACACAGCCCTATTAGTAAATATTTTGACTATCTAAGTTCAAATGTATAGGCAAAGATATTTAGGTCTCAATGAGAAATAAATACATTTAAAAATAAACTTACCAAAAGAGACATGAAGAATTTATGAACATAAACAATTTGGATACAACCCACTTTTAGGCTAAGTTTCCCATCCACTTTAGACATATCAGCATAGGCCTTTCCTTCTGTAGCATCTGGATAAAGAGTCATTTGGAACCTAAAGACTTCATCTCCCAAAATAGAGACAGCCTAAAAGTATTAAATTAACTGGTTATTACATCAAAAGAGCTACACTATATCAAAAGAGCTGAAATATAAATAAGTTTCCTAATTAAAAAATCCTTAACATATGAAGAAGCACTATTTAAATTCAACCTTCAATAAATTGTTAAAAACACTTTGCTCACAAAACTTTTTCCTATTTCTACAAAAAAAGTTTTAATTAATGGAAATATCAGTCACTTAATTGGTCAGATATAACTTACAAATCATCCAGCCTATACACAATGTGAAAGCACATAATAACCATATTCATATCCAATCCCTAACAAATTGCCTGACACATTACTATTAATGAATATACAATGAACAAATGAATAAAGGCATCTCAACCAAAAATCAAAACAAAATTTCAATATGGAAATTATTTTTCATTTAAAACATTTTTTGATGTTATTTTTTTGGTTTCTATTAATCTGTACATTCTTAGCTAAAACCAACGTGGACCTTGCCATGTATGTTTTCTTCTAGGAGTACTATGGCTTCCAGTCTTAGATTCTACAAAGCTATGGTAATCAAAACAGTATGGTATTGGCATTAAAAGAGACACATAGATCAATGGAACAGACTAGAAGGCCCCAAAATAAACCCATGTACATATGATCAATTAATTTTCAACAAAGGAGGCAAGACTACACAACGAGGAAAGACAATATTTTCAATAAGTGTGTTGGACAGCTACATGCCAAAGAGTATAATTATCAACAAAACAGGACAGCTATATATAAAAGCATAAACTTGGACCACTGTCTTTATGCCATATAACAAATTTAATTCAAAATGAATGAAATACTTGAATCTCTGCCTCTCCCACCCATCTCAATATGGCCCTTTTATCTTTTGTTGTGAAGGTGCTATTCATCTAGTTTTCAAGACCTTTTCAGAGAAAATTATGCCACTTGGCTCTGTAGAATTATTATGGCTGTGGGGGGAGGTGAGTTCAAGACCTTCCTACCCTGCCATCTCGAACAGCCTCATTTTCCTGAAACCTGTTTTTTAAGTACCTTTTTGTGAATGGACAGCAAATCAACATTCGTAATTACTATATCCTTAAGTCTGGCAAACATGTCAGTCTGCTTTGGCTTCACAGAAATAGAGGCATCCATTCCTATGGGAAACATAACATTTACAAACTTTTCATCCAACCCAAGTGACCCAATTTAGTGGTATTTAATCAAGTTAAAAAATACACTACCAAGATAAAGAATGAATAAAATTACTATTACACATACTAAAGGTATCAACTTCTATGTATGAGATGCCGAATAAAGGTTACAATATCTTTAAGTGCTACAGGTATTTCATACATAAAAGTTGTGGAAATTTTAAAGACAAACAAAACCAAATTTCAAAGAGAATTAATCACAGGTTTTCAAACAAATATCCTGTGCACTGGCAAGATCACAAGTAGTCACAGAGGAAGACACACAGTATTTCTTAACAAGCACTTATTATGAAAACTAATGCTCTGATAACTAAGCATAAATGAATATAATTTGATGAATAAATATTCATTCTACAATAAAGTGTATCTAAAATATAATCTTTCCCTTCAAAAAATTTTGGTTATTCCCATAATTTCTAAAAGCATAATGATTTTTAAAACCACTCCTTAGTAAAAGAGAATGCCTATAGCTAAGACCCAGTAATAAGTTCAACCTATTACATGCCATCCATGAAAGAGATACTTAGTAATAATTGTTAATAGTACTTACTTTTTAACCTTTTTTTCAAGTGCTTACTATGTACCAATCACTTTTTCTAAGTATATGTAAATGTGTATATAATCCTAAAAATAATTATTATAACTATCACAACAATCCCATAAGTAATTATTATAATTATCTCCATTTTACAAAAGGGGAACTAAGATACAGAAAAATTAATTAATTTTCTCACGGTCAGCTAATAAGTGTTAGAGCCAAAACTTGAATCTTGGCAGTCTGGTTCAAGAACCCATGGTATAATATGAACCTATTCTTTCATCAAGCTGATGATGGGTAATGCTTACAAAATTTCCTTTAGGTACTTCTATTTTGATTCTATATGTACAAAAGACAAGGGAAATAAAGATAGTAACATTTTCTTTATTTAGTGAGGAGTTGTGATATTAATTTCTCAGTTTAAATTAAGGTTATATTATTCTGAAAATATAAAAGGAACATAAGCAACGAAGCCTTAGATTTATTCTAAAATTTGAAAAATATGTAAGAAATGTTTCATGTCAGCTGTGAATCCTAACAAATCCATGTCCAACATTTCAAAGTACATCTTTGAAAAGCTTCTGCAAGTCTTCAATATAAGTAAACAAAATGATGACTCATATGAAACCTAACATACACAAGCTCACTCTTCCTTGAGGTCTATGTAAAGAAACAGAAATACCTACGCCAAGGAAATCATTACTTACCACGTATTCTAATATCTGCAATGTTACACTTCTGATCACAGACAAAGACATTAAATGCATTTAATTCAGCTATGACCTTTAAATCAAACACATCATCTTGAGAAGTACTGCTAGATACTGAAAAATAACAGAAACCTTGAGATTAGCAAAGTGCAAAGACGGTATAACAGACTAAATAATGTAAAATTCACAAAAAGTACATTATGAACTATGAAGAATCAAAAAGACTTCCGTTAAGATAACATGAAATTAATATGGATTTTACTCAATTTTCAAATGCCAATCAGAAACGAGTCTATTCCCCTCCAACTTAAGAATAAAAGCAACCTTTAATAGAACCTTGAAAGTACAATTTGTTAGATGGAAACTTTCCTATAATTTTTCTTCTTGGAAAAAAGGTTTAGGTCTATGAGGCATAAATATAAAGAGCTAAAGATTAAAAAATACAAAAAAAAAGTATGTGTATTGTCTATAAGAATCACAATCAAATGGATTCCCTTAATCTAACTTTGGTCCAGGTCTTGATTGATAAATTTAGGATATATTTTTCTAGAGATATGTCTTGATGAGGGAAACATTCCTTTTCCTATAATACTGTAAAAAAGCACAGGACATCAGTCCTTAATCACTAAGGTGATAACAGAGATTTTTTTCCCCTAAGATATAAATCAAACCATAAAAACTATAATCAAACCACTAAAATCAACTAGAGAGCACAATTGGAAGACTATTTCTTTGGATTAATAACTTTTGTAGTTTATTGTGAACTTAAACATTGCTCTTTCATTTATCCAATTGTATGTGCACATGTATGTATATATGTATGTTATATAAAGAAGTATTTCCACAGATATTAATATAACAAGTACACAACAATAAACCTCTTTAGTTTATAGCAAAAGTATTGCTCTGACACCTTGTTAAAAAATTCTCAACCTTACATCAGATCTAATATTACTAAAGCTTTATGCTTTAAAGATGTCAGTAATACAGATGTCACTCAAAACACGTAAGGGTCTAAAAATTAAATTACTAGTTTTGGATATTCAAATCACGTCATATGAAAGAAAAATAATTTAGATGATATATGGCTTGAAAACAGGTGCATGTTCACTCAGGATAACATCATATCTAACTCATAGCACAAGCCATATGCTTAAGGAACATATGCCCATAACTTTATGTGATTTAAACTCAAATTTGGTTAGAAACTAAAATGAGTCTGTCTCTTCCATGATATTCTTCTTCCTTTTGTGCCCTACAAAACACTTATGTGACTGACAGAAATGGGCCTTTGTACTATGCATGACTGTATTCATATTTTAATTTCTTCTGTTCTCACTTGCACTGAAGTGAAGGCTGCAGAGACATCAATACAAAGTACCTACGTATAATTTTATTTTATGTAAAGGACAGACAGTGAAATAAAATACAAATACATGATTAATATTAAAATTTCTTTTAAATCTCTCACAAAATTATCCTGTCCCTACCGCAGAGGTAAAATTTGCTTACTTTTGAAACTAAATCTGTCAGAGCAGCTGTAATATTAAGATGCTAAATATTTGTCTTAGCTTGAAAATATAAGTTATCATATGATTATTAAAAATTCAGACAGAAAGTATTAGACCATGACTCAAAAGTTAATACCAGCTTTGACAACGATATTTCTGGACTCCCCCACAAGTGGTTTCAGCTCAGATGATTCCTTTTCCAAAGAGGAAGGTTCAGAAGATGGAACAGCAGATGATAAGAAATCCATGAAGGATAGTAAAGCTTCCAAATGAAGTATTAAGTCTAAGGATGAAAATGAAACCTAAGATAATAAACAATTAGAGAGGCAGAGTTCAGATATGGTGACATTTTTATGGTATATGGTGACATATACTTATTTGTATATGTTGAAGGACAATTCATTTAAGAAAAGATCAATTAAGGTTTTTTGTTTTTTTTTTTAAGAAAGAACTCACTATTAATCACTGGTTAATCTCAATCAGACAATAAACTGACAGTCTGTCTCCACTCATGCTCAACTGTTATTCAGACCTTAACTGGTGGGTTTTAAGGAAAGATACAGTAAGTAATATAGGGCCTTAGATCAATAACATTTCAGATGCATCCAGGACAGACTATATAAGCTCAAATATATCGTAAACTATTTCTGTACTGAGCCATACTTTTAGCCTTGTCCTTAATTTTATTCTAACCCTAAAGCCAATATTTAATTCATATGTTTAATGCTACCATCAATACTAGGCCAAATAATCATGTATAAAATTCCCTTAAAAAGTATATTATTTGTTGGTGAGGGTGCAGGGAAAGATGGCTACAAAGCTAGATGTAATCATTAACACTGCCTTATAGTGAATTAGAAAATACTTACCTCTACTCATTAACTCCACTATAATACTGCCTTATGGTGAATTAGAAAATACTTACCTTCAGTCTCTGTTTGGTATTGTCATGAATGGTTGTAAATTCTGGTCCATCACTGTCTGCCTAGAAATAGTGGAAGATTAAACCATGGGGTTGAAAATACTAAGAACTCACACACTGAAAAAATATATATACAAATATATACTTATATAGATATATACACGTGCCTACGTATATACACACACATATATATGTACATACACATTCTCTACTTTTCAAGGATGCTATGAAAACACTAAAAACATATTTCTTAATGGCAAAGAGGCATGTGCCAAAAATCCTGAAGCATTTCTCACACTCTATAGAAGCAAAAACTAAAATTCTTTATCCTATGTAGGAATAAATGCTAAAGGTAAGGGAAAATGCCAGCATATATAGATTATGACAAATTTGCTTCAGATTACCACAAAACTTTGTACATACTCACTTATTCAATATAAGGGTTAATTCAAAAGATTATTGTTGGATGCTTGCTAATTCACTGTAATCAATGAGCTTTAGAATGAAAAATTATAGGGAGGAAAATTGAAATATTAAATATGGGAGAATTACACAACTTCATATATTCAAATATTAAAGAATCCTAGAAGGAAACCAGGTACCTTTGTCAGTGACATTTTTAGCAGCGGCTCCTCAGTTACATTAGAAGAGTTAATAATGTGAAGCGGCTGTCCTACAGAGTCTAAAAATAAAAAACACAGGGCCACTCCAGTAAGTCTTTCAGACATTTCAAATGTATTTTTAAACAGAATTTTAAGGCATATATATCATACCTCAATAAAAGTGGCTTTGAAAAAAAACTCCAAAAAAAAAAAAACTCCATAAAAATTTTTGAAAAATACCCAGTACCAGTCAATTATAACTGTTGTAATATTTACACTACTGGTATTATTCATTTGAACAAATCAGAAAGAATATATTGAAGAAAAAAGCTATAAAATAAACTAAGGATTATTCTCAAGATGTTTGCTTTAAAGTTAGCCCCTAGAGTTCCTATAACTTTAAACATCCATAACAATTTTAAAAGTTGGCTTGATACACAATAAAAAGTGGACTTGAATGTATTCTACTTCATGGTATATATATATTTATATATATATATTCAGAACATATATATATTCAGATATATTCTTACTTTATGGTAACTATATAGAAAATAAATTTTTAAATATCAAATTCCTTTTTATCAACATAAGAAATTTAATCAACTAAATAATTATGGTAACATTAATAAATGTACTTACTACTGACAAAAAGGTATAGACCATGTCTCTAACATGAATAATTTACACAGACTATACTTCACACTTACCACTGAACTCAAAGCATCGCATACTAATTTTTTTTAAATAAGCTTTAGCAGTCAGGTCATAGGGTTTAACTTTAGCTTCCATTCCAAGCTGCAGGACATTCAGTTCATGTAAAGGCCTTCCTTTCTTTTCTGCTTTTTTCATCAAAGTAATCACAACCTAGAAAAGGCCCCAGTATTATCACATACAATTCCACTAATATATCATGAAGGTAAGTCAACAATTTCATAGCCATTCAGACTGATATAATAAAAAAAATTCACATAATGTAAAGATGTGTACTACTATTTGTGCCTAGAAAAATGCCTAGTGTTATTTACTTTGGAAAGTACACTTACTTGTTTGGACTTCTGAAACACTGCCAGTGTATTCTAGTGATCGTTAAGGTAAGATTTAAAAAAACAAAGAAAGTAGTTCTGCCTAATTCCCAGAAGTCTAGTCTGATGGATGGCCTTTCATCTGGAAATCTATTTGATAAATGGTCAATTTTTATACTAATCCTAAGGCAAGCTTTCTCAAGCTTGGTACCATTGACATTTTGGACTGGATAATTTTTTGTAGTGAGGGAGCAGATCTGTGCATTTTAAGATGTTTAGTGGTAACAGTGGTCTCTCACACTGGTTGTCAGCAGTTCCCTCTCCTCAGATGGTGACAACCAAAAATGTCTTAAGATAGTGTCAAGTACTGGCTTGGGGGAATGCAAATTTGCCTCCCCTGCTTTCCATGTCCTCAGGGAATGGAACTATAATAGTATTTATTATAAATGACATTAAAAACAGCTTATGGGTTTTCTATGCACACTTGTTAATGAAGCTCATTTGCAAATAGAATGATTCATCTATCATTGTTTCAATTATTAAAGCTTATCTTCAATAACTCTAATATTAACCACAAAACATTAAAGTTTTAAGGTGAAAGAAATTAGCTGAAAAGCATATATTTCAGATAAGAAAAGTAGAACTCATTTGATTTAAAGTTTATTATTTTTAACTTAGAGGAAGAACATGATCTCTACCATAATGATGAAGGGAGGGCAGCCAGGGTGGCTCAGCAGTTTAGCGCCACCTTAAGTCCAGGGCCTGATCCTGGGGACCTGGGATCCAGTTCCGCATTGGGCTGCCTGCATGGAGCCTGCTTCTCCCTCTGCCTGTGTCTCTGCCTGCCTCTTTCCCTCTCTCTCTCACTGTGTCTCTCATGAATAAATAAATGAAATCTTTAATATATATATATATATTTAAATATATATATATATAATGATGAAGGGATTTTGCAAGGAAGTTCTTGCAAGTCCCTGGGTCTACTACATTTTCTCATCTACTCACCCAGCTCCTTTCCTGATCTCCTTTTCTCAGACTCTACTTATATTCCTTAAAAGCTCATCTCAAATGTCACTTCCTCCAACAAATGTTCCCTGACACTCTCATCCTGCTTAGATGCATTCCCCCTGCTTACTATTATAGCCACAATGTCCTCAGACACTTTTGTAATGGGAGCACTTACAAAAATTTTAATTGTTTTCTTGTTCAGAGTTTCTGCCTTTTAACTCTATCCTCAGCACTTAGCACATGCAATGGATATCTGAATGTGCAAATACAGACAAGGAAAATCCACTTACTCTTTCCTCAAGACTCTGCAGACGGAAAGCAGATAGTGGTAATAGAACATATTTCTTAACGGCAAAGAGATCTGTGCCAAATATATCATATATATTTGCATGTATATTATATATGATAATATAACATTTTAAAAATATAGACATATTTTTACATGTTTTATTCTATTAAGGGTTTCTAAAATTAACAAAGGATTTCTGTCACTACTTCCCTTTCCTGACTTTCTAATATGAAATCCAAAGCAAGCTACATCCCAAGTGTTCTAAAATCATCTGAAAAGCATGTTACAGGACATGTTACCATGTTCTCTATGAAACAGTATATACCCCAAATATAACTCATCTTTCATAAACTCTCAAATTTACTACAAATTGTATTGCTACATACAAATTATAAATAGCCTACATTGAGATTTTTTTCATACATATCAATAATCCACAAGTTTTAGTAGAGGTGATTTCAAATATCTATTATTTATTCACTTTACAGAAATAGATGACAATTATATACCTCTTTTATTTCAAAATTCAGCAGCACATTAATAATGTCTACAGATCTCATTTCTTCCACTCCAGCTGTTGAAGTACCATGGGAAGCATGTACATCTTGTTTTGCTGTAGAGATTTCAAGCGGTCCTTTAATTTCACCTAAAGATGTTAAAAAGAAATTTTTTCATTTCCATCCACACATTTTTTTCCACAAATACTCACTGAGGACATGTATGAGTACTCTGGACCTGTGTAAGCTCTGAAAATCCACAAATTAGTAACACGTAGCTCCAGCCCTTAGAAAGCTTATGGTTTAATAGAAGAGATATAAACATTTAAAATACAAACAAACAGAAGAGGCAGACTACACTTGGTCACATTAAGTGGACAAATGTTAATAGACTATAGAAAACTGTAGAAAATACAGAACATAAAATGGTTATGGGGAGGTCAAGAAAGGTTTAATAAGGGAGTTATCATTCAGGTAGAGCTTAAGGACCTCCTCATACAGAGAAGACATCCAAGAATAAGATATTTTGGAAAATCATAGCACATCATGATAGGTTTTGGAAACAGAACAGAGTTTGCTATGATTAAATCATGAGGAGGATAACAAGAGTTAAGGCTAGAAAAGAAATAAAATGGGAGGGATGGTTACAACCTCTCATGCCATACAAAAAAGCAAAAGTAAAGCTGTATGAAACTGATACTGTGCTGAAATTCACATACCCTGAAATGCAATAAAATTGCTTTGTAAATTGTAATACACAAAACTAATAATAGTTATCAAATGCCCAGTGCTTACTTCTGTGCTAGTCACTATGCTATATGGATTGTCTCATTTCATCCTTATATCAACCCTTCAAGATAGAAAGTTTACTATCTTCATTTCAGATGAGCAAATTGAGGTTCAGACAGTCAGGATGTTGCCCAACATCACAGAGATAGCAAATAATAGAGTCCAAACTCATCAGTCCCATGACAGCCTGTACTCCCAACTAACCCTCAATTTCGTTACATTAGTTATCAATACTATTGCAGTGAATGTTATCTATGATCACTAACACAAGAATCTTATACCATAAACCATACCAGAAAACCATATGGAAAACCACTGTTGTCAATTATTAACTCTGAGAAAGAAAGAAATACATAGGGTGAGATTTCTTAGCTATCACCTTATTCCAGCACTGTTCCAAAGCGTGATCCAGGGGAAATAACTCTAGCAAATATTTTGCTTTTACAAAATAATTCCTGAAATAGGTAAAGAGTTATTAAATAAGAAATAAAAAGCATTAATCACTTTCAAAAATGATAAATTGAAATTCATCACAATTAACTAATTCTATTGATAAAAGAGCCATTAAAAGAATGAAAAGCAAATCACAGATAGGGATAGGATATTTCTATGCCAATATCAGCACATATACATGTAACACACTAAACCAAGAAGGGCTCATATACAGAATGAATGAAGAACTCCAATATATCACTAAGAAAGAAAACTCAATGAAAATAATAGTCAATAGACTTGAGTAGTCATGTCATAAAAAAAGATATCCAAATGGTCAGTAATGAGTATGATCCAAATGGTCATATGAAAAGGTTTCAGTTTCATTAATAATCAGGGAAAAAATAAGAACCATAGAAATCCCACTGCATATCAGAAAGGATAGCTAAATTTAAAAATATTGACAATACCAAGGACTAGTGATAACATGAAACAATGGGATGCCCGGGTAGCTTAGAGGTTGAATTTCTGCCTTTGATTCGGGGCATGGTCCCAGGTCCTGGGATCAAGTCCCACATCGGGCTAGATGACAAAGAACCTACTTCTCCCTCTGCCTGTCTCTGACTCTCTCTATGTCTCTTATGAATAAATAAATAAAACCTTATTTTAAAAAGAGAGAAAATGTGAAACAACTCTCATACATTGCTGGTAATTTGGTACAATTGGTACAACCATTCAGAAAATCATTTGGTGTATGAGCCTAACATGTAAGGCCTACCTATACAACCAAAAGAAGACAGTATATATGTGTAACAAAAGACATGTTCATATTCATAGCAACTTTATTCAAGACAGTCAAAAAATGGAAACAGTCCAAATGCTTTCCATCAAAGGTAGAATTGATAAAATAATATTAATGCATTCACATGATGAATATGAGCAGGATTAAAAGAACTACTGCTACACATAAACAACATGGAGGAATTGCACAAACGAAATAATGACTGAAAAAAAAAAGCAAAACCAAAGAATAAATTCTGTATGACTCCATTTTTGTAAAATTCAGGAATGGGCAAAACTGATCTACCTGTGGTATTAAAAATTAGGAAGACCATTAATTCTGGTGGATTGGAGGGTAGGGTGGGTGTTTGGTACTGATTAGGAAGGGGCACAGAAAAGCCCTTCTGAAAAAAAAAAAAAGAAGAAGAAGAAGAGGCCTTGGGACAAGCTGAAAATGTTTTATATATTAGCCATGGTGATTAACAGCTACATGGTATAGCTATACATAAAAATTCACTGAATTGTACACTTAAGATTTGTGTTTTTTACTACTATTTGTGCTTCGTAAAAGAGTTTTAAAAAAAAGGTTTTTTAAATAATAAAAATACAGTAAGATACCATTTTTCACTTAGCATTTATTTAGCAAAAATTTTAATACAGAAAGATGAACTGGTGGGAGTGCAAAAATAGTACACATTCTAAGGGGAGCAATTGGTAAGATGTGCCAAAAATGTTCAATTAAATTAATTAAATTCATTAACTTAACATATATTAAGTTAATAATACCCTTCAATCAAATAGCTCTAGTATTCCCCCACAGATATACATGCACTTATAAAACTGTATGGACAAGGATATACAGGCAATGTGGTAAAAGACTTTTAAAACAATATGGAATGTCAATGAACACAGACTTGCTAAATAAATTATAATACTTCTAGACAATTTAATATCAGATAGCCATTAGAGAGAATAGACAGATCTGTACATAGTATATTTATAGAGAATGAACACCAAAATAAACTGTCATTTAAATGAAAAAAGCAAAGTGCAGAAATACACACACACACATATTTATAGGATAGTACCATTTTTTTGAAAATATGATTATATATGTCTGTGTATATAATATATATATAGGAAACAGTTTATAAAATTAAGTCTGGTAGTTACTTTCCCTTTAAATTAAAAAGCCATTGCAACTAATAATTTAAATTCTCTGAATTTTTATGGCAGGACAATTTTTCAGTATTTTCTTTGCTAAGGCGTAATTTATCAAATGTTTCAACTCAAAGATATTTTACTACAAAACCTAATTTAGAAATCAGATTAAGTGTTACCATAGCTTACTGCCAACTTTGAATGCTTTCATTTGTATACATGCAAATTCAATAATTATTTCAGGAATCCACCAGATTTAAAAAGCTTCTTTATGGTTCTCCTAACTTATGCAACTTAGAAAAAGTTAAGAAGCTGTAACTGACTGTTGAAATAACTAAGAGTCCATAAGCCCTTACTACAGTTTTATTTGATATTTATTCAACAAGTAACATCTTCTTTGATTTCATGGGAACACAAATCACAATTTATAAATATATATTTGTTAATTTTATTGTCTGTCGCCCCTACTAAATTATAAAATAAGTGGATATGTGTATTATGCCACCTACTGTCAGTCTCTCACCTGTCTTTTGTACTCCTGGTTTCATTTTATTTATGTCTTCAGGAGCCTCACCGAGATTTTCTGCTAGTATTCTAAATAAAAGATTAAGATCTTCTTGATTCAGATTAACCTGTAAAATATCATTAAAAGACAAAGATTCTTCATTTTAAAATGTAAATTTTAATAGAGAAAATAAATTTCTATGTATAAGACATAAAAGAAAGAATAACCTTAACACAATGACTGAAAAATTATATATTCACTACACAATTATTTCACTACTTATTTCATTTTTAAATTTTTCTAAGATAATAAAATGGAGAAAAAATGTGATTTATAAGTCAGTATTAGTTTCATCTACTTTATAAATCATAGTGAAAGATAATAATCAAAGAAATCAGATCCAGGGATCCCGGGGTGGCGCAGCGGTTTGGCGCCTGCCTTTGGCCCAGGGCGCGATCCTGGAGACCCGGGATTGAATCCCACATCGGGCTCCCTGCATGGAGCCTGCTTCTCCCTCTGCCTGTGTCTCTGCCTCTCTCTCTCTCTCTCTCTCTCTGTGACTATCATAAATAAATAAAAATTAAAAAAAAAAAAAGAAATCAGATTCAAAAAAAGTGACAAAACTCAAAAAAAAACAAAAATTCTACATTTTTAAAAATAATACCACCAATGAAATAAAAAGGCTATCTTCAATATAAAAAAATAAGCTTTTTCCTCAATGCTATAGAAGTACTTAGATATCCCTAAAAGTATGGGTATATAACATATAGAATGAGATATAATATGCTAATATATAATTTACACATAGATCTCTGCTATTGCGTACATATAGCAAATTTAAAAGTTAAGTATGGAAGTGCTTGGGTGGCTCAGTCAGTTGAGCATCTGCCTTGGGCTCGGGTCATGATCCCAGGGTCCTGAGTCCTACATCTCGGGCTCCCTGCTCAGTGGGAAGCCTACTTCTCCCTCTCCCTCTGCTGCTAACCCTGCTTGTGCTCTCACATGCTCTCTTTCTGTCAAATAAATAAAACCTTTTAAAAAAAAGTTAAATAATGGAGAGGGGTCCAAGATGGTGGCATAAGAAGATGCTGAATTTGCCTCCAATGTACACACTAAATCTACTACTACATATGGGTCATTTTCCCCTGAGAAAGACATGAATCCTGATAAACTGCTCTTCAAAACAAAAGATAAAAGGACCACAATGAGATGAGTTGGAGAGGAAGAGACAGACATGGTCTCCCAAAAAAGCTTACCCCCAGAGATCCTTCTCTCTTCGTCACACAAAAGAGAAGGATCTCACCAGACAGGTGCTTCTCAGGGAGAAGTGAGGAGTTGGTGGTCCTCATGGGGTACCCGTGCCCCTGCATTTGTACCACAGCGAGGAGCCCCTAGAATGTCTGGCTTGGAAGAGCAATAGGGCTGACCTCCAGGGGTCCCAAAGTGCTAAAAGAAATATTCCCCTCTTAAAGGGCTTGCCCCAAGATCCAGGGGAAAAACAGCAGTTTGAAAAGCACCTAGACTATATGTGAGGGAAATTCACTTGCTGATCTGGGGGCACTGGTAGAAGAAAAAGACATCTGAAATAAACCTGGGAGACTGACATGCTAGCAGATACCACTGTTGCACTCACCATATAGCCTGCTAGCATAGACAAGAGAGCTCAGACACAGCACCCTCCCAGAGCCTTGCTGGGATGAGTGGGGGAGCAGTCACGACAGTTGCTGAGCCTGGAGTACACTGGCAATTGCAGTGCTCCCTAGCAAAGGGGCTGGCCCAGAGAGGAATTCTCCCACTTCCTAGCTAAATTTTGCAAATGCAAGCAGTTGCAATACACCCGTGGCTAGAGATGGGGAGTGCTCCTGGCATTTTTCCACTCCCAGCCTAAAGTTAGTAAATGCACACAAGGCACTGAAGCCCATGGACACAGGCAGTTAAGACATTTTCCCAGAGCCTTCCTGAAGCCAGTGAGCGTGCTCTGCCCCCTACACTCAACAGGTGTCTTCCTAAAGGCAGGAGGCATGTGCAATCCACAAAGTCAATACCCTTCAATCTCCTGGTCCTGCTAGTCAAGAGGGTTGGTGTTCCAGAGCTCCACAGGACCATAACAATCAAAAAGACAGTTCTTAGTGCAAAGACAGCATACTGAAACGTACCCTCAGTCTGTGAAAAAGACCTATTCACTCAACCTTAAGCATCAGCCTAAGGGACAGACTTCAGGTTTTCCACACACCTAGAGACTAAGGAGGTGTTTCCAGGGTATGACAGGGAGAAACTAGCCTTGCACATCCCCTTAGCCTCATTACAGCTAGACAAGACTTCCTAGAAAGGAGTTCATACACTCCTTTATACACCAATTTATAAACCAATTTTTTCAATTGTTGTTCAATGGACACCTTCACATCTCCTCATCTGGAGCCCAGCAAAGATATTGAATGCAGTCCCAAAGGACTGTATATATTTGAATATTTTAAAAGCTGTTGCCTGAGAGTCTGGCTTCTAATCAGCCTGAAACTAGGTGCTAAATAACTTTCCTCCTCTGGGATTCACTCACAGATCTTGACAGACCCTAAACAATGGGTCCATACCAATAATAAATCAGGTGGTTTAGGCAACCACAAAAGTTCAAGAGACAACAAGCTATGGCAATGCTGAATGAGAAGGATCATCCCCTAACCAAGGCCATTCAAGACAGAAAAAAAGCAGCTGTTTCACTTAATAAATAGAAACAAAAACAGAAAGTCAAAAGGGAGAAGAAATGTGTGGGAGATATCAGAAAGGGACACAGAACATAAAGACTTCTAACTCTGGGAAATGAACTAGGGGTGGTGGAAGGGGAGGAGGGCGGGGGGTGGGGGTGAATGGGTGACGGGCACGGAGGGGGACACTTGACGGGATGAGCACTGGGTGTTATTCTGTATGTTGGTAAATTGAACACCAATAAAAATTAATTTATTAAAAAAAAAAAGAAAGAAAAAAAAATAAAGTATCTAGTTTATTCTGCTAGAAAAAAAAAAAACAGAAAGTCCAGCAAAATGAGCAAATAAGTATTTTCAAATAAGAGAATAAGACAAAACCTCAGCAAAACACCTAATGACCTAGAGATAAGAAATCCACCCTATAAAGAATTAAAGTTATGATCATAAAGCTATTTACTGAACTCAGGAGAAGAATGGGTAAACACAGTGAGAACTTCCACATGGAGTTATAAAATATAAGAAAGTACCAAACAGAACTCAGAGAACTAAGATACAAAAAACTGAACTGAAAAATACATTAGAGGGGTTCAATAGCAGAGTCGATGAAGGAGAACAGATCAGTGAACAGGAGAATAAAGCAACAAAACTCACCAAGACAAAGCAACAACATTCTTAAAAATTTTTTTAAATGAAGCTATGTTAAGGGACCTCTGGGACAACAACAAACAGAAGAACATTAACATTATAGAGGTCTCACAGGAGAAAAGAGGGGAAGAAATAAAGCCTGAAAACTTCTCTAACCTAGGGATCGAAACAGACATTCAGGTCCAGGAAGCCCAGAAAGTACCAAAAAAAAAGAATCTAAGAAGCACTATAGCAAGACACATTATAATTAAAATGTCAAAAACTAAAGATAAAGAGAGAATCTTAAAAGCAGCAAGACAAAAACACCTTGTTAGGTTTAAGGGAAAATCCATAAGGCTTTTGGAAAATTTCTTAGCAGAAACTTTACAAGCCAGAGAAGTAGGATGACATATTCACAGCACTAAAAAAAAAAAGTTCCAACCAAGATTACTCTACCCAGCAAGTTTATCATTCAAATAGAAGGAGAAAGTGTTTCTCAGACAAGCAAAAGCTAAAGGAGTTTATAACCACTAAACAAGCCTTACAAGAATGTTAAAAAGACTTCCTTAAGATGAAAAGAAATGGCACTAATTAATCAAGAAAAACACAAAAGTAAAAATATCACTGGAAAGGGTAAATATATAGTAAAAATAGTAGATTAATCACTTGTAAACTACTAAAAATGTTAAAAAACAAAAGTAGTAAAAATAAAAGATGTAAAAAGTGACAGCAAAAACAAACTCTGGGGGATCCCTGGGTGGCTCAGTGGTTTAGCACCTGCCTTTGGCCCAGGGCGCAGTCCTGGAGTCCCGGGATCGAGTCCTACATCGGGCTCCCAACATGGAGCCTGCTTCTCCCTCTGCCTGTGTCTCTGCCTCTCTCTCTCTCTCTATGTCTATCATAAATAAATAAATAAATATTTTAAAAAAAAAAAGAACAAACCGTCAGGGGGTGGGGAATAAGGAGTTTTGGATATGTTCAAATTTAAGATATGTTCAAATTTAAAATAGACTCCCATATGCACAGGATAAATTATGTAAGCCTCACAGTAAGCACAAAGCAAAAACATCAGGTAAATACATAAGAGAAAGGAATCTATATATAATATCAAAGAAAGTCAGCAAACCACAAGGGCATAGAATAGGAAAAGAAGAAAGGAACAGAGAGGAACTACAAAAACAACCAGAAAACAATTAACAAAATAGCAATAAAGTATATACCTATCAACAATTTCTTTAAATGTAATGGACTAAATTCTCCAATTAAAAGACAGAGTGGCTAAGTGGATAAAATAAACAAGACACATCTATATACTGTATTTTGAACACAGATGCAAAATCCTTAAAAAAATATTAGCAAACCAAATTCAACAATAGATTATGAAGATCATACACCGTGATCACGTGGGATTTATTCCAAAGATGCAAGGATGGTTCAATCAATCATGAAGGATAGAAATCACATAATCATCTCAATAGAGGCAGAAAAAGCATTTGACAAAATTCAACATCCATTTATGATAAAAAGTCAACAAACCAGGTATTCAGGGAATGTACTTCAACATAATAAAGGATATATGTGAAAACCCCATAGGTAACATCATACTCAAGGGTAAAAGGCTAAAAGCTTTTTATCTCAATCAGAAACAAGACAAGGATGCTCACTCTTACCACTTCTATTCAACATAATATTGGAAGTACTAGTCATAGCAATTAAGTGAGAAAAAGAAATAAAAGGCATCCAAATTGAAAAAGAAGTAACACTGTCATTCTCTGAAGATCTCATGATACTATATATAGAAAACCCTAAAGACCCCACCAAGAAACTCTTAGAACTAACATATGAATTCAGTAAAGCTACAGGATACAAAATTTATATACCAAAAAAATCTATTGTGTTTCCCTACCCTAATAACAAACTATCAGAAAACCAAATCAAGAAACAATCCCATTCACAATCACACCAAAAAGAATGGAATACTCATCCACTGATAAAAGAAATTGAAGGAGACACAAATAAATGGAGAGAAACTCCATGCTCATGGATTAGAATAATTAACAATGTCCATACTACCCAAAGCAATCTACAGATTCAATGCAATCCCTATCAAAATTCCAATGGTATCTTTCACAGAACTAAAACAAATAATTCTAAAACTTGCATGGAAATACAAAAGATCCTGAACAGCCAAAACAATCTTAAGAAAGAAAAAAGCAAAGGTATCATTCTCCTTTATTTCAAACTACTACATAGTTAATGCAGTCAAAACAGTATGATACTGGGTATAAAAACAGACACATAGATCAGTGGAACAATTTAGAGTCCAGAAATAAACCTATGTAAATGCAGCCAACTACTTTATAAAATGGAAGCAAGAGTATATATTGTAGGGAAGGGACAGTCTATTTTAATAAATGATGACAGGAAAACTGGACTGCTACATGTAAATGAATAAAACTGGACCACTTTCTTATATTATATAAAAAAACAACTCAAATGGATGAAAGTCTTGAATGTGAGACCTAAAAAACAAAAAAACAAAAAGTATAGTTGTTAAGCTCCTTAACAACAGTCTTAAAGACTTTTCCTTAGATCTAACTCTAAAGGCAAGGCAACAAAAGGAAAAGTAACCAATTGGAACTACATCAACTAAAAGGCTTCTGCACCAAAAATACAAAATCTATCAGTAAAATGAAAAGGCAACCTTTCATTTGAAATTCATTTTCCCTTCATGAAAAGGGAAAAGATATCTGCAAATCATGTATCTAATAAGCAGTTAAATATCCAAAATATATAAAATATATAAAGAACTCATACAACTCAGTAATAAAAAAAAAACAATCTGGTTAAGAAATAGGCAGAAGAGCTGAATAGACATTCTTCCAAGACACACAGAATTGACCAACAAGCACATGAAAAGAAGTTCAACATCACTAATCATCAGGGAAATGCAAATTAAAACCACAATTAGATATCACTTCACACTTCTCAGAATAGCTATTACCCAAAAGACAAGAAACAACTAGTACTGGCAAGGAAATGAAGCAATGGGAACCCACAGGCCCTATGAATAGGAATATAAACTGGTATAGCCATTATGGAAAATAGTATGGAGGTTCCTAAAAAATAAAAACTAGAGCTACCATGTGATAGAGCAATTCCACTACTGCTTATCCTCCCAAAGAAAACAATAACACTTATGCCTAACGATGTAAGTCAGGGAAAGACAAATACAGAAATCAGCATGATTTTATTTATATGTAGAATCTAAAAAACAAAACAAAAATCAGGCTCATAGATAAAAAGATTGGTGGTTCCCAGAGGGGAAGGGGGATTAGAGATATGAAATGGGTGAAAGGGCAAACTTCCACTTATAAATTAGTCATGAGGATGTAATATACAGTATGGAAAATACAGTCACTAATATATTAATTTTGTAAGGTGACAGATGATAACAGACTTATTGTGGTGACTATTTTGTAATGTATATAAATGTTAAATCACTATGTTATATACCCAAAACTAATATATGTTATAGGTCAATTATACATATATACATAAATGTTAAATGACACTTAACTGAAGATTAAATTCCACTAAATAATAAACATCCTTTTGGATAACATCTCACTGAAATTTTTTGTACACCAATCAGTAAAAAATTCGACATATCATATAGGTTTATGCTAAGAAAGTCTTCAGAACCTAAAATTTCAGTAACGAGTTTTTTTCACTCATATACTTACATTCATTGATTCAAGATGTCCTTTAATTTCTACAACAGGCACTCTGTGATACCAAGATGCAGCTAGATTCCGATTTACAGAAAATTCCAAGTTAATTGGGTGCAAGAGCTGAATATCAAGATGGGAGGTACCCGGCTGGATCACTGTCCTAATGAAAAACAAGAAAATGCAACCTATCATTAAAAAGACACAAAATCAAAAGCTGCTGCTCTAAACACTGATTTGAAATAGTGCTATTTAAGTATTTTCTAATCTCAATCAATAATTCACTTTAGGGACAGATTAAAATACATGATGTAAAAAAAAAAATAAAATAAAATACATGATGTACAATTAGCAAGAAAACCTTCAAATAGGTCACACATGGATTAAATTTTTTAAAGAAATTCATATTGTATATGGGGGAAATCATCAAATACAGCTGTTCAAGGATTAATACATGCATTGATATGATTTTTAAAAAATGGCAAGATGAACAGTTAGCATTTTCTAAAGAGTCTGATAAGGGATGCCTGGGTGGCTCAGTGGTTGAGCATCTATCTGTCTGCCTTCTGCTCAGGGCCTGATCCAGAGATTCCAGGATCAAGTCCCATATCGGGCTCCTGCAAGGAGCCTGCTTCTCCCTCTGCCTATGCTTCTGCCTCTCTCTCTCTCTCTCTCTGTATGTCTCTTATGAATAAATAAAATCTTTATTAAAAAAAAGAATTTGATAAAGCTCTTCTCTGGGAATATTTGCTGGACTTGCCTTATATTTTTCCTTTTTTATTTAGGATAATTAATTGTCCTTGGATGGGGTAGAAAATTTCTTTAAAATTGATTATGTATAGACTTTCATGTTCATCAGGTGGGAACTCAGCTACATCATTACTTACATAGTATTCTGCCAAAAATATTTAAGCTCAATTAAATAATGAGGAATCACTCAGACAAAACCAAACTGAGAGACATTCCATGAAACAACTAGACTGTACTCTTCAGAACTATCATCATGAAAGACTAAGAAAGGCTGAAGAACTATTCCAGAGCAAGTAACTTCAATACAGAAAACTCCCTCAGTAGTACAGGACACAATTAAATGCCATATGTGATCCTGGATCAAGGGGAAAATTACTATAATGGATACTATTGGAATAACTGGTAAAATATGAATATTGACTATACATTAGATATTACTGCTAAATCAGTGTTGAATTTTCAGAATTTAAAAATTACATTATGGTTATATAAGAGGATGCAGGTTCTTGTTCTTAGGAGACACACACTAAAGCTTTTAGAGCAAAGGGTTAAGATGTCTATACTCAAAAGGTTCAGCAAAAAAAATTTTAACTTTCAATTAAAAAAATAAGTTCTGGGGATATAATGTATAGCAAGGTGACTAGTTAATAATATAGTATTATATATTTAAAAGTTGCTAAGAGAGGGACACCTGGGTGGCTCAGTGGTTGAGCTTCTGCCTTCAGCTCAGGACGTAATCCTGGGATCTGAGATTGAGTCCCGCATTGGGCTCCTTGTGGGGGGCCTGCTTCTCCCTCTGCCTATGTCTCTGCCTCTCTCTCTCAGTGTCTCTCATGAATACATAAATAAAATCTTTAAAAAAAAAAGTTGCTAAGAGGGTAGATCTTAAAAGTTATCACAAGAAAAAGAACTGTAACTATGTATGGTGACAAATGTTAACTAGACTTATGGTGGTGATCATTTCACAGTATACACAAATATCAAATCATGTTATACAACTGAAACTAAGATAATATGTCAATTTCATCTCAACTGGAAAAATTAAATTAAAAAGATGCTTTAAATGATAATAATATGCATATGCTTAAAAGTTAAAGCAAATGTAAATAACTGGTAAGCCTAGGTGAAGGACTCTTAAGTGTATCCGTGGTAATATTTTTGGAATTTTTCTGTAAGTTTGAAATTTTTCATAATAAAAAGCTGATTAAAAAATAAAGTATTCTGTACAGCAGAAACACTGTGGGTATGAATTTCAATGGACATAAAATTTCATGGAAATCATTAAATCATACTTAAATCCATAATTATTGAAAGAAAGTATACCTAGAGAGCTTGAGCTTTGTTAGCTGTACATCCATTCTATCAATTACTGGAGGGTTTAAACAGTCTTCCACAGACACAAGACTAAACTGATTTTGAACTCTAATTAGCCCAAGATCGACCACTACTGCATTAGTGGAATTGGAAGACTGTGGGATGACTATAACTGGTGCTTTCAAATCAATATTGATAGAAACACGAAAACTCCTCTGGGCAAGATCTTTCACACTTCTGGCAGCCTTTTCTGCAGCCTGAGCAGTAGCAGCACTTAGAGCCTCTTTGGCTGTCTGGAAATTGCTCAGGAAGTTCTGCGGACACAAAGTATAAAAGGAGAAAAAGAGATAATAAGCACATTGTTAATAATGCAATCTTTTTCTTCATCTATGCATAATTTTTTTCCTGTACATAACTTTCAATTGAGTCTTATTTATCTAGAATTAGAAAGGAATCACCAATCATCCACCTATATTTATGAGCTACTTGATAAGGGCTAAAGTAATTTAGTTGAAGACTAATTACTGAAGACAGTTAAAAAAATAATTTCAGTATGTTTTTTCACTTGAATATTTGGCTTTGTCCTGGCAAAACTATTTCCAGTTCTAGACAAAAATCATTAAATGACTCAGATTTCAACTATTAAAAAGAGGTTTTGATCTCTACACTAATATATCTATAATCAAAACAATGCACATACTAAAATCCAAAGTTTATGAGATCTGCAATCATAACTACCAGACTTATTTCTAAGTTGAAAAATCAATATACAAATAGACATTTTTTACCAGAAGTGACATGAGGAATTTATGAAGATAGACAATCTGAATACAGCCAACATTCAGTGATACAACACCATCCACTTTGGACATGTCAGTATAGTACTCTCCCTCAGTAGCATCTGGATACAAATCCAAGTTAAAATGAAAAACTTCATTTCCCATTATTGATACAGCCTGAAAAGCAGAGATTTGAATGTACTCTGTCCAAGAGAATAATGACAAAATAAAGTCCCATTTCCCATTTAAAAGGCTCATATTTACAATCATTATAGAAACATTTGTGCATCAAAATATATTTCATTAATATTTCTTAGAATACATTTAAAAACAGAATTTCATATTCAATTATCAAAAAATAATTAGCTATCTATTTATGACACCTACTTTTTTATGGACTGTCTTAGGATCCACATCTGTGACAATAATATTTTCCAGTCTGGCAAATAGGGACTGCTTTTTTGACTGAAGAGAAAGAGAAGAATCAAGACCTGAAAAAAAAAAATTACATTATTATAATTTCTAAAGACCTATCATAATAAGATCGTAAGAGGTTTCTTTTCATTGTGTAATTTTATTTGGGGGTGATATTTTTAAAAATTTAGCTATATTTGAACTCCCAACTGATAAATAAGTGGCAATATTGCATAATTTTAGTGTTATAAACAATAAAACCTACAAATTCATTATAAGTCAATTACCTAAATTTTCAACCTTTTGAAAAAATTACACCTAATACAAATTGATTTTCTTGGGATTTTAGGAAATCTTTTATATCTTATTTACACAGAAGCTCTAAATTTCATGAATCAAATTCACTATAGATACGCTGCCAGCTTGAAAAGAACAACAACAAAAAAAAACCTGTAATTTTTTTCTCTTTAACTTATTCAAGAATTTCATTAAACATATTCTTTATGTTTATCATATCACAATGAGCTGGTAAAGACAGAGTCAGATTCATTTTAGCAGATTTTGCATAAAAGAACATAATGGGCTCATAGATTTTTTTTTCATTATAAAGTTGTTTTGCATTTGCGCCAAGATAAAGCATATTCACAGATCTTAACCTCAATTCTGAATTGACATTTATCCCAGCCCAATAATAACACCCCTACATGGACATTAGTATCTCTTTTCACCTCTGAGACGACTCTCAGAAAGATTCAAAACACTAACATGTGTGTTTCAATTTGAAGGTCAGATTCTGAACAGCATCTACATCCCAAAGAGCAAAGAAAACATGCAGTTCAATAATGTCATTAAAAAAATTACCCTCAAAAAAAAAAAAAACAGTTTTCACAGCTCAGAGCCCTACATTTATATATTCTTTAACATTTTTTAAAAAGCTATCTTTTAAACAATTTTTAATAGCATGAGAACTTTTACCTTGAATCTTGATTTCAGCAATATTGTTCTTCTCATCACAAACAGTGACACAGAAAGCATTCAATTTGGCAAACAGCCTGAAGTCAATAATGTCCCTATCTTTAGAGGATACAATCGCTAAAAATAAAACAAAGCATTCTATTACATGGGATTCTAGTAATTCAAACTCTATTAAGGTCTCTTCCTTAGATTAAGTGATCCACAGTCCTGTCTTAAAAAATTATAAAATTCTCAAGTTCTTAAAGATTTCAAATATTTTTTTTATATATTCTGTACAGTTTGCATTTTTCACATTGAGATGTTACATTTATAATTTAAAAACAAGAAAAAAAACATAAAATAAATAACATTAAGAACACTGAAATTCAAAGAAGTTAAATAACTGCCTATGGTCACATAATTTAAGTCGCAGAGGCAGGATTCAAACTGAATTGTTTCTGATCCAAAATCTAGGCTCTTGGCCAATTAAATACTATTTCTGCACTGCTACTCTCATGTCTCTGGGCCTTACTTCCTTATTTGTATGATAGAAGGGAAGATAACCCTCCATGGAGTTCAGGAGCCATTGTAGGGGAGGAAGAACTCAATGTAAATATAAGTTTTCTTCCCTATTATCCACCTAAAGCATCCCTCCCATCCTCAAAGAACAAAAACAGGTTGTTTTTTTTTTTTAAAGCAACAGTATTAGTTACCTCTGCTTTATATGGCAGTTACCAAATATTATTTTGTTTGAAGAAAAGGACAGAAGTGGAGAAAATGGCACTCAAAAGACTGAACTAAATGGTCTTTAAGATTCTCCATTTACCTCTAGAATTCTAATATGCTTGTTAACAAGAAACAAAATGTTTTCCATACCTTTCTGCAGAGCTAAATTTTTTTGTTGCTTTTCATCTGAAATTTGCACTTCTTTGGTATCACTTCTTTGGTCATCAGATGGGATTATGGTTGTCAGATAATTAATAGAAGACAGGAGAGCTTGTGTTTGCAGTAACAGATTTAAAGATGAAAAAGCCACCTAGAAATTTTTTATAAAGAAAATTAGTTTTCCAGGCCAACTATACCTATAATTTCCATGATGGACCTGAATGTCTTCTAGCTAGGCTTACATCATAGCTTCTATAGCTTGGAAGAAAGAAAGAGAAGATCAAGTATCATAGCCCAGACTCCTTAATATATATATGGAGAATAAATCACACTTACACACACTGAGAGTTCCTACAAATATTAAAGTAACCTAATTACTCCATTTTGCAGCATAATTATCATGGAGCCTATAATATGCTTGTCATGGCCATCTCAATATTCATCATGTTTTTAGATCTTCAATGGACTCTTTATTACGATTACATAACATGTAAGTTAGATCATGAAGCTCCAAAATCACCATGTGTGATTAGGTCAAGAAATGATTTCAAATGTGATATTCATGAGATTTAAATATAAGGAGTAAAATTATAAGTGAGTTCTCAGTTACTAAATGATCTTCTAAAACCACAATAAAGGTCCTATCATTTAAATAGATAATATATCTTTTAGAAAAAAAGTTAATTTTTTAAAACTAGGACTCCAGAAAGCTAGACAACAACAAAAATTGCTTTCAGGAATATGTGGTTTTCTAATAGCAAATGAAAATTTAAAAAAAAAAAAACTTTGCTTATATAAAAGAATTTTGCTTTTATTGTCTCAAAGCACTAAGTGGATATAAAAAAGTTATAAAAAAGGCTCACAATATTCAACAGACTTTCCCAGCTCTCAAAAGTGTAACCTAAAATTCCTATCTCTGATTTTCTTTTTAATGTAATCCACAACTACTTTTTATCCCCTCTCTTTCTATGTGACTATGTTAGTGTGGCTCCAGAAGTACTCAATATCTCTCCTTGTATTTCATGTACTTTCTTGGTCCTCCCTTAAACAGCAGGGTATAGTTTGATTAAAATCCTCTTGTTTCTTTGTAAATCAAAGTCCCATCATGTATAGCATTCCCTTTATAAGAAATAATCAAGATGTGCCACAGAGAGTTAAAACACCAGCTCTATTAATACTCAATGATAAATATAGAGCATGGTAGGTATCTATGAGATTAATTTATAACTTTTATTGGTTATTTCATCAAATTACCCAGTCATTATTTCTAAGAAGAATACTGGATCTTTGCACAGTAAGTTATTTTCAAATAAGATATATTCTTTTAACAAAATTTCTTACCTTAAGTGTTTGTTCAGTTTTTTCAAAAGTAGTTTGAAAACTAGGTCCATTCTTATCAGCCTAAAAAAAGGGAACAAGAGTTCTAAAGAAGGATTTAAAACCAAAGTAAACAAATCACTTATTTATGATCTTTATTTTTTATATTCAGAACTGTTATTTTATGTATATTATATAATTGATTTTATTGTCATTGTTTTGAAGTTACATTCAAAGTATTTATTACAATTGTGCAAATTTGTTCTCCTCTTCAAATATGTAAGACTATGGCAGCATTTACTTCTAGGACACTAGCTAGAGACCAGAATTATAAATTCTGAAGGCTAGAAGGCTTAAAGGTCATCTAGCCCATCCATCACCTAATCCTTGAATCCCTTTATATCTTTAGAAAGTCTATGTTAGGCTCTCTCCAGTAAAGAATCCTCATTTATTTACAAATTTGATCTTTAGAGAATATTGATTTAATTAGGTCTTCATACTAAGTCAAAAACCTATCTCCCAACATAATTATCTATTGGTTCAAGTTCTGTCTCTTGGGAATATCCACAGTAAATTCAGTTTTACCTCTTGTGAGAAGCCTCCTGAATAGGCCAGTTTCTCTGCTGACTTTTTTTTTTTTTTAAGATTCTACTTATTTATTTGAGAGACAGAGAGAGAGAGGGAGAGAGAGAGAGCGAGCATGAGTTGGGGGGAAGGGCAGAGGGAGAAGGAGGAGTAGACTCCCCACCAAGCCAGGAGCCTGACTTGGAGCTCTATCCCAGGACCCAGAGATTGTGGCCCAAGCTGAAGGCTAATGGACACCTAATGGACTGAGCTACCCAGGTGCCCCACTCTGCCTCTTTATTGCAATAAAACTTTATGCTTTTCTTTGTGAGAGAATCAATTACATTATATTTTAATTATTATCTACTTATCTTCCCACAAGTCCATAATTTCCTTGAATATAGGGAATGTTATTCATCCCTGTATCCCAAGTGCCTAACAAAACCTAAAAAGATATTCAATAAATAGTTGAATGATTAAACAAATCAACTAATCTTGAATGAAGCTAAATATCATTACTTCCTTCAGCGTTTCTCATGTGATCTTTTTGAGTCCCTTCCCAATCCTGGCAGTTCTCTTCTGAACCCAATCAAATTTGACTTTATCCCTTTTGATGAAGGATATTTAGCCAAATGTCACCAACATGTACAATGAATGTAGGCAGGTGAATATGCCCCAAGAGGTAAGAGTGCATCCTACTTCATCTCAAGGTTCCATCTTTGGAGACAAAGAGTTGGTGGCTTTTTAATGGTCCTTCTCTTGTACTTAAAGTGAAAGAGAAAGTGTAACACAGAAATGGAAGGAGAAACAGTGGATATCCCTATGATTAAAACCTATGACAAACATCTAGAGCATTTAGTAATCTGCTGTCATCTTTTTTTCTTCCCTCTTTTTTTCTTCCAAAGGACAGTTAAGAGTATATGATAAATATGTAAATATTTTATGGCCCTTACCTTAACATATTCTACTTTTAAGAGATCTAACCCAGGTTTATCAGAAGAACTAATCAAGTGAAGGGGTTTCTTTCTGGATCCTAGATTAAAGAAAAAGAAAAAGTGTCTCAAATAAACTGTTTTTTAAGACTGGAATTTTCTATGTCTTTTTATTTCTAAAAAATGTTGTTAATTAAACTTTAGAAAACTATCCACACATATTTCATGGTTATTTAATACTAAGGTCACCGATGGTGAATAAATAAACCAATCTAAATACTGACCTTAGGTTTAGCATTCAACTTACTTAAAAACATGCATATTTATTTTCATTTGATTTTATACCTGTGTTCAAAACTAATAAACACCTCTCTAGATATTTTTAAGGACATATGTGCATTTGTATGGCAGTAGAAAGATTAAGAATTAAGAATTAAATTTAAGAATTAAGAAAAATGAATTCTAGTTCATCTCTATCCTTACTAGGAAATATTCAACCTCAGCTTTCTCAACTATGTAACAAAACTGAACTACAAAAATATGTAATATCTTACTGAGCTATAAAATTCTAAGAACAAATATTTAATTCATATTAAAGAAATTTAAATAATTTTCCTTTGTTTAGGCTAAGAGAACATGCTTATTAGAAAAGACAGTATTTTTCTAAGGGTGAGGAGTTGCAAAATTTCTTTTAATTTAAAAACTGTAAGTATACTTCTATATGTCCTCTATGTCTTTCACATAGACATAGCAAGGAACTGCCTCAAAAAGCTGCAGATGGAGAAGTGATCTACGTACCATTTTATCCATCTTTTATTATTTGCAATTCTATAACTCCTGCTCCTGAGAAATCTCAGAATTTTCACTTTACCTTCAAGGTCATAACCTTCCCTAAAGGGAAAAACAGCTAGCAATTTTTTTTACATTTTTCCTTCAAGACAGTAATGTAAACTCCATCCAAACACAGTGCTTACAGAAACTAACATATAAAACATTTTTCTTCTAAACCGAGATGTGTTTTAGTTTCTACTGTTAAAAAAATAACAAAAATAGGACTTTAGATTTGACTAAAATATTAGGCAAATATTACGTAATTACTATAGATTCACCCATTCCATCATTCCTAAAATACCCAATGAGCACATAAGATGCACACAGAAATAAATAAAGTATAAGAACTTCTAAAATAATGAATTTTATCCCCCATTCTAATTTTTATAACCTGGTGCTGCTTCTGATATATAAATACAATAGTCTTGAACAAGGACTTTAATATTATAAAATCAGAGATAAATTCTACATTTTAGCATTCATAAGATGCCATTGTCTTGAATAAACCACTTAATCTCTCCTTATTTAATCTTTCTTTGTAAAATAGGAACAACATTGTCTATATAAAGGAGATTTATATGGACTGAGACAGTAGATCATAGTAGTTAAGAATACAAACCCAAGGCCAAAATTCCAGGGTTTTAATTATGGTTTAGCCACTAACCAGCAGTGTGACCTTAGTTAAAATATATAATCAATTTATACCTTAGTTTCTTCATATGTAAATTGGAGATAATAACATTATCATAAGGGTTAAATAAGTTATTTATAAAATTCTTAGAACAGTGCTATTATTATAAATATTATTATATACACAGGTTTCAGATACTCAGTGATAGGATATTTATTAACCATTGTTTCTATTTTTATGACTATTACCTTGAATTTCATGGTAATCTAAGCTGATTTTCTTTAAATAAGATACCACAGTTATATCAAATGTTCTCACTGTAGCCTCTGTTCCTAAATGAGTAATATTAAACACTAGAATTGTATCTTCTTCTTTCTGTTGTTTGGTAAATTCCAAAACCACCTAAAAGAATCAGGAGAGACAATAAAACCTTGATAAATTTTTCAACCATGCTTAAAAACAAAATTTTTCTTTATACATATATCATCATAACAAAACTTTCTCATACTTCCTTACTCCCATAAAGTTATTTACTATCACTAGAAATTACAACCTTATATTCTATTATTCAGACTACAACTACATCTATATAAAAATCATATAATTTTACATCAATTATCATTTTACTTTTTTTAATTTAGTAGAAATACAAAAGTATGGATCCTTACTCAATATATTTCCCTTAAACCTATCATGTTTTAATGTTTAAACCTATCATGTTTAAACCTATCATCACATGTAAATCATGTTTGTTGATTTTTTAAAAAGCATTCCCATTAAAGTAAAAAGTAAGACAAGCTATCCACTATTACAGTACCACTTAAATTTATTCTGGTTATGAAAGCCAGGATATTCAGTCAATCAACAAAACATTTATGTGGCAATTTTTAAAACATGAAAGTTCTTCGATACTTCATCAAGAAATGGAGACCTTTGTCTTACAATCTTTAAATTTCAACAGGCTTGTGACTACTTCAATCAATAGACTGCAGAGAAAGCAACACTATAACTTCCAATGATAAAAAAAGGTCCATTAAACTTCCTAGGAATGCACACTGAGGGTAAGCTAGCTGTCATGTAAAGAGTTCAACTACCCAGAGACTGCCATGTTCAGGAGGCCAGGAGTAGGTATTTCAAATAGTCCAAACTAAGCTCCCACCCAATGGCCAGTATCAAGTGCTAGCCTCATGAGGGAGATACTTCTGAAACCCTCTGAGACTTCAGGTTACTGTAGCTCTAGTAAATCTGACTGCCACCACATGCAAGACTATACACAAAAGTTACTAAGCTGAGGGGCGCCTGGGTGGCTCAGTCAGTTATGCATCTGTTTTCAGCTCAAGTCATTATATCCGGGTCCTGTGATCAAGCCCCATGTCAGGCTTCCCTGCTCAGCAGGGAATCAGCTTCTCCCTCTCCCCTGCTTCCGCACCCACTTGTGTACTCTCTCGCTCGCTCTCGCTCTCTCAAATAATAAATAAACAAAAATATTTTTTTAAAAATTGCTAAGCTGGGCCCTTCCACAATTCCTAACCCATAATACTCCAAGCAAAATAAAACAGTTGTTTTGAGCTATCATGTACTGAGATAACCTGTTAGACAGCAATAATAGTCTGAACAATGTAAATACTGAAAAAAAAAAGCAAAAATGACATTATTGGCAGTGATAGATTCTTAAGAAAAACTAGGCATGTTATCTGAAAAATAGAAATAAGACGTTATAATAAGATATTCAGTGCAGAGTTGTTACACGAAAGTTATTTTTCAGAAAATCAATGATTTAAGTGAAAGGAATGAAATCATAAAATATTAAATTGTGGGTATTTTTTTTTAAAGATTTTATTTATTTATTCATGAGAGACACAGAGAGAGAGAGGAAGAGACATAGGCAGAGGGAGAAGCAGGCTCCATGCAGGGAGCCCGATGTGATATTCGATCCAGGATTACGCCCTGGGCTGAAGGCAGGCATTAAACTACTGAGCCACCCAGGGATCCCAAATTGTGGGTATTTTTGTAGTGGAGGAGAATTTTCTAAACGTACACTAAGATATAAATAAAAATTTAATATATTTCACTACAGCAACACTTAAAACTTCAAAAGGGCAAAGAAGTTGGGAAAAATAGTACTATATTTTTCTTAGATGATTCTGATTGTTTATTATTTATCACTTTAGTTTATTCATTCAATATTCAAAAAAATATTTATTGGGCATCATCTATCATGTACAAGACCATGACAGCCAATAGGAACACCAAACTGTCAAGGACAGACAAGGTCCTTTTCTTTTTTTTTTTTTTTTTAATTTTTTTTGACTTTTATTTATTTATGATAGTCACAGAGAGAGAGAGAGAGAGAGGCAGAGACACAGGCAGAGGGAGAAGCAGGCTCCATGCACCGGGAGCCCGACGTGGGATTCGATCCCGGGTCTCCAGGATCGCGCCCTGGGCCAAAGGCAGGCGCCAAACCGCTGCGCCACCCAGGGATCCCAACAAGGTCCTTTTCTTAATGGAGCTTATATTCTAGGAAGAGTGGGGAAAGTGAAGATTGTTATCTTGTATTAGGTGGTCAGGCCTTTCCAATAAGATGGTACTTGAGCAAACATCTAACAGAAGTATCAAGTCATGCAGAAAAAAAAAGTGTTCCAGGCAAAAACAAACAAAACGAAACAAAACAAACCCAGCAAACACAAAGAATGTGCTTTGGTATATACAAGGAAGAGCAAAAGGCAAGTGTAAGCTCCTCAATGCAAGAACTTTGTGCTCACTGCTATAACTGCAATATTCAAAACAATGCATTCCATGATGACACTTGATGAATATTTATTGAAAGGATGAACTAAACATGACTGGAGCAGAGTGAGCAAGGCAGAAGAGAACTAAAGATGAATCTTAAAGAAGTCACATGGGGTGAGCTACATGCCATGTAAGGCCTGACAGGCCATGGGAAGGACTCAGCCCTCTACTCTATAATCAAGATGGAGGCCAGAGGACAGTTGTGAGCAGAGAAATGACAGGATCTGACTTTCACTTTAAAAGGATTATTCTGAGGGCACCCTGGTGGCTCAATCAGTTAAGTGTTCAACTCTTGATTATGTTTCAAGGTCATGACCTCATGGTTATGAGATCAAGCCCTGTGTCAAGCTTCGTTCTCTCTCTCCCACTCCCTCTGCCCCTTCCCAACTCTCTCTCACCCCTACTTATAGGCTCTCTCTTAAAAAGAAAAAAAAAAAAAGGATCATTCTGGTTACCATGTTGAGAATCTGGTTACCATGTTGAGAAGAGAATACCTTACAGAAGCAGAGAGACAATTATGAGGATACTACACTACCCTAGACAAGACGGTGATGTGGACAGTGCAGTAGAAGAGAAGAGCACTCATTTGAATGTATTCTGAAGTAAGAATCAAGGGATTTTCTGATATTTAGATGTGCATATGAGAGAAAGAGAGAAGTCAAAGAAGGCTAAAGATAAATAACATATATTTCTTTTAAGCAAATACCAATAATACTTAGAGGGATTTATATACACAATTAAAATCTGGTATTTCTGGGACACCTAGGAGGCTCAGAGGTTGAGCACCTGCCTTCGGCTCAGGGCGTAATCCTGGGGTCCTGGAATCGAGTCCCACATTAGGCTCCCTGCATGGAGCCTGCTTCTCCCTCTGCCTATGTCTCTGCCTCTCTGTGTGTGTCTCTCATGAATAAATAAATAAAATCTTTAAAAAAAATCTGGTATTTCTGACATTACATTTTAGGACATTATCTCACACTGGGATATAAAGCAATCAATAAGAAACATCTTCTTATACCTTTGTGTTTTATTATGAAAGCAAAGCATTTTTATTATTAAAAATTTAGAGTATATGGAAAGGCAAACAGGCATAAATAAGAAATATAATTCCACTGCACAGAGATGAACACTGTCCATTATGTATTATCAAAGAAAAAAAATCCATGTGTAATTTCTAAATAGAATCATAAAGTCCTTGATATTATAATCTTTTTTCTCCAGAATAATGATACTTTGTAAACATCTTTCAATGTTGCTGTTTTCTTTTATTACATAACTTTTAATAGATATAAAAACATGCTGAAAATTTAGGCTGTTTATACTTTTCTGAATTATAAACATCACAATGAGCAATATTATTTAGCTTAAAAGTAAAAAAATAAAATAAAATAATGTATAGTATTCTATAAAAAACAAAACCCCACAGAAGTATCTTGGGCTTTTACAGAATAGATTAGATATGGTATAGATCACTCTCATACCAGCTTTACAAAACATTTCATTTCTTGGAACCGTGTGGTGTGTGTGTGTTAGGAACTAGGGAAGACAGAGTATCATTTTTAATGTACTTAATGTTGAGATCTAGCATGAGATAGTTTACAAGGATAGTGACGAAAACTATTTATTTAGGGACAAAACAAAAATACATACCTCTTTAATTTCAAACTTTAGTAAAAGATTAATGAGCTCCTCATTTGGGGCCTCTGCAACTTTTTTTAGTTCTGAACCTCTCATACTTTTGCCAGTCTGCATATCTCCATCTTCAGCATCAAAATATTCATCATCAGACTCTAAAGAACACATTCATCTTGAGAGAATGTCCACTGAAAACTGCATAAAACACTCAAATCTCTCAAAAGTAAAATTCATTTATTAGATATAATCTTCATATTCAGAATGAGAATACAGTTACTTCAAAGTCCCAACAAGTGACTCAACTTGGCATGTGATGATCCCATCTAAAGGCCAAACCACCCTATTATTTTTTTTTTCAACAGTTCTGCTTTTCACTTCAGTTCACTCATTCACTATCCAATATAAATAACTGTTGGGCACCACCCATCACCTATCAGTCTGTACCAGCCATTATGGATACCACAGTGAACAGCACAGACATGATCCTCATGGATCATGAAGCTTATAATCTACTTCAAAATTAAACCAGATCAGTTAAGCTAGAGTTGGAAAAAAAAAGATCAGGTAGAAATTGGGGCAAAAAAGAAAAAGTAGCTTATTTTAAAATGACTCCATTTCTGGGTTCTCTATTGTGTTCCATTGATCTATGTGTCTGCTTTTGTGCTAGTACCATAACTGTCTGATGGATCACTATATTCTACCCTGAAATTAGTAATACACTATATGTTAACTAACTTGAATTTAAATAAAACCAAAAAAAAAAAAAGTGACTCAAAATGACACTGTTGGTTAGTAGCACAGCTAGAACTAAAACCAGGGCAGCCTGGGTGGCTCAGCAGTTTAGAGCCGCCTTCAGCCCAGGGCGTGATTCTGGAGACCCAGGATGGAGTCCCACATCAGGCTCCCAGCATGGAGCTGCTTCTCCCTCTGCTTGTGTCTCTGCCTCTCTCTCTCTCTCTCTCTCTCTCTCTCTCTCTCTCTCTCTGTCTTTCATGAATAAATAAAATCTTAAAGAAAAAAAGATAACTAAAACCAGTGAATTGCTTTAGCACTTTCAAAATCCCTTTGTTTTATGAAAATTTTAACTCTATGTTCAAATGTATACAGGCTTGCTTTAATAAAGAACATTTACAATCCTTACCTGATTCTACTCCATCTAGCAACAGTGAAGTACCAAGTAGGTCTTTTGTCCTATCTGAAATAACAGGAATTGAGGATACCTAGCAAAGAATAAAAAAAGTTTTCTTAACACACTGATTTAGCAGGATCAAATGATAATGAGAAAAATACTGAAAAAGTAACAAAAGAGAGATGAAAAGACACACAATACACAACCTTCCAACGAAGCACATTATGCCATCAACTAATAATTGGCTAGTGTTCACTAACTATTAAGACTACTACCTGTATTTATAAGAGCAGACTAGGTACTACTCTAGTAGATAAGTATATTAATCATAGTGTGTCATTTAGTTGCTATCTAGGACAATACTGTGTGTCTGTATTACAGGTTCCTAGAAAATGGTATCAGCATTAGTGGGCTCTCTCAAATTTCATTTCCAAGCGGAAATTCAACACTTATTTTGTGTTGTAAAGATCAATTCTAATTAAAGCTATCTAAAACTTTTAAGTCTAATGTGTAAGAAAACTACATATAAATTATTTTATTTTGAAAGATTTTAAAGATTTCTGTATCTAACTTTAAACACATTTCATATATTTGTGAAATATGTTTTCCTTTCATTTATGTATTTTTTGTTTCCTTTGCTCTCTAAAGCTGACTTCCTGCCACCACTCTAAACAGGAACGAAAAGGGGCTTCAAACTTTATTTATTCAATGCCATATACACTTTTGTATAAAATCAACAACATTAAACTTCAAAAGTGTATCATATAAATGAAACTGGCCCTAAAAAATATTCAAAAATAAATTAGCTCAAAGATGAAAAAAATTCACCGTATCCACAAATGAAAAGATTTAACATTTTTATTATATCCATTTACCTGTCTCTCTGGAGACTGTGCAGGGGATTTCTGTGGCAAGGGTATACTGTTAATCAAACATAGCACATCTTTCATCTTCTGGTCAGAAATTCTCACATGCACCAAAGGGAGTCCTCCAGATAGTTTCAATCTAAAAATACAATTCAACAGTAAGGTTTTAAGGTCCAGCTTCTTTCTATTATGGAAGGGAGATATATTAGAGACTACACTGTGAAGTCAAAGTGACTCTGGGAATGTTTAAATCTAACTAATACTAATAGTCAACATTGTCAGAGTGATTCTATATAAGCCAAATTTCCAGATAAATTTAATGTATCCCTCTTAAGCAGCCAAACCTTTTAAAGTTAACTAATTTTATGAACCTATTTTCAAACACAATGTCTAATTTATAAAACCACTATACATTATTTCCTGACATCAAAGATTTTGCATTACACGTATCTACTAGTGTCTACTCACTCCATCACTCCCTATCCCCTTGCCTTAATTCCTTTCCTCATACTTGACAGTGCCTGACATATCATATATATATATATATATATACACACACACATATATATATATATATATATATATATATATATATATACTTTGCTTATTTTACTTCTCCTGATTAAAATATAAGCACTCTGAGGAAATCTGTTTCATTCACTGCTGAATCACTACTGTGCTTTCATTAGTTGCTTACTCTTCGGCACCTGCTTCTACTGTGCTTTCCTACTCAGCATACCTGCCTAGGTTTATCTGTCTCAACAGCTTTGTGGCAGCTGTTTGCTGCTCATGAAGTTCTTTCCAGTTATTATTTATCTTTGACTTCCCAACTAAGCTGTCAACAGCTCAGGTTGAGAGATGCCTAACCATTACATAAAGAATGATTTTCTGTATAATGCACAAACCATTAATGTTCCAAAGAGGTCAGTTGGTTGTTCCTGTCTCAAAATATTGAACTTTCTACAAAAGTACTCCGTAAGTTGAAAGCACCATAAATATGTAAAATGCTTCTTCATTATTTGTGAAACATTACATAAAACTAAAAGTATCTCAAATAGAGGGACTGATGAACCCTCCCACCTAAAATAACTACAAAGTTGGACAAAACACATGAAACAACGGTTTAAAAGAACATTGGACATCAGTCAAGAAAAGACAGATGAAAGACAAAACAAATGAGGGAAGACCTAGTAATACCCTAGCTTACTGACTTAAGAATTTCAATATGTGCAAGGAACAGTAAAAGGGTACTTGAAGAGGAATTTACAACCTTAAATGCCTACAGTAGAAAAGAAGAAAGGTCTTAAATGAGTGTTTTCAATTTCTACCTTAAAGAACTAGGAAAGTAAAGCAAAAGAAACCAAAGAGAAGCAGAAGGGGAAAAAAAGCAATAATAAACATAAGTGGAAATTAATGAAATAAAAAACAGAAGGACAATAGAGAAAATAATTGAAACCAAAAGCTAATTCTTTCAGAAGATGATCAACAAAACTAATAAGCCAATCACAAAAAAAAAGAGAAAAGGCACAAACTACTAACATCAGCAAGGAGAGAGATATAGCATCACTACAAATTCTCTATGTGTTAAAAAGGCAATACAATAATATATAAACAATCTTACGACAATAAAACTAAGATGGACAGATTTCTTCTATAAAGACAAACTACCAAACATTAATAAAAAAAATCTGAAAAAAAATAAAAAAATCTGAATAGCCCTTTATGAAATATATTGAATTTGCAGTTAAAAATTCTCCCCTCAAAAACAAAACTCAAGTCTAGAAGGCTTCACTAATAAATTCTATCAAACATATAAAGAAGAAATAATTCTACACTACTTCCTCCAAAAAATCACTCCATGAGACCAACATTACCCTGATACTCTGAAACGAAAATAATAAAAGCACAAATATCCCTTATAAAGATGATGACCCTTGAACAATAGGAGTTTGAACTTCATAGTTCTACTTATATGTGGTTTTTTCAATAAATACCATGCAGTACTGTAACTATTTTTTCTCCCTAATGATTTTCTTAATAACATTTCCTTTTCTCTAGCTTTAGTGTAAAAACAGACTATATATCACAAATACAAAATATATGTTAGTCAACTGTTTGTATTATTGTAAGGCTTCCAGAAGGTAGGCTTTTAGTAATTAAGTTTAGGAGAAATTAAAAATATATGGATTTTCAAGTGAGCAGATGTGGGAATAGAATAGAATGGGGGCTAGTGTCTCTCTAAGCCTTGCATTGCTGAAGGGCCAACTGTAAAAAAAAAAAAAAAAAGAGGGATGATGGATGTGTTCATTATCTTGACTGTAGTGATGGTTTCATAGGTTATATATATGTCAAAACTTATCAAATTGTATGCTTAAACAGATGTAGCTTACTGAATGTCAATAATATTTCAATAAGGCTATTAAGGCAGCACAAATGTTTCATAATTATCTCCTTAAATTCAAAACTCAGCTTCTACTTTTCATTCCCTTGAATTATTCTCAAGATTTTACATGGTTTCATAATCAAAAGAGCCTCTTTTTTTTTTTAGTTTCAAGTTTTTATTTAAATTCTAGTTGACACAGAGTGTAATATTAGTTTCAGGAGTAGAATTTAGTGATTCAGCACTTACAACATTCAGGGCTCATCACAAGTGCCCTCCTTATTAATATCATCACCCATTTAACCCACATCCCACCCACCTCCACTCCAGGATCTTTCGGTTCTCTATAGTTAAAAGTCTTTTCTGGTTTGCCTTTTTCTTCCTCTATGTTCATCTGTTTGGTTTCTTAAATTCTACATATGAATAAAATAATATGGCATTTGTCCTTCTCTGACTTATTCTGCTTAGCATAATACTCTCTAGCTCCGTTCACACTGCTAATTTTTGAAGATTTTATTTTATTGATATTGAATCATGGATTTGATCCATTCAAAAACACAGATAAAAAAATATAAAAAAACACAGATAACTAACTTTTACACAATCTGAAAGTCGAAATACTTCTAAGAGAGGTGATACACCATAATTTAAATAAACAATTTCTTAAAAATGTTTTTGCTATAAGATAATCATTTTTTCTGTCCTTCACAAATCTAGTTTTGCTTTCTTAAAATCCAGGAATATAGATAATTTCACCTTGTTAATTTTATAATAAAAGAGAAACTCATACATTACCTGGCCATTCTAATGTCTTTTTCTACCATTGCCTTGGCCAACTCAACATGAATATCCATGGGTTGCAATATATGCATAGTTGATGGATGCTGAAATCGACATTTTTTCCAGTTTTCCTCTTAAAAAAAAATTTTTAAATTAAACAACTAATTACCTTGGAAAATTACTAAAACTTTATATAAAAAAAGCAAACATAATATTCATAAATACTAATGCTTAGTTCTTTCAATATAGAAGTTAAATGATCTATATTTTTAAAAATAAGATTGACAGTTAATAATGTAACTGCTTATTTTAAAATGTTTTTGGGCAGCCCGGGTGGCTCAGCAGTTTAGCGCCACCTTCAGCCCAGGGCCTGATCCTGGAGACTCGGGATCAAGTCCCAGGTCAGGCTCCCTGCATGGAGCCTGCTTCTCCCTCTGCCTGTGTCTCTACCTGTGTCTCTGCCTCTGTCTCTCATGAATAAATAAATAAAAATCTTAAATAAATAAATAAAGTTTTCTAGGTAGTAGTAACAGTTTATAATAAGTGGGTATTTTTCCCCACTTAATTACTAAATAATTCTCATAGAATTGATTATTACTCCTGTAGGAATACTAAAATAATTTTCTGTAATAAATTACACAATTCCCGTCAAAGAAAACAATTAAAATTCACCCAGGCACTAAAATTGAGGATTCTTAATGCCAAGGAATTTCAGTGTTTATTCTTTCACATGTCCACTCTAACTCCATTTGACATCTTTTATCTTCATCCTAGATTATGTCTAGGCTTTACTTAAGCAGTAGAAAACACCAAAGCTTTTGGAAAATAATTTACTGCCTTTAGGGTTTTAAGACTCATACTTGCTAGTTATCTACAAAAGCAGAAGACCATAACACTACTGAAATAATGACTAGCCTAATATACTCAAAATATTTTAAAATGAAGCAACAAGGGAAGACAACACTGAGACATCCCAAAAGCACTAAGAAAAATGTAAGCTGAGGGCAGCTTCTATTTTTGTGTTCTAGACAGTTTCATAGTCATATCACAACAAAAGAGGCAATGACTAGACCTAGATTCAAACAGCACTAAGTATCTAAAGATAAACAGGGAAATTTTTATCTCATTACTAACTGTGGCAATGATTTGCACTAATGGGCTCTATTTGGTTTTAAGTGACCAATAGATATGTGTTCAAAATATTGTCAGGGTTGATATACATGCATATATACACACATATTTAACCTTAGCTACTCAACGTAATTTCAAGATTCTAAAAATTGAGCAACAGTTTACCTGCTCGTGCAAAGAATAACTGCACACTTTTTATTTCAACATCAAACTTGTCATAGGCTTTATCCATTAATTCTTCCAGAGATGAATTATTAGTCTTCTGCAAACCTTGATCTTTACTGTTAAGCTAAAATGGACAAAAAAACTCCAATTTTCTAAATGGAAAAATATATTGATACTTTTGTTGTGTTTTCTTAAAAACTGAAAACACTGCCCTTAATGAGTTCATATTCTGCTTAATTTTCTGACAGTTATTTGCAAATATTTTATTAAGAGTATAATATTTCAGTATATCTCTTTAATATGCTTGGGTAATAGGTGCTCAGCATAGTTGTACTAATTAGAAGATCGGTTAGACAGCTGTCTACCTCAAATAACCTGTCTAGACATGCAACTCTTCCTGGCTCTTAGCAGTTACTACCACTCAGGCTCAGCACCCCTACTACCTATTCTAATGTCTTCACCCTGAAATCGCAGGTTTTGTTCTTTCTTCTTCCCATTACATCACCAGAATAAACAGGCTATTAGAATTCAGCTCCAATTTCTACTTCCTTTTCCCTCTTCCCAAAGGAAGCAAGGATGAATTTGGGACTTTATTTTTTGAAATCTTCACTTTTTCTCAGATGCTTGGATTTCTAATGGGTTTGACACCCAAAACCTTAGAGTTCTACTCTCTACTTAATTGCTGGCAGTGGTATAACAAACATATATTAATATGTGTATAATTTCCTATTGTCAGAATATGTAAATTAACAAATAACACTGAGCAATTAAACTCTGGACATCTAGGAGTACTTGAAAACTTCTCTCCAATTAAAAAAATACAGCAGTAATCCAGTCCTCAATATCAAATCATCTACCATTACAGAAAATTTTAGGGATTTTCCATGGTTCTTTTTAATAGCCATAAGATTTACATAAAATCTAAGCTAGGCTTGGCAAAATACTAAGAAGAAATAAGTCTAAGTTTAAGTAAACTCTGGGGGAAAAAATAGCAAAGTGTCAGATAACTAACTTCCAACCTGAGCAAAACGGGGAGAAGAAATGGGTATACACTTACCTGAAATGTACCAAAATCTAAAATGAGAAGATCTGACTTTTCATGGTGGAAACCTGTCTGTGGAAGTATTAGATAAGAAGGTTTCAGATTTATCCTTAAATCAAGGACTTTTCGAGTTTCAATAATATGTGTAAGTCCTAAGAGAAAGAACAAAAGATTAGATGGTCAAATTGATATATGTAATTTATATTATTAACAATGAGAAAAAGAAAAACAAATGAGAATACAATATCAATTGTATTATGGAGGAGCATCAGTTCCCACAAGCTAGAGTTTCAAAATTAAGCATCTAAGATGAAACTGCATATGGTCATTGGGAAGCAATCATATCATTATACTGTACAGTAAATCCAACATAGTATTTTATCCAGAAGAAGATAATCCATCATTTCTTTATTTAAGCAACCACATAAAGTAAGCTGGCTTGAGTTCGGAGACCATGTTGTACAAAAGCAGGTATCTTTAGAATCAGATTCACACACAATATGATGAACCGTTTCTTAAGAACTGAGATGGAGGGATGCTCTTCATCTCGAGCTCACTCTGGGGTACAGGTTCTTAAAGGTAATGGCAGACAGAATCATCTGTGCCTAGTACTATTCCCTTTTTCATTCAGTCTAACAGGTATATTTGACTTCAGGTAACTCATGTATACAAAACACAGTTTGTATGTGTTTAATGTAATTTCAATGTAATTTAATTTAATAATTTAAATATTTTAATTAAACGTAATTTAATTAAATGTAATGTCATTAAAAAAAGACCAACATATGCTATTTTAAATACACTATTTACATTAAAATAGACAACAAAATTTTTAATTTCATTGCTGTTCATGCAGATAAATTCTTTACCTGTAGCTGTTCTCTCTTTAATTTCTTCCAGCTTCATTAATGTAGCTGATGTTATTTGCTCAAGATCTAATCCTTTATTTGATTGAAAGAATTCAACAACTGCATTGATAGTTTTCTGTAAAATAATTTAAAATATAAGCAAGCCATACATAGTACTTTCCATATTATAAATTTTAAAACTTCAGTTTAATTCTAAACAACGGTGGCTCTAAACTTAGGAGATACTTCCAAAGATACTCTACCCTACTATATCTCTCTCTGGTTTAAAAAAAAAAAAAAAAAGGAATAGCCCAAGTAAGCTTACTAGAGAGGAAAAAAATGTGTGCAGATCATTAAGGTTACTTTAAGTACATTCTAAGGTGTCATGTTGATATAGTAATGGACATTACTACTAAACTATACACTTAAATGCTGAGATGGTAAGTTAAATATATTTTACAATTTAAATTTTTTAAAAATCAGAGAATACAATGACTCTAGAGTCTTTATAAAATGCCTCTCACCCTGACTGTGAAACTCTTAAACTGGAAAATTGGAAAAATCATGGATCTCAACAACACAGTAGGGCCAACTTACAAGGGATACAACGATTAGTGATCCTGATGGCTAGACTGAATTAAGAGCATCACAATAAAAGATGGAACCATAGATACAGAACCTGAGCTACCATTTTCAATAACTCTAAATGTTAATGTTTTTTTTATATGAACAATATTTAATAAAAGTATGAAAGAGGAAAAAGAAGAAAATCATACGTCAGAAGTGTACGATGGGCTTAATAAAGATGGACTTTTTCCTTGCACTTACAGCATCATAGATGACCTCCACAGGCTGAGACTGAACAATCAGAGTCTGGTCAGCAGTGCTATTCTCTGGATTGGTTTCAAACTCGATTTTAAGCAAGGATGAGGTAGTATCACCAATGGAAGCCACAAGTGATGGTACAATACCCTCCTGTTTCAGACCTGTTATATACCAATGTTCTAATTTTGCTTCCACCCTACAATCCGGTGAGTAAAAAAATAAGTAATATAAATAAAATGCTGAGTAATATAATGGATTAAAATACAGATTCTCCTTTAAAAAAAAACTACTTTGAGAGCCAGTACTATACCTATTATCCAGAGGTAAAGTCCAAACTTCTCAGCCTGACATTTAATTACCCTACAATCTGGAGTTTTGTTTTGGTTTTGGCTCTTAACTCCTCATCCACATGAGAAATTCACTTTGGCCAACTTCCAAAGAATACAGAAGTTCTGATCACTGTTACATGAATACAAGCTACACTTCACTTAAGGAATTCATCTCTCTCTTTCATGTCACCTGAAAACAACCTTATCCTGTTTTCTCCTAGTCCTTTCTACTCAGCTACCCTAAGTCCCAATTCTTCTAGCCCAAGTTCTCCTCTGCAACTGAACTTGTGTAGCATTAACCTCAAGGATTTCATTTTACAGCATCTTCTCAGCTATGAGCTCTCTAATATGTTACATAGTTATTACATTATTAACTTTTTGGTTATTCATTCTTAACACCTACAGGGTAAACTTATTAGAAACAAATTTATTATTCCTATGCTAGCTTTCATAGTATCAAACTGATAAATGTAGCAATATTAAGTATTTGTGAGGGAAAGAACAGAGGGTAGAATAAATGATGAACTCTGCATATAACTTCATAACAAAACAAATGTAAAAGTAAAAAGACCATCTGACACACAAAAGGAAAAGAAACTAGAGAACTATTATTAATCAGTTGTTTAATGCTAAATACACTATTTTTTGGCTAAGTCATATCTAGAAATAAAAATTGAAATTATAAGCTTTTTAAAACTTACTTAAGTGCTTGTGCTCCTGGTCGCTGAGATACTTGAGTGCCCAAGCCAATTATCTGAATTTTCAGTATTTCTGGAATATTTTGGTTTTCTCTTATTGTAACAGAGGTGCTTACTAGCTTCAGTGTCATTATATGGGCAACATACTAAACAAAAGAAATGAATGAAAATTATTATAGTTTAAGTAATTATTACTTTAATAGTTTATTTAAATTTGCTGTATTATAAAGTGATCCAAATACAATGTTCAAAAAAGATCAGAAACTTAAATACAAAATTGTCCAAATAACACAATTACAAGAGATCCAAAATTCACTTCTCCTAATTTTAAAGACAGTAGAAATGAAACCTGATAAAATATTTTGTCACATAAAGACTCAATTCGCCAACTTTCACTAAAGCAAACTAATTCAGAACAATCCTCTGGCTCAAAAACTGGACAAGATATAAAGAGCATCTGCTTGATGTCTTTAGATGGTTAAAAAACTATTGAGAAAAATTGATAGGTCAAAACAAAGCAGGACAGAGAACCAGGGAGATGATTCTCATCAAACCACAAAGGAAGACATTAAGACAGGAAGCAAGGAACAAAAGATCCACAAAACAGAAAACAATTAACAAAATGGCAACAGCAAGTCCTTACCTCAATACTTACTTTAAAAGTGAACAGATTAAATTTTCCAATAAAAAGATAAAGAACAGCAGAATGGATTTAAAAAATATATCCAATGATTAGGCTGCCTACCAGAAGACAACTCACTTTAGCCTTAAGGACACATATAGACTAAAAGTGAAAGAATGGAAAAAGATATTTCAAGCAAATAGTAACTCCCCCAAAAAAGGAGAGCTATATTTATATCAGAAGAAAATAAATTTTAAGTTAAATGTTGTCAAAAGAGACAAGAAGGTCATTACATAATGATAAAGAGATCAGTCAATCAAGAAAATGTAAGAGTTGTAAATACTTATGCACCCAATAACGCAGTACCTAAATACATAAAACAAATACTTAAAAAAGAAATTTGAACTAAAAAAAAGAACTAAAAAAAGAAATAAATGTCGATATATCAACAGTTGGGGACTTCAATAACTCACTCTCAATCACAGATAGATCATCCTGACAGAGAATCAATAAACAATGGATTTAAAACACTATAACCCAAAGAGACTAAACAAACTTACTCAAAACAGCAGCAGAATAAACATTCTTTTCAAGCCCACAGGAACATTTCCCAGGAGAGATCATACAATAGGCAATGAAACAAGTCTCCCAAAATTTAAGAAGATATAAGTTATACCAAGTATCTTTCTCAAACATGGAATAAGATCTCAATAAGAAAAAAGCTACAAAATTCACCAATATGTGGAAATTAAACAACACACTCTTGAACAACCACTGGATCAAAAGGAAAATTTAAAAAAAAAGCATGAGACAAACAAAAACAGAAATATAACACAACAAAACTTATGGGATGCAGCAGAAGCATCTTCCTTCTAGAAGGGAAGTTTATAGTGATCAATTCATATAACAAGAAAAAAGAAAGATCTCAAATAAACAACGTAACTTTACACCTCAAGGAACTAGAAAATGAAGAACTAAACCCAAAGTTAGAAGAAGAAAGGAAATAATAAAAATGGGAGAAGAAATAAATGAAACAGATTAAAAAAATAGAAAAGATTAACAAAACCAAGTTGGTTCTTTGAGAACAAATAAAACTGACAAACCATTAGCTAGACTAAGCAAGAAAAAAAGAGAGACAACGCATATGAATAAAATTATAAATAAAAGAGGAGATACTAATAAGGCAGATATCACAGATACACAAAGGATCACAGGAGACTACTAAACAACAATATATCAACAAATGAGACAACCTAGAAAAAAAGGATAAATTTCTAGAAATGTGTAATCTACCAAGACTGCATCATGATTCATGAAGAAACAGAAACTCAATAGAGCAATAATGAGTAAGGAGTCTGAGTCAGAAAAAAAAAAAAAAGGAGTCTGAGTCAGTAATCAGAAACCTCCCACCAAAGAAAACCTCAGGACCAGAAAAAGTCACTGGTAAATCCTATCAAACATTTAAAAAAGAATTTACAGGGCGCCTGGGTAGCTCAGTGGTTGAGCGTCTGCCTTTGGCTCAGGTCGTGATCCTGGGGTCCTGGGATCGAGTCCCACATCAGGCTCCCCACAGGGAGCCTGCTTCTCCCTCTGCTTGTGTCTCTGCCTCTCTCTCTGTCTCTCATGAATGAATAAATAAATATTTAAAAATAAATAAATAAGAATTTACTCCAATTCTTCTCATACATTCTTGTGAAAAGAAACAAATACAATTTTTATAAGAGATCAGTAACTCGTTTAGCCCAATTCAAGATAATACAGTAACATGAAACAAAATGTCTCTTTAACCACCTAAAAATAATCACCTGCTTCGGTAAGGCTAAGTTGTGGGTGCTCTCACTATAGCCAATAGCAGTGAAGAGCTTATCTTTCTCCTCTGCAGTCATAATGTCATCAATAGCTACAAAGAAAGGACAGTATTTTAAGAAATCAATTGCTTCAGTATTATAGATGCAATAAAAAATATCAAACCAAAGTAACAAGTGCCCTAAAATCAATGCTAAAGCAATATCAGCCAGATAATTTCCTCTAATATGCTACTTTGCCTAGTCAAAACAGCCATCATGTATTTGCTTGCTTACGTCAAGAAAAGGCAAAGAGACACCATGAAAGAAATTCTGGTCTCATATAAGGATTTTAGAATTCCCTAAATATGTTAAAAATTAAGTGAAACTTCTAATATCCATGCAAAAAGTTAACAATAAGAAATGTCAGTTAACACTTCTGAATTTCACCTTATAAAGTTTCACAGAAATAACTTCCTCAAAAATATCAAAGTTTTGAGGCACCTGAGTGGCTCAGTCACTTAAGCATCTGCCTTCAGCTCAGGCCATGATCTCAGGGTCTTAGGGTGGAGCCCTGTGTCAGGCTCCCTGCTCAGAGAGGAGTCTGCATCTCCCTCTCCATTTGCCCCTCCCCCCTGCTTGTGCTCTCTCTCTCTCTCTCTCTCTCTTTCTTTCTCAAGTAAATAAAATCTTTAAAAAAAAAAATCAAAGTTTTAATTTAGTTAAACTCAGAAATGTTCCAGCCTGACATATTTGGTTATACGTTTACTAATAATAAACATCATAAAACTCCACTAACTGGCTAAAATAAAATGTATATATTTTTTTCTTAACAGTGTACAACAAATTATCTGAGATGAAACTTACTTTCAGGAATCAAAGATTCTTCATCTTTTTTCTTAGACTCCTTCTTACCCCAAAACCCACTAAACCAGCCTCCACGTTTCTCGCCTGTGTCAGTAGACTTTTTCCTTAATTTTTGCCCAGATCGAATCACCTAAAAAGTAAAAATTTTTAAACTTAATTAAAGAGGAACTGCCCTCTTCATTTCCAGGTATAGCCAGGTAAGAACAATGGTTAATTTTTTCAACACTACGTTAGGTTAAAAAACAGTCAAGAAAGCCTTCTGAAATGGTATTCAAAATAATTTGGTCAATATAGTTCCACTATTAATTTCATTTACTTTCCACACCTACTGATCAAATTTTGATGAGGTTGCATTTTGTCAGAAATACAGTAAAGGTTTCAAGGAATTTTTTTGAGCAATGTGTCTTACAAATGTTTAAGTTAATAAGCCACTAAGACTGCAGATTTACAAAACGAAAAGTTCTCTAAAAAGAAGATACTTCCACACTCAGAAATATTAGTTTAAAACAATATTTCAGAATTCATATACATTGCTGGCCTGCCAACTACAGACATGGGAGAAGGGTTGAATATAAATAAAAATAATCATTGAATCTCATTTCATCCTTTCTCAATAAATCCTAGCTTGATTTTCTGTAACTCCTTGAAACAGTAAAAAAGAGATGAAATCACTAAAAAAGCAGAAAACAGAAGGATAAATAAAGGGGATAAGTAATCTATCTTCTCATTCCCTGAATAAGTAAACGTTAATAATTTTCCACTTAAAATTTATATTTTAAATTGAGAGTTATAGGTAACATATTGCAAGCCTCCCTGTGTAACAAAAGGTGAAACACTCCAAAAGAGAAGTTGAAAAAAAAAGAGTTGAATTAGTAAAGAGAAGTTTAAATAAGTTAAAGAAGTTCTCTTTAACATTTAAATATTAAAGATATAAAGAAATAGGTCCACATCTGTGCACAAAACTATAAAAGTTTTTTATCAGTTATACCTCAGCCATAACTACCTTGTGGCAAGCTTACCAATCCAATTTCACTAGTCAGAAATGTAGTAAATAAAAAATATGTATCTGTTTACTTTATATTCCATATGAAAAAATATTTAACTTCATTATTCTCTTGGAATAGAAGATTAGTGTGCTTTTTTATATTTTTCATAACTAGAACTTAGAGAATTTATTTAACCTCTCTCTGTCTTAATTTACTAATATAAATTGAAGATAATAGTACTTTCCTCAGAATTGATGGTACTCAGCAAATTACATCAAGAAAATGTTAGCTCAGCAAATTACATCAAGAAAATGTTAGCTATTCCTGTCACCAAACTTTCTACTTTAAAATTCTCAGGAACACAAAGATTCAGCAAAAGCAAATCAATTCTCAGCCACCAATATCCTGAATTCATGTCAGATTTAGGCACAACATTGTTAATCCAAGTACTTATTGTGTCTTTTGCTTTGAGATATTTTTTGAATGGAACTAACCCCATCGTGTTTATAACAAGAGAAGTTAAAAAAGGGTTGAAAAGTTAATGAGAAGAGACATTCAAACTAAACAAAATAAGAAATAAAGTTTCTTATGCAGCTAGATACAGATTACATAATTCATCAGCAGGTATGAAACCTTAGGATAAAGAAATCATGCAACCTATAAAAAAGAATTTTAAAAAAGTAGTAATGAAAGAGCACTATTACACCATTGATAATTCAGGAGAAGACAAGAGTAGTGCCTGAGAATGTAAAGAATAAGCATGGGAAAATGTGACATTTTTGTCACTAGCCAGAGATAAGTGCATATATTCAGGAACTGTTAGAATTTGCAAATTAAAAGTGAATGACAAAGCAGCTACTGTGGATATCATAGCTCACTGGTATTCAATCCTTGATGCACTTAAGAATCATTAGGAAGCTTTAACAAAAGCAAAAAACAACAACAATGCCCAAGCTCCACCACATACCAGGAAGTGGACTCCAGGTATCATTTTAAAAATTCCCTAGGGATTCTAATGTGCAGCAGGATTCAGAACCAGTGAGATAACTACACAAGATTTTCTCAACAACAGGAGAAATCATCAAGCAGGGAGTAGATGAAACGGCTAATTCAGAAAAGGCACTCAAATGTATATCATCTGGGTTTTTAAGCTTTAAAGAGTCTATCAGCAATGGTTTTAAGGAAAATGCAACCAGAGCCTGCAAGTTAAACTTGTCTTACATACTGGACTTAATAAAAAGGTGGATTTATGAGCAGTTCCCTGTAAATCTAAATACAAGAACAGCTGTACAGTATTTGATATTTTATTAAAGTCCTTTTTAACCAAATCGGGGCACCTGGTGGCTCAGTCTATAGAACATGCAATTCTTGATCTTGGGGTCATGAGTTTAAGCCCCACACTGGGCACAGAGATTACTTAAAACAAAAAATGTTGGGGCACCTGGCTGGGTCAGTCAGTTAAGCATCCAATCTTGATTATCAGCTCCAGTCTTGATCTCAGAGTTGTGAGTTTAAGCCCCATGCTGTCCTCCACACTGAGTATGGAGCCTACTTGAAAAATAAAAATTTTGGGATGCCTGGGTGGCTCAGCAGTTGAGTCTGCCTTTGGCTCAGGGCATGATCCTAGGGTATGGGATCAAGTCCCCCAAGCGGCTCCCAGCAGGGAGCCTGCTTCTGCTTGTGCCTATGTCTCTGCCTCTCCCTCCTCTTTCTCTATCTCTCATGAATAAATAAATCTTAAAAAGAAAAAGAATTTTAAAATGTTTTAAAAATATTTTAAACTAAATTTATAAAGTTTGTAAATTTATAAACTAATAAACTTTTAATCATTAAGGAATTAAAAAAATATGTTAATAAGAGACATTAAGATAATGTAATGACCAACCCAACATTCAACTTTCCCCCTCCCAGATCTCTATTTAAATCCCTAAAGAAAAAAAAAAACTTAGAAAAAAAATTTTAAAAAAAGGATAAAGCCACTATTAGCACTGATATCTTTGTAAAGCTGTGATGAGGATGGCACAGATTTTGAGGAATTTCAAAATAAATTCAAAAATCTAGAAAAATTTAATGAAAAGACAGAAGTGAATTAATTAGAAAGCACACAAAATATTTCAGTGTTAATGACCATGAAGAAAATAAAACAACAAAATAAAAAGTACTGGAAAAGAAACTTTCCTATATGTTGACAATTATCACTTAAAAATACATTTAAAAATCAGAGCTGACCTAGAACTATACACACACAATATACCAGTGTCTAATCCTTGGTTTTAATATTATAATTATGTCGATAATTCCTGCCTATATTTTAAATTCTGTGACCCTGTGGATTTTCCTATACAATAAAAAAATTTCAAAAAAAAAATTTCAATCTTGGATGAATTTAACTGCCTTTTCTTCATCTATATCCATCCCTTTGTCCATAGCATCCAATAATAAATCCTTTTTCGTGGCCTGTTTCTAACCAACAGAACATGGCAAAGGTGATAAGATGTATGTGATTATGTGCATGAAACTGTACCAGCTGTCTTACTGGAGTGTCTCTTTCTCTTTGAAAAAGCAAGCTGCCGTGTTGTGGGCTATGTCAGGAGGCCCTTCTGGCAAGGAAATGAAATGAAATTTAAGAACTAAGCACAGCCTCTGGTCAACAGCCAGCAAGAAACTGAAGTTTTCCATCCCACAGGCACAAGGAGCTAAAATCTGCCAACAAAAGCAGATCCTTCATCACTGACACCCCCCAGATGAAACCACAGTCCCAGCCAACAGCTTGATGGCAATATTTTTGAGACCTTAAGCAGAGAACTCAGGTAAACCAAACCTGGACTCCTAACCCACAGAAACTCTGAGACAATAAACGTGTATTGCTTTAAGCCCCTATGTTTATTATGCAGCCATAGAAAACTACTTCACATGAGTGTACCGAAGCAGGTCCTCAGTCATGGAGCTTTGCATAGGCATAAGCAGCTGAACCCCTGAGAGAAATTCTACAGTCTGGCCAAGGAATGAGAAAATGGAGTCCGTGAAAACCAGAGGGGATGAGGGAAATACAAGAGAAACAGAGTCAGAGAATGGGGTTATCTTTCTACTCTATTTTTATTTATGTTTTTCTACTGGAATGTAAATAAGGGATTTTTGTTCACTTCTGTATGCAGAATGATGCAGATGATGATGATGATGAAGGAAAAAAATCACTTATTCAATAATTATTATGTGCCAGGTACTCAATAGTCTAAGTGCTTTGTACATGGATCATCACTGCTCCTCATAGTAACCCTCTGATGTAGGCACTATGAATTACTCTTATTTAACAGATGAGGAAACTGAAGCACAGAGAGGTTAAGTAGCCAGCCCAAGATCACACAAGTAGGCAAAGCTGACTCCAGAGTTCACAGTCTTCACCATGATTCTAGTAAAATAGGCACTCAATGAGTACTTAACTAAGTAAATGAATGAACCAGTGCATGCTTTAATCCCACTTAAAAACTAAGTATGTGTATGGAGATCTATAAATAAAAAAAAAAAGACTAAAGGAATATACAAAAAAAAACATATTAACAGAATGTATCTTTAGTGTGAGATAGATGTTTCTATTTTTTCTTTGTATATCTATATTTCCTAACTTTTTGTATTGTGAGTTGCACTGCACTTGCAATTTATTTACCAACAAAGTCATGCTACAGAATAAAAGGATTGACATGGAACAATAGGGACGAGGTAGGATATGCCAAGTGGGATCAATCACCATATATTATGAAATATAAACAGGCTGATTCCAATTACAGGAAAAAAGAAAAGAAGGGAGAGAAGGAGAAGAGAGGAAAGGAAAGAAGAAGGAAGGGAGGGAAAAGGAAACAAAGCAAAGATAAAGTGAAAGGATGGGGGATAAAAAAGCATATGTAAGTAGATACATATGCATGGGGGAAAACCTGGAAGACTGTATATCAAAATGTTAACAGCAGTATTCTACATAGCTAGAATTACAGATAACTTTGATTTACTTTCCTTTTAGGCAGGGTTCAAATATTTTGTTGTAAAATTACAAAATTTTTTCCTTCCATGTTAGTGGATTTTTTTCCACTGTTCCTATTTTTTTCTCCCAAGATCAAATGAGGAACGGAAACTCAATCTTTATTCTTACTTGAACAACTGCCATGAAACTTAAGATTTCTTGATCTCAAGTTTAAAGGAATAGTATGAACATGTTTAAAACATAAAATAAAAAAAGCTCATAAAATGATTACCTCAACTTGTGCTTGTTGCCTTGCTAAAATTATATTAAAAACATCTAGAGTCTTCTCCAAATCCTATAAAACAAAGAGACACTTGTAAACAAGAAAAATGACATTAGATTAAAAAATTTTATTCTAGGATTTCTAGGATTATCTAGTCCATGAACAAACTAATTGTGATCTAATGAAAGGATAAGTATAAATCTGAATGTACATTTGGCTTTTGTACTTTTAGTTTTTGCAATAAGGGAAGTAAGTTATCCAAGAAAGCAAATCCTCAAAAAATATAAAAATAAGAATTTTAATGAGACCATTATAGAAACAAGAATTTGTAGGAGGGGGACCTGTTAATCCTTATGGTTCATACTGACTCACTCTTTTCCATAATATTTTATAACCATTGTACTAAAGGCACCATTATAAAACACAAAATTTAAGAATGCAAAATTCTACAAATCAACAACTAAGTTAAAATAGAAGCTAATTTGGGGAATTTATATAAAAGTATGTAAGAATCTAACCGGTATTGGGTAATCTGTGTAAGAGATAATCTATGTTCTCACAACTCTGTAAAACAGATACTGTTTCCATTTTATACAGGAGAACACCAGACCTAAGATGCTGAGAAACTTGATGCTTTTTCCAATATATAGTATCAGTGTCTCTCACATATTTCAGAATAATAGGAATTCAATTAATTCTTTACATTATGAATTTGTGGCAGAAATGGTTATATAATCAAGACCACATGATATTAGGCAAATTATATATTCAGCATGGTATTTTTCTGTATTTCAAAAGGGGTTCCTATTTTGAGCAATAAGAGCTGTTTTTTATATAATACTTTGAGCTCTTTAAAAAAAAAAAAAAACACCAAAAAACTAATAACATACATCTAGCTAATAAACATATATTTGAATAGCTCTGATACTGATTTTCTAAATATTATATAAAAACCAAGTACATTTCTCCAAATACTTTCTAGTATTCTAGTACTTAATCTGATATTAGGATAGGAGGAAAAGATTTGTTTAAAGAAGAAAGAGCTGAAGAAAAAATACTCTACATTTTCCCATAAAATTATCTCAAAAAGAGGTCAGTTTTATTCTTTCTAAAATAATATTTTAATTCAAATTAAATTTAGGAAAATCTAAAGGATAATTTAACAAAGACTAGCTTTCATCAATATATGTGAAATATACCTGAATTTGTTTCTGTATTTCTTCTGGGACTTTAGGTTGGGTTAACTTGCTCTTATAGGCACTTTTATAACTCTTGAGCAGCTGCCTGTGTTTTTTTATGTTATTCCAAGACCACATCTGCGTATACCTTCTTATATGAACTTCAAGAACAGAATCAATTGCATATTTCCACCTGCAAATCAAATTTTAATGTACATTTGAATACAAAGGTTTAAGAAAAAGCAAGAAAATGGCTTAGATTTTTTAAATCCACAGTTATTTTTTGTTCTTATTAACTGTTCTCCTTATAAGATCCCACTAATTAGCATTTCAATTCCTCAGTAAAATTCTCTGATTTAAATTGATTATAAAATGAGCAAATTACTCCAGTAAGAGGGTATGTCAAAGCAAAATCAATAAGACACAAAATGACATACAAAATTAATACTATCCCAATATGGTTATAACATTCATTACACGTGGTGACTCAAGGGCACTAAAACCAAAAAAGGATTAAAGTCTTAATGCTAAGTTAAACCAAAAAAGGATTAAAGGCTTAATGCTAAGTTGAGAATTTGGGAATAATCTAAAAGCAAGAGTATAAGAGAATGTGTTTATGAAAAAAGTAACAACGACATAATACAAAAGATATCCCTTTCATGTCTACAAAGATTTAAAAAAAAAAAGTGGCTTCATTACATGGCTTTAAAGGTCTCTTAAATCTGGAAGTTTCTACTTATATATTTCTCATTTAAAAAAAAAAATTCTAACTTACCATTGTCGACCATTGGTATGAAGTGGTAAATAGGGCTTATATTTCCTGTAAGGGGCATTTCTAACCATATAATCCACTGACTCCAAAAAGTCAATCATACTTAAGTACTATTAAAACAAAAATACAGTTATATTTATTAATTGCACACATGGATAAACACCAAATTTTATTATATTTGCAGTATAGTAAGACTCCAACTTCCTGGAACAATGAATATCATGGTTACCTATTAGTATCATATTTTCTCAAATTTAAAACACCGCCAATTATAAGTTGTAACATAATTTTTAAGTTCCACTACAAAAAGAAAAAAAACAGTGCTAACAAAGTATCATACCATCAATAATATTATACATCCTATTTTCAAATATGTTACACAATGAAATAAATGCACATCCTAGAAATAATAAAATACACTATCTGTAACTAATGACTGGAACATGGTTGTTCCTAAAACTACATATTTGCCTCTGGACCATCATTTCAGCATTGACTTTCTATAAGCTGAATTGCAAGTCTCTCCAGAAAATCATTACATAACTAAAGGAAGATAAACCAATATAATTGCCCATCTTACCACCAATACAACTCTGCATATACCTGGTAAAGAGCTCAAATGGAGGGAAACACACACACAACATGACTGTAGATAAGATAAAGAAAGTGGCAAATCTAGTTTCCTCCTTTCAGTTTTTCTTAATGATTTCTACCTACTGGTTACCATGCGGCTATTCACCACTTAAAATATAGGTAGTCTGAACTTAAATGTATTTTAAGTTTAAAATATACCCAAGGTTTTAAAGACTTAGAAAAAAGGAAAGGATATAATTTTTTATATTGATTACATGCTGAAATGATAATATTTTGGATACACTGGCTTACATAAAATGTTATTAATTTTACCTTTCTTTTTACTTTTCTAATGCAACTACTAGAAAATTTTAAATTACATAGACAACCTGCATTACAGTAATCCTCCCCTTATCCTGAGGAAATATGTTCTAAGACCCCCCCCAACAGATGCCTGAAACCATGGATAGTACTGAACCTACATTTGCTACGTTTTTCCTATACATATACACTTAGAATAAAATTTAATTTATAAATTAGGCACAGTAAGAAATGAATAATAATAATAAAATAGGGGGTTCCCTGGGTGGCTCAGTGGTTTGGCGCCTGCCTTTGGCCCAGGGTGCGATCCTGGAGTCCTGGGATCGAGTCCCGGGATTGAGTCCCGCGTCAGGCTCCCGGCATGGAGCCTGCTTCTCCCTCTGCCTGTGTCTCTGTCTCTCTCTCTATCATGAATGAATAAAAAAATAATAATAAAAAAATAAAAAGTAATAATAATAAAATAGAACTATCGTAAAAATATACTGTAATAAAAGCTATGTGTATGTGGTATGTGTTTCTCTCTCAAAATATCCTATTGACTGCATTCACCCTTCTTCTGTGATAAAATGCCTAATAGTGAGATGAAATGAGGTAAATGATGTAGGCACTGTGACATAGTGTCAGGGCACTACTGACCTTCTGACCATACATCAGAAAGATCATCTGCTTCCAGAACACAGTTGACCCATGTAACCAAAACCACAGAAACTATGGAGAAGGGGAACTACCGTATATTTTTACTGGACTACACTGAGCTAAAAGCTCATTTAGCTAAACCTTTTGTCCTTCTTTCACTTCCAGTTCTCCAGGTCTGTTATTCGAACCCAGGGTATTAACCAAATGACAAAGGAAAAAAGCACCAACATAGCAGGTCTAAAAATTAAGTAGACAGTATATACTATAAAGGTGTCTATTAAAATATGAGGAAGAAAAAACACATTAAAATCTTCCATCAACAATTGGAAATTACATAGGAAAACATCATTTGCTATAATTTGGTAAGATTTTCCACCAATAAGGAAAAGACTAGATAAAAAGAAGGAAATTATTTTCTCAAAAAAAAAAAATATATATATATAAATACAAATATAAATGTATAAAAGAACCACTAGAGCACTGGAGAAAGAATAATCACAAAGGACAAAAGCAGTTGAGATTCAAGGCTAATAAAAGCTAGAAATAGCCACCCGAGTCTTACCTGAGGTTTGGTCATTTCAATGGCAATATTCTGTACTTCTATGTTCCAATCAAGTTTGGGTGTTTTGAGCTCTGTTTCTGCATAAGGATTCATGTAGAGCTTTGCAGAAGCTGATATTGGCTGGAAAACTTAAGTCACATGGGAAGACACAAGATTATGTTTATATACCCATATATATGAACAACTGTAAATAATTATAAGAACACTATTACTCTGAAAGTAGAGAAAAATAATCAAAAATATATAAAAAAATGTAAAAATTCACTACCCAAAAATATTTAAGCATCTACTTATCTGCATAATACCAAATGCAAGTCAAAGTGGAATCTCCAAGGAGGAAACTGGAGTCCTATGCTACTAAGTAAAAATGTACAAAAGTAATAGACAATCTACTCTTGGCTATTCAGTCTGGGTAAAATTAAACTTCTCTTCCTTACTACAAGACATTTAATGATTTTATTATTCACTAAAAATATTAACACAAGGTAGGAGACAAAATTTAATTTGTTTAAAATTTGTCTTACTTAAACATTGATAGAATTTAGGAACAGAATTATGAATTAAATTCATACTACCAAGAAAAAAATGCTTACCACTTTATAATTTTCAGAATGATCATTATATATATCATCTTAGAATCAAATAAGAAAATATTCTTGAAGAACTAGCATGAAAGATGTATTAAGGAAAATGACAAAGTAATATAATAAATTTTTAATAGTGAACTATATTAAGATTACATAAATTATGATATATTACAGTATTTACATTTGCATAAGATTATATAAAAATTTTAACTTATTTAGAGGTTTTTATAAGTGGAAGATCCCATTTATAAATGATGTTGTAGATTTTTCTGAACTAGTTCTTTCATGAATGAAACTAAACACTTTCATCTGAAAACACCATCACTAAACAGATCTATGAACATAAAGAGAAAGTGTCAACTCTTCCATAATAGCAATCAGCTACAAAAGAATATGAAGAAAACAACAATGAACCAGAGTAACATGGAATATGGATGATGAGCATGAAAGCTGAAGACAAACATAAAGGAGTATACTCAATTAAAAAAAATCCAACAATAGTCTCTTTCAAATGAAACTAAAAAGGAGAAAACAGATGGCGTTAATAAACAGGCTGCTTTGTTAGAGGGTTACTTAAAAATAAGTAAAGGCAAGGCTGCCAAGAATTAGAAAAGCCACTTAGGAAAGTCTCTAGAGTGGTTGGTTTGTCATAACACTGCAATAGTGACATGGCAAGGTTGACCTGAATACCAAAATCTCTCAGATTTTGATTAAAGAGATTAAAGAAAAGAAAACCTAATTCCTAAAATAAAGGTGCTAACAAGAAGAAAACACAGAGGTCAAGGGTGTTTAGATGCTAGGAGTGAACTACAGTCGTACTGCCCTCTTCTTACTCTCCAGTGTTGTATGTGTCATAATCTATCCTAAATAATTTGTTATAATCCAAATACACTGTGATAAAACTAAAATATAAAATACTTTCTCTTTGTCAAAGTACCTTTATCAGAAGAAAGTACAGTAAGCCAGAGTATTTAATCCTATGCTTCCTATAACATGAAATAAACTTTTACCACTACTTACTATATTGATGGTTTACAGGTATGTTGCTACTTGTAACAATTCCACTTTTCAGCTGATCCTAAACAAAAATTTGGAGAATGAAAAAAATTCATACATATTCAACTACACATGGGGGGAAAAGAATGTGGTTCTTAAATCAATATCTTTATTCTCTTCTTTATAATTAGTAGTCCATAAGAAAAATACACTAAGCATTATTTATATTTCTTTAGACTAAAATACAGAAGTAGGTAATTTTTTAAAATTCTAAATATTTAAAAGTGTTATAGCATTGCGTTCCCCTCTGACTTAAAAAAAGAAAAAACAACTGAGGTTCCTGGGTGGCTCAGTTGGTTAAGCCGAACCCTTGATTTCGGCTCAGGTCATGATCTCAGAGGTGTGAGATCATGCCCCATGTCAGGCTCCACGCTCAGCAGCGTGTCTTTCTTTTTTTTTTTTTTTAGAGATTTATCTATTTATGATAGACCGAGAGACCAAGAGACAGAGAGAGAGAGAGAGAGAGGCAGAGACACAGGAGGAAGGAGAAGCAGGCTCCATGCCAGGAGCCCGACGTGGGACTCGATCCCGGGACTCCAGGATCGCGCCCTGGGCCAAAGGCAGGCGCCAAACTGCTGAGCCACCCAGGGATCCCCTCAGCAGGGTGTCTTCTTGAGATTCTCTCTCTCACCCCCTTCCTTTGTCCCTCCCCCCAGTCACTTGTGTTCTCTATGTCTCTCTCTTAAATAAAAAAATCTTTAAAAAAAAACAATAAAACATCCATGAATTGGGATCTCAAACACTCTCTAGACAAAGGCAAATTATTTATTACAGTATCTTTCTGAGAAATAAGAGCTAGAATCTTGGAATTAATTCAAGTTCAGAAAATTCAACTTTTCTTCCTTTTTCCTCTAAGTAAATAAAAAGGACTGAGACTAACTAGCACAGTGAAGTTTTGAGTTAACCTTTCACTGTTGATGAAATCATTATCACAAATGCTTAAAACATTTGCTAAGGTCAATTATACTTTAATTTAAAAGAAAATTCGCTAAAAATATATTCTTCAGATCTGAAAGGTATCATCATTCCTTACAATGCTCTACATAATCATTCTTATACGAAATACAATGTAATGTCATCAAAATAAGAGTGCAAAAAACCATAAATGCAGTTTTAAATTAGCAGTATAAGTTATTATCTCATTGTGTAGTGAATGATCTCACAAAGATCCTCAAAAACAAAATGCTTTTTTAAAAAGTGGATTCTGGGGCACCTGGTCAGCCCAGTCAGTTAAGCATCTGCCTTCTTTCCGCTCAGGTCATGATCTCAGGGTCCTGGGATCAAGCTCCCTGCTCATCAGGGAGCTTGCTTCTCCTTCTCCCTGACCCTTCCCCCTGCTTGTGCTAGTGTTCTCACACTTTCTCTCTTAAATGAATAAATAAAATATCTTTAAAAAAATTTTTTAATAAAAAAGAATGGATTCCAAAAACTGTGTTTCACAATTCTGATTTAGTTAAATACAACTTAAACAAAAGACTATATGCCCTATCCTCATTAAATACCACTTAAGTTAAAAAAAATTTAGGGAGTGGAGTTAGCTCTTCCAGTTATAAACTGAAATTACCAAGATCTGTTCCTTTGACTCCTGATAAGACATGTTGCAGTTTACATTCCAATAGGCACTAAGACTATCAAGTCGTATAAGCTACAAAAGAAAAATAAAAGAGGTCAAGCAACACATGAAAATTATGAATCAGTATTAAAAGATTATTCTCATATCACCCTAGGATTATCCAATTGCCATTTTGAACTTTTAAAGGAAAAAAATAAAGCAAAAATGGGAAAAATACATGCATGTTATTCACAGACTTTACCACTAATCTTAGCATTTGGTAAATTGTTCTTTCAGCATCACTATTTCTGAGGAAATTCATTCATTCAGCTATCAAATATTAATTAAGAATTTACTATTTAACAGACTTGTAAATGTTTTGCAGAATAAGAAGAAAGACACAATTCCTCCAGTGGATATGAATGACTGCTTAGAAGGAGAGGTGAGGGGAGGGGATTCTACAACAGTAAGGTGGGGAAAGCAATATACTAAACATAAACACTCTTCTTGAAAATTCTCAATGTTTATTAGCATATTTAGAGTACTGTCCAGTCCTGTGGTTTAAAACAAAATGAAACACACTGTTTAACTATGTACAGCTTAATACTTTAGTCAGTCATCTTGACCAGAAAATATTTTTTCTACAAATCTCATATCCCAATTACCTAATGTTCCATAAAACACAATTTAGGAAATATTAATTTTATCTGATTTCTTCTGCTAGGTGAAGAACCTAAACCTCAGAAAAGGTAAGTGATTACAGAAGGTCACATAGTAAGTGGCAAAGCCAAAACCGGAGCTTCTACTTTTAACTCACACTCCAATGACACATTGGGCCCCATCAAAGTTTCAAAAAACTACAATAAGTGTTTGTACCTAGAAAAATAACAAGAAATTCTTAATCCAGTCTAATACCTTGTATATAATTTTTTCTGCTTCATTTAATATGCATGGAGTCCAGTGTTCATTTGCAGTCTAAAAGAAAATAAATAACAGTGAAACAAAGTATATATATCATAATACAGTACTCTAATAAACTGTAACAAAATTCCTTAGATTTTTTAAAAAAGACATCTAGCTAATTATGGCTACTGGAAGCTGTTTCCCTACATATCTATATGACAAAATCAAAGGAACAGTGAAAATAGAATTGAGGTTATAATTTAACTGAGTTTATTCATCCAGAAAATAACTACTGAGCCACTATGTGTCTGTGTGGAAGGAACTGGGCATGAATTAAAAAAAAAAAAAAAAAAAAAAAAGAGCTAGCCTATAAAATAGTGAAGAAGGTCCACATCCCTTTTAAAAATCAAGTAAATAATTATTGCAAAGAAAACCACAAGAATATGGAAATCACAGCATGACCATGGTTCTAGAAAGCCAGCATGATCAACAATACCAAATACTGCCATGAGATAAACTAAAATTAATTTATTGAGCAGCCAGGTCATTACTAATGAACTTGTCAAGAAAAATTTCAGAGGAGTAGCAGAGTCAGAGTACAGTGGGAAAGGAGTCAGCAGGAGGTGGGGAAACAAAGACAGTCAAGGTAGATGGGGCCTAGGAGGAGTGAGAGAAGGTTCAGGAGGGCCTTCTTAATTTTGCTATAAAAGACAGACCTGAATGTGTTTAAATGCTTACAGAAGGAATGGGAGAAGGGAAAAGTGGAAGAGGGGGGGTTTGAAGATTTAGGAAAGAGAAGAAAACTGACAGAAAGGAAGAAAGAAGGGAGGAAAGGAGGCAGAGAAAAAGGGAGGGAAAAAGGCTCCCAAGGACATGGGAAGGATGAGATTTAGATCAGAGGTGGAAAGATTACCTTAGGTCTAAGAGACTCTAACTGTAAAATGGGAAAAAGGAATGGTGTGGATAAAGAAAGAGGTAAGTTTAGGGTTATTGTTGTTATTACAGTCATTGTAATAGTTGAAACAGGAAATAGCCGAGCCACACATGTGCCAAATGCTTTACATTAACTATCTCAGTTAATCATTACAAAATTCTAAAATAGAGGTCCTATTTTGTCAGTGAATGAATGAGGGTTAGACAGAAGATCACCATGCTAACTAGTACAATAATATGATATTGGTGCTATAATAAAATATAATGGGGAACATAAAAGAGTGATAAATTCTTAAGAGGAAAATACAAGGGAATGAGAAAGAGTAACATCTAACATAAGAACTAAAACCTGAATAGGATCACCAAGGAGATAAAGGGAAAAAAGTAATACAGGCAAAGAACACAGTATGAAGAGTCTGAGAAAAGATAAAGAGAATCAAGCAACAATACACACTAAGGAAACTACACATCATTCTTATGTGTTAGTATACCTTTTTATTAGTCAATGAGAAGTACGTGACTATTTTATAATTTTTTGTTTTGTCAGCTAGAAGCTCAACATAAAATATTGTGTTCATTTATGCCTAATATTGCCAGTCTGGTTTTTCTGGAGCATTATCTCTAGTCTCTGTTATTGTATTATTTCTTTTTTTATCAAAAGCTACTTAAGGAGCACCAGGGTGGCTCAGTTGATTAAGCATCTGCCTTCGGCTCAGGTCATGATAGCAGGGCCCTGAGATCAAGCCCCACACCAGGGCACCTGCTCAGGAGGGAGCCTGCTTCTGCTTCTCCCTCTGCCTGCCACTCCCCCTCCTTGTGCTCTCTCTCTCTGTCAAATAAATAGATAAAATCTTTAAAAAAATTTAAAAGCTACTTAAAATTAGTTTTGGAAAGAAACAGGATAAACAATATAACAAATCCTAGCTTCTCTGACTCCCTTAACTTTGTTTCTCCAGATTTTTTCTTTTTTTCAATGTTTCTGCTTTGGTCTTCAATCTCTCTACTTCTTCCATATGAAAATATAATTCTGAAGGCCTCTATGAAACCATTTCCTTTTTCCCTTTCTCTGGAATTCCACTCTCTTTCAGTTTTCTTCCCCTTCTTTCCCTACCAAGGCCCTCTCCATATAACTATCATAGGACAAACATATACCCAGCATGATTTACTGTTCCCTATCTTTAACTTTAAAACATTTTTCCTACCACTTAGTTACCCATAGAAAATAAGAGGGAAAAATGTCCAACCTGAACGTACATACTATCTATCCTTAAAGATCTTTAGGAGAAAAACCAAACTGCATTATAAAATATATAACCAAAATAAACTATATCTCAATATAATACACAAACACACATACATGTACACATTTATAAGCTATTTGGAAATTCTATCTGCCTATACAAAGAATGAGAACATGATTTACCTTTCTATTTCCCCACACGTTTAGGATATAGCTTTTAATTATTTAAAACTGCTTGATAATGGTATATTGGTATTTGTTAAGGTCAAAGACAAATCAAAATAATTAGAGAAAGTAATAACAGCATCACTATAAATTCTGAACTTCTACAAAAACTAAAAATATTATATATAAAAATAAAATAGCTATTTATATCAATAGTTGATTTTAGGCAATTCATCCTGTGACTTGGGAATATTTTACAGGTTCCACAAAAATTGTAAATAACGTCAACATTACCAACAGACTAAGTTCTCCCAGTGTGACACCAAATGAAAGAGGCTGCTGTGGATCAGTAACCTATCAAAAAAGAAAAGTGATATTAAAATACACTGATGGTGAGAGGGAAACCATGTTCCACTCTGTAAATGGGCAACATAGAGAAATTAGTTTACAAGTAAGTCACACAACCCAAATGGATTTGTGAGAAAAAAAGAAGAGAAAAAGGCAATAACATGGCTAGGAATATCCACATTTTGTAGGCAGGACACTAATATGACACTTTCCCAACGGAACTCTTTCCTAATGAAGTGAACACTTTTCTCAGTAACTAGATTCTTACCCAAATAAAGAAGAGACAGGTTCTTTATGTGTATCATTAAAGATATTCTTCAAAGACAAATAACACAAGATGTCACAGATAATAATACTGCCACTAAATTACTTTTCAAATATTAACGATTTTCACACTTAGAAATGTGAACTGTCTTTAAGTCTCTAAGATCCTTAGCTTTTCAAAAATGCTTTGACAGGAATGTCCAAGATTCTTAACATTTAATTTCCTCAGTCTCTTAACCTATGAAACTTTTGTTCTATTCCTAATCTTCATTTATAAGTTATATTGATACTCCCAGCTTACACTGTACAACAATGTGTACAATATCATTGTCTTAGACATCATAAGGATGCCCAAAAGTCATATAGAGTTTTTTGGCTATGATAGAAACCAGGTAAACTCAAGAGAAGAAAAAAACATCATGTTCTAAATCAACCAACAAGGACTCCAGACCATAGTCACATAGAATCTTCTAAAATGCAGGGAAAACGCAAGCTCTGAAATAACTGAAAAGCACAAATAGCACTGTGAGCTCAGTTTTTAATATCTTCCTTTATTCCCACACTCATCTTTTTATACTTACACACAACTGGTTCAAAATAACTTGCACCTATTTCAGAAGGAACTTTACCAACTCCTCACTTGCTAAGACACTACCCACAAACTACTCCTATCACCCAATGAGCATCTTTATGATAAATTATTATACTTTCCCTATTCCCCACATCCTAAACTCTATTTTTCATTATCCTATATACAATAAATAAGACAATCACATTGAAAAAGGAATGATACAAGAAAGATCCCTCTGTACTTTTAATTCTTTTTCTTTTAGATTTTAATAGATTTTGTCACTGATACCAACCTAAACATAATTGATATACTTATCCCACTCCTGTGCCTCTCTATATTTTTTTATTAAAGAGAGAAATTATGTACCTAATTGTACTTGCTCAGTAAAAAAGCTTAATTTAAATTCAAACTGAAGTTCTCATTCATCAATATATCATTAGTTTTAAGAATAATTCTTTTACTTCCATGATGTGTTGATTTATTTTCCAAAGTTTAGGAAAAGGGCATTGATGAGTTGTTTATTTACAAAATTTAGTTTAATGGCTACATAAAACTAAAAGGTAAAATCAATTTATGGTAATAGTATATCTTGAAAAACTACAAATGTGTCTTACTTAAATTTAAGTTCTATAAGTAACTTATCAGAAAAAGAAAATTCTATATATGTCAGCACTGCTTTGATTAAACCCCAATTTTAGAAGAGATGGAATAATATTTCCATCATCTTAGGTAAATGAAAAAATTCAAAGTTATTTTATATATTTTTCAAATTTTAAAACAAAGCAATGTATATTTAGTTTAAAATTAATCAGCAGTGAGGCAGCCCAGGTGGCTCAGCAGTTTAGCGCCGCCTTCAGCCCAGGGCCTGATCCTGGTAGACCCAGGATTGAGACCCACATCAGGCTCCCTGCATGGAGCCTGCTTCTCCCTCTGCCTGTGTCTCTGCCTCTCTCTCTCTCTCTCTGTCTCCCATGAATAAATAAATAAAATCTTTAAGAAAAAAAAATAATCAGCAGTTTTTAATCAGCTAATGTTAAACTCTGGTTATAAGTGAAATTGGTTTCTAAACACACTTTTACACATGTATGTGAGTAGGTGTGCATGCATGTTCAATCCCATTTGAAAGAATATAAAGAGGATGGGACTTTGGATGGACAACTTCATAATAAGTTGTTGACTAATGACCTGAGGTTTAGTCCCCTCTCTACAAACTACCATTATAATTGACTATTTCCATCACCACCAATTAATTTTTTGTCGATATAGATCTTTAAAGTTATAATAGTGTAAATCTTAACACATTAAAACTCAAAATAAATAATAGAGGACAACAGGGAAATCTGTCATACTACCTTTAGAAAGGAGCTTATGGTGGTTTTTTATTTATACACTTAAATGCCTAACTGAAAAAAAAAGCGTGACATAGGAAAGAAGATACAGTAACATATTCAGCAGAAAAAAAAAAAAAAACAATCTTGGATTTAAAATCCAGCACAGGTCACCCTTATCTAGACAAATCAATAACTCTTATTATAAAATACACATTTAACTACTAACTTAAACTAAATTGAAATTACTTACATCATCTTCATATTTAATGTGAATGTCTGTGATTTTTACTTGTACATTTTTAATTACTTGGGTTGCCAACTTTTCCAAAAATGTATCCTTTTTGGCTTCTTTTGGTTTATCTATAAAAAGTAGAAAAACACAATGTCAAGAGTTGAAATTCTCACATATTTCATAATCAAATGATCAAAGGATATCTAAAGCACTACTCAATAGAAAGGACAGCCTATTCTGGTGTCCTTGTTTTATTTTAGATTTATTTTAGATTTTAATATGCACTTCCAACTTAAAACTTATTTTTGAAGTTACATGGTATCTAACATTCATTTTACCTCTGGAGACAGAAATCAAGTGGCGATGTGTATAAATAACACATGGCATAAAAACTACGTTTACCTACCTTTCGAACGATCAAGACTTTTAAAAGGTTTCTTAAAATGTTTTTTGTGCTTTTTACGTTTACGTCCTTCTCATTGGAAGCATTTTAGTGAGAAAAGGATAAAATTCAAGTTAGCAGACTAGAGGACAGAAAAGAAAACAAGAGAATTCTTCCTGACAGCAAATTTTGGTACAAATCACTTTATTCTAAACTGACCTATTTCAATACAAACAGAAATTCACAAACCTTTAGTCTAGAATGACCTCCAAATATCTAGCAAATAACTTGGCAAGTACAATCATATAAGAATTGAGCAAAATATCCATACACAAAGCCTTTTATAATACTAATAACTTTTCATGATACAAAGTTTAATTTTAACTTCAGTGTTATCAAAATATTGGAAATGTAATAATGACAGAATATAAAATTTTCAAGGAAAAGTTTTCATAAATATATGGAAGGGACAGAGGAACACAAATGAAATGAATGGGAAGGTAGGTTGCTGACAGATGACTTCCTCGGCATGATATACCTCAAAAGCAAAATCCTTTAATGACTTAAAGATACAAAGAACACCAAAAGGGCAAAAACTGTACACAGAACTGTCTTTGAAATTGGCTTACTAATTAATTAATTCCTTTAAAACTTCATCTTTTATTTGGCACTGCCTCGCTTTCATGGCATTAACCAACACCCATCTTAACCAAGTTACAAATCTTTACATTCCACTTCTTGCTAGACATTATCTCCAGTCTGCACCCAAGGTGGTCTCTGTATGGTCTCCTCTGCCTCTAGTCTCCACTCTGCCTCCTAAACATCCTTCTACAGTGCCACCAGACTGATCATTTCCAAAATACCATTCACAGCCCGTCAATCCCCTGCTCAAAACTCTTTCAAGGGCTCTCTGCAGCCTGGCAGATAAATGAGAAAGTGTCTGCAAGACACAAAGGTCCTTTCATGATCTAGCCCCTAACTCCCTGTGGTGGTGTTCTACCTCTGCTACTCATCCTTGCACTGGATACGTCAGAAACTACTATTAATTTCCTAAACAAGCCTAATTTTCTAGTGGCTAATGCTTCTCTCTCTCTCTATATATATATATATATAGATCATTCTTTGAACCTCAGTTGCCCTCCCTGAAGTTCCTCACCAGGCAAAATCCTAAGAGGCTCCTAAATTTCAGGTCCACTAAGGCCTGTCTGCAGCCTTCTTCAACTATCTCAAGCAGCATTAGGGCCAGCTACCTCCTCGCTTTATAAAGACTTCCCACTAAGCAGTGATTATACCATGACAAATGTTTGCACAACTGTCTTGTCACCAGTCAGGACTCTTCATTAGGACAAGAATCATCTAGCATCTGGGCACAAAGCACATGAAACGCATCTGTTCAAATGAATTAAAAAAATCCACATCTGAACATTATGGTAAAATATATAAATTCAATTCATGCTATATACATATAAATGTATATATAGGATATACATGAAATTTAGCTTGAAATTTTAAAATTATTCTTTTATATTTTAAAGCATATTGTCCTGTCATTTTAAAAACTAAGAACCAAATACTGGATTTCAAGAATAAAACCCTGAGCTCCAAGAAGGAAATATTTAATAAATACGTAAAGAATCTGAACTTTGCTATTGCCAATATTTCTTGCCATAATGATGGTTCTTGAGTCTTTTTCATTCACAAATTAAACATTTAGGGAAAGACGGATTTTTCAAAGAAATATCATTTGAAAAGAAACAAGAAAGCCAAAGTCTCCCAACCATCTCACTGGTCTAGAATAGCTTTCAGAAATAGGCTCAGCTGCCTGGATTTAGATTCTATCACAACTTACTCTTCTTATAAGACCTTCTATGATCTTTCTGGCTTCACAACTGTTTTAGCCCCTTGTTCTATCTTTGATCTCAATGTTATATGTACTGTGTTTAAAACTCTCCAAATAATTTCAGAATCTAATCTGACTGCTATACAGTTCTTTAGTGAAAGTTTCTATTTAATCTGATGAATATTAAAAAATGATATTTTGTATCACTCTCTAAATCAGTCCTCAAATATTTTGGTCTCCTGATACCTTTAACACACTTACTTGAGAACCCTAAAGAGTTTTTTATTTGTGTGGGTTACAATTATGGATATTTACCATATTGGAAATCAAAACAAATTTTTAAAATATTTATTAATTCATATTTTTAAAAACATTATGTAAAAAAAATTTAAAAATTACATGATAGCACTGATAACACATATTTATGAAAATAATATTATCCAAACAAAAAGTTATAGTAAAAAGAGTAGCATTGTTTTACATTCTTACAAATCTCTTTAATGTCTGGGTTGACAAAAGAGAGCCAGATACACCTATCTCCTTCTGCCTTAGCTCTGTTGAAATAATGTTTAGATTGAAGCATATGAAGAAAATCTGATCTAACTATAGATATGTAATAAAAAAGGGAGGAACATCCTCATGATCTTTTCATGTAATCATGAATATTATACCCCAACTCAACAAGTGGTAGTTTCTTAAAGATTAGTTGTATTTTGGAATCTGAAACTCTATCAATAAATTCTTCATCTGAATTAAAATCAATTGGTCTACCTTACACTTTAGATGGACCTTTGGCACATACCTGATATCATGCATTGGTAATATGGAAATATTGCTTCATTCAATTATACAGACCTCAATGTTGAGTGATTTCATTAACATCAAAAATCACAATTGTTAGTATCATATCCTAATTGTTAGTATCATATCTTTTTAAACGCCACCAATCATATCAGCAAAGTCTTTTAAGTACTGGGAAGCTGCCAAGCTCCAGGTGGCAAACACAAGTTTTCCAAAATTCTAATTTTTGCTTAAAAGTTGTAAAATCTTATCATTAGCAACAAACATCATCAGTGTTTTTTCTTGAAGTTGTTTTGCTGAAGTAGTTTTGTTTTGTTGGGTATGTATGAAATACCCAAATCTGAATAATAATAGTCAATCACTCTTGCATTTAAAATGGTTTTCCAGGAAAAAAGCAACTAGTTCAGCTGACAATTCAAACAATGCACTGGTATTTGTCCTTGAGACAATTATCCTACTTAAGGATACATATTTCCTGCTTTGTCACACAAAATATTAAAGACACATACTCAAGAGCTTAAGTTTATTAAAATTGAATTTTTCCTATTCCATCAAGAATATTCTTAAGTAAAATTGGTGCTCTTTTTCTTTTTTTTTCATCTTATTTTTTACTGTGAGTACATGGTAGTGAAGAATACAATGGCTGCTATTAAAGTTTGGTGCGTGGACATGCTGAAAAAATAAAAAAATAAAAATAAAAATAAAAATAAAAATAAAAATAAAAATAAAAATAAAAATAAAAATAAAAATAAAATAAAAATAAATAAAATAAATAAAATAAAAATAAAATAAATAAAATAAAATAAAATACATAAAATAAAATATAATATATAAAATATAAAATATAAAATAAAATATAAAATAAAATAAATAAAATATAAAATATAAAATAAAATATAAAATATAAAATAAAATATAAAATAAAGTTTGGTGCCACTGCCAATTCATGCATGCTAAAGCAGCCACAATTTTACACAATGATGCTTTTGCACCATCAGCACCAGTGTTAGCACAGTGAAAAATCATATATTATTTCAGTATTAAAATGAAAAACAGTATTAACGTTTTAAGAAACGTGCCCTGGAATAATTTTTTTAAATGACATGAAATAAGGAAGGAATGTGCACTCAGAAAGTAAAAAATTAAAAGATCAGAGTATATATTATGTCCTAGCCAAATGAAGATATCATCAACAAATTAACTATTCTTGTTTCAGAATCACTAATATTCTAGGCCAAGTTTTTTATTCAGGTTAATGCAGTGTTCAGAGTAAACTCTGAATCAATTAGGTTTTCCTTTATAGTGACCACTCTGGTTTTGCAGAAGGGGGAGGGGAATTGTTTATTTTTACCACCAATGTTGCCCAATGATTTTTGTTATGACTTAAATGGGCCACTGGAATTCATCTGGATCTTGAAGGCAGATTACTCCTAGAAGGATTAGAAAACATCGCTCTGGCAGACTGCAGAAATCTGGTCCAATTATAACAAAATTAAACAGTGAGCCATGAGTATTTCTAGACTATATTCTGAATTAAATAAAATAACTGTAAGACAAATTAACATAGTTATACTTGCTAAAGGGACAGTTTTTATTAAAAGAGAAACGCCTTTTGGGGTAATTTCACTCAGTGCTATGAAATTTGCCATGTAAATTCTTCTTCCATTTGTCAAATGAACCTAAATATTAATGAAGCTTCTAGCTACAGAGGTAATTCTAACATAATGCTTACTGTTTACATTTTGAGTACAGACCCCACTTGCCACTTAATCAAAACAAATTTTAAGTGTGACTAATATCATAAACCCCAGCAAAGTTACAGAAAATACAAATATATAAAATACTTTTATAAAATACTGGAATTATTATTTTAATGTACTTGTAGTATTTAATTCCCTATCATATAAAAAAGGCCTATTATAAATCCTCAAGCAGTGAGCCTTCAAATATGCCTTCTGTGAAGACTCAAAGTTTAATATGCTGTAGAAGACAACAGTCTCCACGTGCTTATAGAGCTCCTACAGAGAAAAAGCCAATCAGGAAAGCTATGAAGAATCCCAGAGGAACACCTCTTATCAAGGCTCTAAATAAAGTCTCACTCACTA